AGGTTCGTTTGGACCATAGAGTTCTGCCACGCGACGAACAGTCAATCCCTTAGGAATAACCATATCGAGACTGTCCTGACCGTCGTCCGCAACTGTTTCATATTCAAAGTATGATGCGAGCTCGTCCTTTTGTTCATCGGTATCTTCGGTTCGTAGTCCTCGTGGGGGGTTCATATCGCCAGGAATCACAATTGGTTCTTTGAATCCATTCATCTTTTCAAGAAAGTCACCGGTAATGAGCTGTGCCGGCACGCGCGCAAATGTCTCGGGCGTGAACTCAATATCACCGTTCTTGAATGCTGCAATATAGTGGTGTTCTGGGTTATCGTCTGACGTCTTGAGCACGCCTTCGTTTAGACCAGCGTAGTCAACAGTGGTGTGGGCTCTGACGGATTTACGAACCTCTGGACCATGTTAGAACTATAAGCCCAATGTGCGTCGGTAGACCTACTCGTTGTTTCACCAAACTTGGGTCTACACGGCTCGCAGTAGAATTTGTTTACCTCCCGGACCTCCCGCTCACTGTTGAACCCCGCGCAGGGGTAGTGGTACCACTCTTTACAGCCGTCGCACCCTATCCATTGTTCGCCGTCGCCAACTTTGACCACCGACTCAGAAGACTTGCACGAAGCGCAGATGAGTTCGGGTTCGACTGGGGCATTTGCAGGCTCAGCAGGTGCATCGACAGGAGCAGGCGCAGTCGGTTGTGAACCAAGAGGAAGTGACTTGGCGCGTGAAGAGGCTGAGAGCGGTGGCTCGATCGGGTTCGGTAAAGTTGATGTGGAGAAGGAATGACGGCGGGCTTGTGTGGGGGAGGTCTGCGCGGGTTCGGCAAGCTCTGCTGGAGGCGCAGAGTTCTCAACTGCAACTGCGGCAGGCTGCTCAGCATGCAGACTTTGAGGCGATTGGGTCTGTTCTGCAGGGCCGGTAGCACCTGCAGAAGATGCACTCTTTGGCTTGGGCGTCCTCTTTCGTTTGCTACTTGTCGCGCTAGTGCTACTACGACCGCCTCGTGCCTTCCCTTTGGGCCAGCCCTGTTGTCTTTTGGTCTTGGGCTCTTCTACAGGAACGGGGCCTTGTATTGCAGGCTGTGCGACTGGATTCGATGCTTCATCGGTCGGTGGGTGGATCTGCGTAGATGGAGCCGTCTGGGCTGCGTGCGGTGGCTGCCCTAAAGGGTGTTTCGTATCTATGACGGGCTGCGTGTGCTGATGGTAATGATCGATAGACGGCGGCTGCGGCGCTGTGAATGGGCTTGGAGGCTCACCCAGTTGCTGGATTTGTCCTGGGGAGTGTTCCATCGGCGCTGTATGTGAGATGCTCCACCGCTTTGCCGTTGAAGGTGGTGAATGTGCAGTCTGCGTAGAGACATTGAAAAAATCTAGCAAAAGCTGTGCATCTGAAAGCCGGTCGTTAGGTTCGCCGGGGGGTTGGTATATGCGGCTGCCATTGTCCACCATGTGCTCGACGTTGTAGGACCAGCCCGGAATGTGGCTCGTGGCCGGTCTTGACTGCGACTGGCCATACTGCGGAGAGCCGTATACTTCAGAGCGCGCTCTCTTTGCGGGCCGCTCGTTGAAGGGATATGCATGTTCTCTAGGGAAGGCGTGTGCTGGGGCGCGTTCGGCGATCGGATAAGGGAGGGTCGTGGGCGATGCCGCTGGGTATGCAGGATGGCGCGACAGCTCAACAAATGGCCGACTGGTATGCTGCGACGTCACAGCGACATCTGCGAGAGCCTCAATGGGCGATGCCTGCGCCAGAGAATATGGCGTCGCTGGCTGCGGAGGAGCAGCAGGAGGCACGGATCGCGAGGACGGGTCATACGTCACCGCGGGCGACGCCAGCTTCCCCGACGCGCGCGTACTCTGCCCGAGAGTAGGCGTTTGTATGTGAGCAGTATGAGTGTGTGCGCCCGGTGGCAGCGACACTGTTGGGATATTCGCTTTGCTGGCGGGGTGCGCTGATGAGAGCTCGGTCGGCGGCAGCGTGGGCGATAGCGGCTCGTAGACGGGCGGCGGAGGGGTAGCAGCACGCGCCGAAGCTCGCCTGTACTGCTCCTTGAAGGACGAGATTCGTCTCATGGCCGCGGTGGTTGCGGATGTGAGTCGATGGGGGCTTCGGGGGTGCGAGGGACTCGGTCTGGCGTCTCAGGATGCGCGGCTATGGAGCAGCGGCAGGGCAGGCTGAGAGGCAGGCAGAGAAGTAGACGGGCGCGAGCATATCCTGAATTGAAGCGACAGCTGCGCGGCGCAGGGTGAGTGAGCGTCGAGGTTGGGTGGTGGAGGGTGGTAGTGGTGGAGATGTCGCGGGGAATTGTATTGGGAATGTTGCGGCCGGAGACCAGGGCGATCACCGTCGACCATGCGACTGGGGCGACCAACGCAAAGGGATGCCCAGCAGCGTCGCAGGAGAGATATGACAAAGAAGCAGCGCCGTCTCCGTACGAAGCTCGTACAAGTCTGTATGTACTTGGGGGGTGCGCAAGTGGTTGGGGGAGTGAGCTATGGAGCGCTGAGCCGCTTCATTCGCTGCAAGCCCGCATCTCCGATTCGAGCGCTCGATTCTTTGGCAACAGCTGCGAGAGGGGCCCTACCACTGTCTGGCCTACCGCTCTAGACCCTCATTTCCTGTCTGGTACATACAGCAACCTCTTTTACAATGCACTACACGTATATATCCATCCATACGACGACGGTGGGTATGCGCCTCCCTTGCTGCACCGCGGCGGCCACTCCTGGCTCAGATGCCCTCGTCACGTGCATGCACGCGCTCGGACCCTTAGTCGCCATTCATGCATCGATCCCGCATGTTCACCATCGACACCTTCTCTCCCAACTCCTCACCACCACCACCCGCCCGCTGCTCTCCCAATCACCAGCCAGTTCTTTACCGTCCATAATCGTCGCCAAAGTATGAGTCGAGGAGGAAAATTGGCCCCGGAAGTCAACCGGTACGTTCGTCCGTCTCCGCATCGCGTGCGCCAGCCAAGGCTGCACCAGCCAACTCACACGACATTTGCGCTAACATGTCATTTGTACAGAGCTCTCTTCGTAAAGAATCTGAGGTTGATATAGCCATCCCCTGCTTGTGTGGCTGTGCGCTAACCCCATGGCAGCTTCAACGTTACCCCAGAGGAACTCTTCGATCTCTTTGGCAAGTTCGGCCCTGTGCGGTACGTTGTCTTCCTCGCCATATGCACGCGCATATAGCTTTTCCTGTCACATTACATCACTAACACTGAACCCTAGCCAAATCCGCCAGGGTATTGCCAACCACAGCAAGGGCACCGCCTTCGTCGTCTATGAGGACGTGATGGACGCAAAATCGGCTTGCGACAAGCTCAACGGCTTCAACTTCCAGAACCGGTATCTCGTTGGTGCGTCCCGCAACCTGTCGCCCGCCCGTTTCCGCGCTCGCTACTAACTGCCGCAGTATTATATCACCAGCCAGATAAGATGCTCAAAGCTGCGAATGACCTTGCCGAACGCCAAGAAAACTTAGAAAAACTCAAAAAACAGCATGGTATTGACTAGGGGTGCGAGAGGCCTCAGGAACAGGTGATATCGCACGAGCAAAGTCAAGACAAGACTCCTGTGGGCCTCAAGACCGATAGCGTAATCTCTAATCGATCCTCGAGTCGCGGCGGTGAACCGCGCTTCTCGACGACGAGAACGACGACCAATTCGACATTAGCGGAAAAAACCGACACTCCTTCCACGCCTCCCTCGGCCACCGCCTGCCGCAACGGCGACTGGCGTGCTCTAAAACAATCGTTGAAGGGCCTATGGAAGTCGGCGCATGGCGTAAAGAGGTCATGATATGTTTACGAACCATGGCAAAAAAGATTGCTACATTTTCTTTAAGAGTGTTGAGAGATATCTATAGGGCCGGGGATTAGCTAGGTCAAAGAGGGTTAAGGCCGAGTCGAGTTGAGTTTTAGATTGTAATACGGCCTCAGCTTTCCTCTTTCTCTCTCTCTCTTTTCTTTTCTCTAAACATATCACACGGTCGACAAGCTTTTTTTATTCAAGCACCCGAGTCTGAATCAAGGAATTCTCTTCTTTCTTTGCAAATATATATCGAACTCGTTTTCAGCTTGTGAAGCCTTATTTTTTTTATCGGAATGCGGCAGCCATAACCGTTTTGGCTGGTTTGACGCTTGATTTAGTCTGCCTTGGCTGACAGCTGTCGATCGACGAATCTGCCCTTTTTCCGCTCATTTCCGCCTCGCCGCAGCCGTTTAATATGGACGCTAGCTACGGCTATTTGGCCGAGAGGAACCTCTTGTGTTGTTTCTTGGATTTTCTGACCAAGCCCCCCTCTCCTTTTTTGGCTAAAGTCGCTTATGTAAATGTCCAACTGTGCTACTTGGATTAATGGGCGCTGTGGTTACCTCGGCACATCTGGGGTATTTGTCTGACTGGTCTTTGGGACGCAGTATGTGCGTTGTGTGACTGTGATAGCGTGTTATGTAGATCGGCGCTGCTTTTAGTGGTTGATTACTGTGCTCGTATTGCTTCCTTTTGCGCATAGATATATGCATGTGAGGACTTTGCTTCGGTGCTGACGAGGGGAATATTTGGGGTGTGTAGGTGATGACACGTGTATTGCTATATGTTGGGTGTGGCTTTACTCTGTGTCGTTTGTAATGGAAGGGCAATGTCAATGTCTTCTCTGGAGATCGACTTGGCGCTTTTCAAGGGACTGGGTATAACACGATCGAGTGTCTTGACCCTTACGATTTTCAAGGCCGTTGACTGTTTTCCGTTCAAGTATTCGCTATCGACTTGACTGCATAGAATAGCCAAGTGATTTCCTCTTACAATAATGGAAGAAATTACATATGGTCTCTATAACTAATACATTTCTGCTTTATCATAAAAGATAACCCCCCGATTCAATCCCACATGTCCACTACCATTCCTCAAACCAATCTTCCAAACCCTTCTTTAAACCCCACCACACTCTCATCCTTTCACCCCCATACCCACCGCCTCAACAACCCCGGCAACAAAACACCCCCAACCAACCAAATCCACACTCCCCATCCTAACCCCATGCCACCCCCTCCACTCCCCCAACCACTCTTCCGCCCTCCCTTCTCCCTTCTCCCCATCACACAACCCCACCAAAGCCCTCACACTCCTACCCACAAGCGGCACAAACGCATAATGCGCTACCGTCGCTACCGCACCGATTTGGTACCAGCGCCTTGCTATGCTTCCTCGTGTTGTAAACGAAGGATGGAGGAGATAAATGTTTGCGAGGGAGAAAGATAGAGTAAGTGTGTTTAGGCCGATGACGGAGTAGATGCCTGTGTTGAAGAATGTGGTGAACCAGGCTGGGATTGCGAGTTGGTTTGCTTCCTTTAGTTGGTTCGTGGCGTCTTCTTTTTGAAGGTAGGTTTCGACTTCTGAGTTGGTGGGTGGGGATGAGAAGGGGGAGGGAGAGGCGAGGATTGCTTTGCTGAGTCTGGAGTGAAGGGGTGGCAGGTTGAGGAAGGCGCTGGTTGTTAGGTATTCCATGTAGGCGTGGGTGAGGGATGCGGTGGAGGTGATGAGGGGGGCGAGGGTAAGGGCTGTGAGGAGGGGTGGTGCAAGGGTTTTTGGGAGACCGATTAGTGTAGTTGTCATGGTTGGGATGCGTTTCTTTTGGGGATATAAAGGTGTACGTGTAGACAAAGGCTGACAATAACGTTATAAGTCGTAGTATGCTTGAAGGTTTGTTGCAGTTGTCGTAGGAGATGTGGAGAGAGAAACAAGACAGATAAATACATTTTATGTCACAGTGGTGTGATATATTCCTGATCGGCAATGCTCAGAATCCTTCTTTCTGATGCTTCGGTCTGGTTGGTGGCCTAATGGCGATTTCGATTAAACTGGTGATTGGAGAAAAATGGACTGTGCAATGAAGGGTATCATGATATATTGAAATAACAGTTTACTTGAACATTAGAAGATGCTATGCTTTTTGCCAGTTACCAAACACGCCTATTAAATGCAAACTTCATCATCGTGCGAAACCAACTATCCTTCCGCATATGATATCAAAGCAACGTTTACCATCCTCGCCTCTTGCCCCTTTCCTCGGCACTCCTCTCCTTCCTCTTGATTCTCTTAACATCATGTCTCCTGCGCTTGTCCTTGCCAAACTTCTCCGGATCAACAATCGCCTCTACTTTTCTCTTTCTGCGTCTTTCTTCCCTCCTTTCTCTGACGCCTTTCTGTACTTCTCCCATGATCTTCAAATACTCTTGCGTTCCAAGGCGCTTCTGCAAGTTGTTCATGACTTCACGAGCTTTATCAGCAAGGGCCTTGTATGGATCATTGACTGTGTTGTTAGGACCGGTTTGTGCAGCGGATCGAGGAAAGGTTGCGGTGGCATCGGTGAGGGTAGATAGAGTGGTCAGGAGGTGTGGGAGAGAGGTGGAAAGAGGTTCGAGAGGAAATTTAGCGGCGATGGTATCGAAAAGGTTCATGATTGCGGTCTTGGCGTTCATGGTGCTCTTGTCTTTTCGAACGATGCCCGAAAGGCGGATCATGAGGCGGTGGATTGCTGTTGGTGGAGTGTCTTCTGTCTTCTTGGGCTTGATATTCTCTGGCGGAGGCGAGAAACCACCAAAGTCTTCTTCATCTTCTGTAGCGGCTGCATCACCAGTGGCCGAAATGGTAGACTCTTCCATCTCCTCGTCCTCGTCGGCCTTCTGCCACTGCCACTTCGCTCTGTTGACAGCGAGGCATCGCGCGATGAAGGCAATGTTCTTAACACTTTGCAAGCAAAGCTGTTCCGAGACTTCTGGGTTCAACAAGTTTCGCAAGAAAGCGTTGCACAGCTGCGTCATGTTCTGCTCAGCCAGCTGTAGACCGCCAGACCCCTTCAGTGGCAGTGCTCCAAGGCCTGAATCCTTGTTTGAAATTCCAAGGTGGGCAAAGTAGGTGCCTAGCAGCTCTGCAGCTTTGAGCTTGACCCACATGTGCGGGTAGGTAGCGCTGGCTTGGACTGCGGTCCACAGACTATCTTTGCTTGACGAGAACATGGTGTCTGTATATTTCTTGCAAACCTTTGAGAGCAGGGTGAGGGAGTAGTACAAGAGCTCCCAATCGTCTTCATCGCGTCGGCTCAAACATTCGCCGATCGTTGCGTCAAGTCGATCGAGGACGTATGCTAGTTCTTTTGGCTCCTCGTCGTCTTCCATAGCTTCGAAATAGAAGCCCCAAACCTGGATTCCGAGACGCTTCAAGCCAATATTGTCATCTTGCTCCAGCCAACTCTTAAGATCTGTGGCGAAGCTTTGTAGTCGCTTGTCGGTAGCATGCTGGAACAATCTCTTGATTAACAGACTGGCCATTTCTCGGCATTTACCCGAATCGTCATTTGCTACAGTGTTGATCAGTGGCAGGAACATGATACCGTGGTATTCATATTGCGCCTTCTCAGGGAACCGAGGTAGCGCCTTTCCAATGATAAGATCTAGGGCTTCCATGACCGATTGTCTGCCTTCCATGTGCTCGTATCGAAGATTCTTGAGCAGGAACTCCATCTGCTTCTTGAAACGCTTCTCGCTCTGAGTGTACGAGGTCAGGAATTGGAAGAAGTGGCTGCGGGCAATATCGCGGGCAGATTTCGTCTGGTTGGTAATCATCATCTCTGCTACTTTGTCCATGGCTTCATACATCTCTGGGATGTCAAAATGTCGGTTCATGACAGCTTTGAGGAAGCCGAATATGACACCTGAGCGATCAGGTTCATCCAAATCCGGCACCATGCGCTTGAGAAGATGTCCCACATCTCGTTCCCTCACTTGAACGTTGGGCCGCTCACGCAACACAGCAGAGACCAGTTTTAGAGAGGCCTGGGAAAGCTCAGTGTTAGACGATAGAGCACCTTTGATGGCTCGCATTGCTTCGTCAATGTACACGAGGCAGTTCGCGTCCAGCTCAGGCATCGGCACCTTGATGACGGTTGTGAGGAGACGGACAGCCGACACTTGAACTTCTTCTTGTCCTTGCACCATTGCATCGCCGATAATTGGTAAGAAGCCGGCCAAGTTCTGTGGAGTCTGAAGGTCTTCATGCTTGCGCAGCACAGTCCGAAGGATATCCATGCCAAAGCGAATCATCTTGTACAGGTACGAAGAAGTGCTAAGTCTCGCTCCAGACTTGGCCGCCCCCTTGTTGTTGACCAGATATCTCTTGCTTTTAAGGTCAATTTTGGCCTTCTTGTCAGTTGGCGTGTTTGCGGCATATGCCTCTTGAATAAGCTCGTAACAGAAAACCAAGATATCCCTGTTATTGACGGTAGGGTTTTGCAGCACACCGAGCCCGATGCGCCGCAGTAGCTCGTCAATCTTCTGCACCATCCTTGCGTTAAGCTTCTCGATCAAAAGGGACCTGATCGGAAGTACGAGCTTGATAAGATGAGAGGGAGTGGCGGATCGTGCGATGATGTCTATCGAATCGAAACTTTTGCTGCTCTTTACTTCCTTCATCTTGGAAATGTACTCTTCGGCATCCTTCTCCTGGCCAGCAGCGCCAAAAGTATCATCCATAATCTAGACCTCGTTAGTATACCTATCTGACAATGGTTCACAATCTGATACTTACTACATCCACTAGGTCTGTGAGGCAATAGTCGAGATCTCCTGGGTTCGTCTGATCTGCGAGTTTCACCAGGATGGTGTGCAGAGTGTAGGAAAGAACATGGAGTTGATAACCTCTTTGAAGCGCTGTTCGCAATGCCTTGAGAATGAAACCTAGGTAAGCCGGTCCCATGAGCGTAGCAATGTCGCTGAGCGTATTCCTCGACATGTCACGAGCTTCCTGGGCACGGCTCTTGAGGATGTAACAGATATCCAAAAGGACACCGGGCAGTCGTGTCTCGATTTCCAGTGGAGGAAGCACGAGAAGAACTTTGGCAATCGCGACGGCGATAGGTACTCGTAAGCTGACTGTCGCTTCGTCTTTTTTGTGTAAGAAATTGGTCAGATCAGGAAGAAAGTTGTTGATCATGTCACTGCTCAGTTTTTCCTGCTGAGGGAGAGTTTTTGTGAGTATGGACTGAGGTTTGTCAATGTCCATAGCCGCAGGGTCGTCGTTGGTCTCAGAAGTGGCTGGGTCATCTGGTCCGGCCGTGGACGTAGCAACGTAGCCCTTGGCCCGACCTGCTTGGTTAAGACCATCCATTAAACCTGCAATCAACCTAATGATGGGCTTTTGGAGGTCTTCTTTGGTGGCTAGATAGCCAATATAACGCTTCAGGAGAGAGCGGAATTGCGGCCATTCCAGACACTCTGTCAAAGCTGTGAGCGTCTTGATGGTCTCTCCCAGAAGGCTGTCTGCACCATCATCGTCGCCTTTGTTGAAGACGAAGTGCTCCAAGAGGGGTATGAGGATCTGGTAGACATTCGTACCACGCATATGAGAGGCATGGGCAGCCAAGCGACGCAATGCTCTAAGTCGACGATGACCCTGAATGTGCAAGATGTTGCTAAAGAATGAAGCCTCATCATCATCTGAGAGAAGTATGTGAAGGTCTGCTACAGGAGCCCAGTCAGGATGCGTCTTGACCAGATACTCAAGCACGGCAAGGTATTCGATTCGAACCAGTTCAGACGTCTCGCGCATCCCAGCCTGAATTCCAGGTAGAACTGCTGACGACACGAACGCCTTGAATTCTTCGCTGCTTGAAACCTCACTGAAGCGGCGCAAAGACAAGGATGCGTTGACTCTGATGCTAAGCTCCTCGTTGTCCTTTATAAAGTAGAGCATGTTGTAAACCAGAGGCTTCCATTGAATGAGAGAAAAGCTTCGATAAGCCTCTTCGTTAATGGAGCTGAACGCTTGTGAACGTCGCTCAAAGTCTGGCTCATCCAGGCGCCCCTTTGCGAAGGAGTTGAGATCATGGCATATCTTTGCAATGACCTGGAGGTCACTGTTGGTGTCGGAGAGATCTTGAACGACATCGCAAATCAATTCTCTTGCCGTACGATCTTGGACAAACGCAAACATGGGGCAAATCGCATCGTATATTGTGTCGAGCAATTCGTTCAGGTTTTGATTGTTGCAACGCTGAATGAATTCGTGCAGGATCTTGAGCAACCCTAGCTTGGTACGGGGGTTCACGCGCTTCGAAGGTTGACGGAGAAGGAAGGTAGCGATCTCAATCATACTGCGCGATTCGGAAGCACCGACGACATGAGGGGCGAGTTCCGCAACCGTCTGAACCCCAGATTCGAGCACTTCTTTACTTGGGTTCTGTCGGAGAAGATGACCAATTCGACCCAAGATTGAAGTGGAGTACGGTTGAATAATATCGGTATGTATGCGATTCTTTCGGATCCTCGATTCTGTTGTCGGGGCATCTTCTTCAACGGCCACAAGAGCCACAATGTTTCGAATAACATTGTCTAGAACAAAGCATTTGACCTCATCCTTGGCTGAAGGTACCTCAAGGCAGTCAATGACTTTGGATAAGATGACTGGGTTGAATTCCGCCAAAAATGGAGCCGTATGAGCCGATTTTGACCATGCTGCAAACAGTCGAAGAATGCCGGAGATAGATTGTGCTGTTTCGACGGGAAATTGGTCCAGTCGAGGTTCAATCATCTCTTTAACGAGAGCTCTGGTGTACGGATGCCACCCAAACTCTGGGCCATTCTCAACTAGCTTGCTTAGAATGTGAAGTGAACGTTGTCGAACAGTCTTCAACAACGATGTCTGCGTCGATTTTCCTTCATCACCTTGGCGGTCGACTGAAGCTGAGAGCTCTCGCGATGCTTTGATGGCAGAGTACAGGATGGGGTCCACGACGGTAGCAATGAACGGGGCGAATGTTGTCGCAAAGGTACTCAGTAAATCGTCAAGCAGGTTCAGCATTCCAACCTGCTTCCGTGTGTCTACTAGGCTTTTCTGCAGCAGTTCCTCATTGACAACGCCATCGCTCAAGATAGAAATTTGACCCAGAGGTCCGAATGCGATCTGCAAAAACTGATGTATGGCTTCGTCGCCGAATCTTGTTTTCAGGCTAACGAAGACCGCTTTTCTTTTCGACTCAAGGCCTCGTTTTCCAGCTATAACCTTGCCGTACAGTAATCGCAACACGATTGGGAGGACCTGGTCAACGTCGGAATCTTGGAGCTTGCCTTCGCTCAGGAATATTGGGAGTTCGTCACGGAATCTTTCGTCGTCGAGTAGGTTCAGTAGCTGTTCCTGGTATGCGACTATTGCCCGGTCTTTCCACGTGAGAAGCGCCTTCAGCGAGGCCTTTTGAATTTCGACATCTCCGTTACTGAGTAAGGCAAGGAGGGCTTGACGGACTTCGTCTGTTCGATACAAGACTTTTGGATTGTTGAATTTCGCAAAGATGGAAAGCATCGCTTTCTGGTCTTTCCTTGCCCAGCGATCCTGCGAAGTGACTGGAGCATCTTCTTCCGAGGTAGGACCTTCCGAGTCTGGCACTTGATCAAAAGCCCACTTCAGGAGGACTGGTACAAGAAGTCTCGAGCGCTTTTCCGCAATGTGTGGTAGAGAACTCAACACCTTGAGAGCTTGTGTCCTGCTGAAGGAGTTGTAGAAAGGTATTTCGGCATGTGCCTCTTTGAATAAGATCTCCAGCTGCTCTTGAGGGTTGTCAGCTTTCGCTTGAACATCGGCGACATGCTCCTGCAACTGCATCAGACTCGTACACTCAAATTCGGTCGCGTACGGTCGCGATGAGGCTGCTTGAGGACTGTCAGAAACAGTATCAGCAGCATCGCTCGCAGTTAACCATTCAAAGACAGTTTGAGTGACAAAGCCTTCTCCTTCCTTGGTCTCGCAGATGGCTTTTAACGCAGAGCAACTGTCGTCCCAAACCGATGCTAGGCGTACATGGAGTAATCCCAGACAAAATGCAGGGATAGCTTCTCCCACCCACTTATCAGAGCATACAGCAGGGTACAGTTTAGCCATTTGGCCTACGCGCATCGCAATGGATCTTTGTGTCTCGAGATTTGGTGGTGTTTGTTCAATCAACATAGCGACAGACAAAATCTTTTGCGGTTCTTCGCTTTGGTCCGCAACAAATTGCAAGACGTATATGGCCAAAAGTCTCAGATCATGCGAAGGAGATCCTAGGCAGTGCATAACAGTTTGCTTCAAAGGTTCCATATGCGGTCCTGTGTTATCCAGGTCTCCCTTGTGCTTCTTTAAAAGGTCTAGTAGCGCACACCAGAAAGCGGCCGAGTGTCCAAATACAGTGGAGGTTTGGCACAACGCAGGCCACAGACTTTTGAGTTTGTCATCGTCGCCACCTTTGCTAATAAGGAATTGGAAACCTTTACCAGTAGCGAAAATATCGACAGTCCGCTTTGTGGTGAGGTTCGTCCCTTTGACAGCATTTTTGAGCAAGCGTGCGAGGTCATTCCAGATTTCCCGCGTCTTGTCATCCGCTATGCGTAGCGATTCTATCGCACCCAGCAAGGCATTGCAGTAAAAGGTCTGGTTTTCCAAGTCGATCTCGGTCCCTGTAGACTTGTCGAGTTCGCCAAAGGGCTCTTCCAAGGTCGCTTGCCAGCGCTCAGACGGCTGCAAAATGGTATTCGTCAGTGCTCCGTTTTGGTAAAGTTGAGGCAGAATTGCACAGAATTGAGAACCGTGCTCATGAGTCTTTTGCGTAACAAATCTAATACAGTATTAGTAGATGAACCAGTCTGAAAGAATAGTAGCCTCGCACCTCTTGAAATATGGAAGAAGCAAAGTTCTGAACCTCTCCACGCCTAGACCGGTGAATAAGTTGCAGAATGGCAGAAAGTAAGCCTCCCAAGGGCCACGACTCAGTCCTTCCAGCAACTTCTCATGGGGAATAGCTGCGTCCAGCGCACAATACTGGAAAACGACGGCGGTAACCGATAGCAGCTCCCATGCATCAACAGAGTCAAGTTCAGTCGAAGCTTTGGTAGAATCAAGCAGATTGCTGATTGAGCCCAGCACGGGTTTCCAATCTTCGACACGGTCACCTTGGCGGACGCCACAAACGACCATTAGCAAACGAGATAGCAGGCCAACATAGCGCACGTCTGACGACACTTTGTCTGCTCCGCCAAGTATGACTTCAAGAAGAGGGCTGAAGTTCTCTGCATCCGTGTGGTGGATAGCGGCAGTAACCACACCGATAAGTACAGGCTCGAGAGGCGGAATCCGGAGGTCAAGATGTTCTGGGTTGAGTGTCTCAACTAAAAGCTCTTGTAGAATGACGGTAGCACTTGAGTGAAAGCCGCGCTGTACGCCCTTGAGCGAGTCAGTAAAGAGATACATGAGACCCTGTTGGAAAGCGTAGTCCTTTGTGGATTCCTGTTGGTCCTTGAGCAAATCGGATATGTGTTTGATGATTGACCTAAGCGGCGTCTTATCTCTGTGATAGGCAGCTCCAGCCTTGCGTACCAGGAAGCTCAGCGACTCAGCCGCAAAGCGAGATACAAAGGCTTTTTGGCGCTCCTTGCCCAGCAGAGGTGACATGAGATCGAAGACGGGGCGCAGGTTCGGTACCAATAGCCTTGACAGGTACTTGAACAGCCAAGCCAGACAGCCAAATGCCCATTCTATAACTTCTACATCGGCGTGGGTAGCGGCCAGATGCGACACAGTTTTCACTGCCATCTCGAAATATTTCTCAAAGCGCTCGCCGAGATCGTGTGCAAGATGGGCCATGAGGCTGAGCAGGGGTTCCTGGCTAAACTTTTCGCCCTTCTCAATATGTTCGACGAGGAGCTCGAATATGCGGTCGCTGTGGTGGAGGACTTGGGGGAGGCTGTCGCAGAGTGGCGCAACCTTGCGGGCAAAGGCTGTGAAGGGCTCCGACATGTTGAGTTCCCTCCATTCGAGGAACGAGTCGCGGAAGTAGGAAAAGGTCGATTCGAGCTCGGCATCGTCGAGGATGGTGCTGCGACCGCGGCGAACAGGCTCAATTCTGAGTTGTGCAATGCGCTGCGAGAAGCCTTTGAAGACATGATTGCGCGTGGATTCGGTCCCGCCCTTGACCCGTTTCTGTGGGCGCGCAGACTTTGATATTTTGGATGATGGCTTAGCAGCCGGGCGTGTAGCAAGTCCCCGCGACATGGCAGCCATGGTGTGTAGTGTATTTGGGTGTGGTGAAGAGGGTTGTGTCGAAGACTGCAGTGGCTGCATCTTCACTCAATGCTCCACTAGAATTTCCATACGCTAACAAAAAAGCTGGACCCTGGTATTGGCACCACCGACGCCGCCGACGCGCCAATCACCCATGCTCACTCAACACCAACGCGTCGGCAGCTCGTCATAGCCAACATAACCATCCATAATGGCTTCAAAAATGTAAGTCTGCCCTGCTGTTGTTGTCTTACAACTCACTAACGCGTGCAGCGTCGTCGTCGGTGACGTCAACGGGCAATTCAAGACTGTCTTCCAGAAGCTGAGCGCACTGCATGCAAAGAACAACTTTGCTTTCGCCCTCATCATAGGCAACCTATTTGCAGCTTCGCTCGATGATGAGGACACGGCGTCAGGTGATGTGCAGGCACTCGTTGATGGTCAAATCGATGTGCCGTTGCCCACCTACTTTGCTCTTGGCAGTAATCCACTTCCCCCAGCAGTCGTCCAAAAGTTGGAATCTTCCAGTGATGAACTATGCCATAATCTCTTCTTCCTTGGCAAGCGGACTACTATGAAGACGTCTGAGGGCATCCGCATTGTCGCGCTAGGCGGCCGGTTGGATGCGAACATCATTGCTGGCCAGTCCAAGGACAAGTACCCGCCTTTTTACAGCGAGACGGATGCCAAGATTTTGCGAGGAGCAACGACAGCTGATATCCTCATCACCAACGAGTGGCCGGAGGACATTCGGAAGCGTTCCAAGGTCGAGTTCAACCCTGACGTACAGCCGACTAGTCAGCAATGCATCGCAGATCTGGACGTGATATTGAAACCGAAGTACCACTTCTCAACATCCGGCGGCACCTTCTACGAGCGAGAGCCATTCTTTCATCCACCCAGTGCTGAAACCGACAATCTCTATCCGGTAACGCGATTCATCAGTATGGCGTCCTTTGGCAATCCCAATAAGCAAAAGTGGATTTATGCCTTTTCTCTCGAGCCTTCTGCGAGCCATCCCGTCGCACCTCCGCCTGGCTCAACCGCTTGTCCTGTCGTTCTTTCTGAGAAGAAGCGAGTTGCACCTGAGTATCAGGAACAACATCTAGTCTATGACGATGGAAGTCGAGGCCGGAGAGGCAACAAGAGACGAAAGGGTGAGCCTCGAGGGCCCATTACTGCATCAGAATGCTTCTTTTGCTTGGCCAATGAAAACATTGCGACGCACTTGATAGCCTCGATTGGCGAGAACTCGTATTTGACCACTGCAAAAGGCCCTCTGCCAACTCCACAAACCTTTTCCAAACTCGGCTTCCCCTGCCACATGCTCATCATTCCATTTACACACCAACCGACGCTAGGATCAATGACAGAAGAAGAGCGCCATGCGACCTATGCAGAGATGCAACGATACCGGCGCGCAATGAACAGCATGCTCAAGTCCGTAGCAGATACGGACTATGGTTCAGTCACGTGGGAAGTCAGTAAATCTAGCTTGCCTCATACACACTGGCAATACCTCCCAGTCAGCGCCGATCTTATTAGTAAAGGACTTGTCGAGGCTGCATTCAAGGCATTGGCCGAGAATCTACATTGGCCGAAATTTCAAAAAGAGGATGTAGGTGATGGAGTCGAAGAGACGAGCGACTTCTTCAGGGTCTTGGTGTGGGATCCAAAAGACGACCCAGACAAGCAGACAAGCTACGTTATGCGCTTCGACGAAAAGATACGTTTCCACAACCAGTTTGGACGAGAGGTGTTGGCTAAGTTGTTGCGACTCGACCAGCGTGTCGACTGGAAGAATTGCGGACAGACGCAGCCTCAAGAAGAGCAGGATGTTGAAAAGTTCAAGGAGGCATTCAAAGAGTTTGACTTTGCCGCATGATACCCATACTCAGCAAGCAACCTTGGCCCTATGCAATCTTCCGGAGTACGTCCGAGCAAGCTTCTCCAAGAGATTAGTTCGTAATGCATATATGTCACGCTGCTAATGAAACATTGTCACAAAGACACGCAAGCCCAGCCAAGTCCCAAGACACCGACGTCGCTGCGAATATACTCGAAACGGCAGTTCTGACATCAAACTGTCCAATGCGGCACTAAAGGGTTGGCATACCAAGCTCCGGTGTCGCCCTGGATAATCAACACCTTATTTCCGGTTACACGAGCAGCTCTCGTACTCTGGCCAGCAAATTCATTGCAGTACTCACCTCCGTACCAGCGTCTCAATTTAAACAAAACTTCAAGATTAGATGCAGGACAAACAACAATTATCTAAACATGGTTTTGATGCGCCAGACGCGCACCATTTCAGCATACGCACCTTGGCATCTTCCTCTTGAGGCTAACATCCTTCTTCTTCGAGCCAGGGCCATCGCTTGGCCTTCACGTGTTGTGTAGAGCGCGGGGCACGAGCCAATCAGCAAGATGATCCCCCACTCGACCACATCTGCAGTCATGCCCATGTTTCCTCCTTCAAGCCCCTCATCTTTCACGTTGGCCATGTCTTATCATCCATTCGCTCCTTTGCAACGCCTTGCGAGCGTCCATGTTTCCGACCCGCACCACGCGCCGGCGCCTTCCACACGGACACATTATCCTCATCTAGCAAGCACCCAATGACAAGGCGATACTGTTAGCGTACGCCCCCAGTCACGACCCTATCACACGTCGCGATAAGCCCACCTGCACTCCCCATGCCCGCGCTTTCCGTAACCCTTCCATGACCTTATCCCTCTTGCACACCTACACCAGTCATTGGCATTCTCCTTCGTCTTACCATGCAGCACTACTCATCTTTTCCCCCCTGAACAGGAAGGCAGCTCCATGACTTGGGGCCGCCAGAAGCAAGTTGCACTGCCGATCAGGTACGCTTTGCTCTAGTCGTCCGATGTCTCTAGATGAAGGACTACGCTTCAGCCGCTTACGACCCTTGTCGACCTGCCTTATCGGGTTTCGGTCAACGATCTTTGTGGGCGCGTGTTTATTGTAGGCTTGCTGATGGGGTTGTTCCGCGGTTACACCACTTTTTTTGCTGGGCAAGTAAGAGTAGGTTGAGCCGGGGGGGTAGGCGTGCGATGCTTCATTGGATTAGACCGTGTTTTGTTTCGTTTCCTGGAACGGGAAAGGGAGTGGAGGGGGCCGGGACTAAAAGATGATGGTGGATAGAATGGTAAGAAAAGAGAAGACTGGGTGGGGACTTGTATATAAGATGGGGTGGATTGTACGTACTGTTGTACCCATTGTGCATGACATCGGCTTCACTGTCGAGTGTCTACCTCTGATTGCGGGTTTCATATCTCAATTGACATATCACTCTTCCCTTAACCATTTCCTCTCCCACCTCTCATTCCAGACAAGATGAAGACCTCCCTCCTCATCGCCGCAGTCTCCGCTGCCATCGCCTCCGCCGCCCCCGCCCCATCCAACCTCTCCGCCCGCGCTCCACCCAACGTGCCCTCCAAAGCCGATGCAACTACCCAACTCGCCGGCCTCACGGTCGCCGCCCAAGGCCCGCAAACTGGCTACTCTCGCGACCTGTTCCCCCACTGGATCACTCAATCCGGCACCTGCAACACGCGCGAGACGGTGCTCAAGCGCGATGGCACAAACGTAGTCACCAACGATGCGTGCTCGTCGGTCTCCGGCTCGTGGTTTAGCCCATACGATGGCGCGACATGGACGGCGGCGAGTGACGTAGATATCGATCACATGGTTCCGTTGAGTAATGCTTGGAAGGTAAATGATCTCTCTCCCCCTCCCCCCCTCCCCCCTCTCTCTTTCCCCTAAAAGCCCTCGCCGCAAGGCGAAAAAACCGCTGAAGAAAACGCAAATTGGAAAATTGGTAACTGACGAAAAAAAATTAAAATTAGTCCGGCGCAGCATCCTGGACCACCGCCCGCCGCCAGGCCTTTGCCAACGACCTGACCAACCCCCAATTGCTTGCTGTTACCGACAATGTCAACCAGGCTAAAGGAGATAAGGGACCGGAAGATTGGAAGCCCCCGCTAACGAGCTACTATTGCACGTATAGTAAGATGTGGATTAAGGTCAAGAGCGTGTATGGATTGACGATTACGAGTGCGGAGAAGAGTGCGTTGACGAGTATGCTTGCGACGTGCTAGATGGATGAAGGAGTATGAATGAATGAATGAATGAATGATATTTTGTTTTCTTTCTTTTGGAGAAAAAGGAAGAGTGAATCAAGTGGAAATGATTGTTGAATTGCTGATTGTATCTATGTCGTCGGGGTTTCACAGTGTATATATGAATTCTGGGTTTTCTCTATCGGTTAGGTCGAGCCATCTGGACGCAGTCAGAAATTGAGCTTTTTTATTTTACATATCTGTTTTGTTTTGATTGGAGAACTAGGCTATGAAGGAAAAGGGAATTAAAAGGGAAAGAGGGGGGGAAACTTACTCCTGGTTCTCCAACTTGATGTAATCGGGTGCAGCTCGAATTAATGCTTTCTTCTTGTTCTGGCGCACGCAGTAGAAGTGGATGAAGGTGAGGATGCCGAGACAGATGCCCCAGCAGACGATTATTGTGACTTCTGCGGGGACATAGCGGGGTGCGTCTGATGGACGAAATGTTTGAGGGCCTAAGAAATTGGGATCGATGTTAGTTGGTTTGTCGTCGGATATGCAATCCCCTCTGGTGCCAAGGGAAATCATATATAGAAGGGGGGGAAACATACCTATAATATTCCCAACACAGTACCCAATCAAAAACATAGCCGCTACACTCGTCTTCTTCGTATACCCCGCCACATTACTCGCCACCAAGCTCAAGAGCGCCACGAACGGCGTTGGGCTCGCCTGCGTGAGATAGTATCCCGCAAGGCGCCCCGAGTTACTGGATAGCGGCAGCGCGACAATAAGCAGCATGCCGAGGATAGCAGTGAGCAGGCCAATCATGGAAATAAGAATGCGGTTCCCGTACTTATCGCCGGCCCAGCCGCAGGCAATTAGGAAGACAATTTCGACGGCGCCGCCCGGGGTACCGTATAAAAGGGATTGCTCGGGTGTGTAGCCAAAGCCGACGATGAGTTGGGAGAAGAAGTTTGAGATGCCGCCTTTTCTTATTGTCAGCAAACAGTAACAACATGAGTGGTAGTAAGAAGGGGGGGGGAGGAGGGCAGACCATTCGGAATATCAGCAATCAGCGCATAAAAAAAGAAAGCCCAACTCAGCGGATCCAGCAACGCCTCCTTCAACTGATACCACTTGAAATGCCTATTCCCCACGCCTTGTTTGTTAATTCGAATCCGCTCAACAGCCAGCACGCGATCCTCCTCGCTCAACCACCGACAGTTAAGCTGGTTATCCGGCACAATCCACAGAAACACGACGCCACAGCACGCCGTCAGCAGACCCGTTGCTAGGAAAACAATCTTCCAGGGTTCAATCGTCGTTCCAGACTTGCGGCATCCAACAGCGATGCCGTAGGCGAGGCACCCGCCAAAGATCTGCGCGAACCCGTTGAAGCTGAACCAGATGGCGGTGCGCGAGCCTTGTTCGGCGGTTGTGTACCATTGCGAGGTGAAGAGGGCGAAACCGGGGGTTACCTAGTAAGTAGTAAACACGTAGTTAGCGCCTTCTTTTTTCAATAGTAAAACTGCCGTTGTTGTTGTTTTGGTTTGAAAGAACTTACGGCTGCTTCGAAGACGCCGAGGAAAAAGCGGATGGCGAGGGCACCCGAGAAGTTTGATACGGCCGCGAAGCAGGAGAGGATGAGGCCCCAGATTATGATGTTAAAGGCCGCTAAAATCGGCATATACTCATTAGACCTGAAATGTTCCCTTTTTCGATTTCAACAGAGAAGAGGGGAAAACAAATGTGGTAAAATATCTGGAAGATGGATACTTACAATACTTCCCCAAAGGCAAAACCTGCAACAACCTCGAGGTTGGATACTCCCAAGCTATATACCCAAAGTAAAACATGCTCCCCAGCCACGAATACTCATCCCCCGTGAGATTGATCCCGGATTTCAGTGGATTGTCTGATGGCGGGAGTTTAAGGCCCATGATGCTGGCGTAGGAGAGGGTTGTTTTGTCGAGGTAGTTGAGGCCGTACACTAGACACATAATCTGTACGAAGTACACATGTCATTACGAAGTGTAGGTGGGTGGATGGAGGGTAAGGCTTACAGGCATCAAATGCCAATCAATCTTCCTTAACAACGCCTTACTCTTCTCCTCGGTGAGATGAATCACCTGGCCTTCCATCCCTTCAAACGCTTTCATCGCTGCATCTGCATCGTGTGAGTGCTTGAGGAGTTTCTCTGCCACCTTGCCCTTTGGCACAACGGTATCCTGTACCACCGTATCTTTCTCTACATCCGCTGTAGGTATCGGGGCTGCGGCTGCGGATGCCATGGCGGCTGGAACGTATATGTATCGTTGCCGCTTCTCTTCTTTCCTACTCTACGTACTCCCAGGGACAAACAAGGAAAATGAGAATGGGTGATGTGTAGACACAAGGGATCAACAATGGATATCTATTGAAAAGAAAAGTAACAATCGCATCGAACTTATGTAACTCAATCCAACCCAACCCAACCGAGTGCCCGCAGATCCAACGGTCTCTCGCCCGCCTCCAACTTTCCTTTTCGGGGGTTGACCATTGGAGAGCCTGTTGGAGCACCGCCATTGCTCTTTTACCCGTCCGTCTATCTCAAGCCCACTTTTGTTGCTTGTCCATGATAAGATAAAGCTTGGTCGCCCGCCACTTTACCTCCTGCTCCTACTTACGGCAGCGGGATAAGAGTGGGCTTTGCTTTCTTTGCCGATCTCGTCTAATCATCTGAGAAGGCGCAAAAAAAAAGCCGACGTTATCATGCCATTTGCGGGGTAAAAAGCGTAGGTGTGTTGCTGATCGTCCGCCCCGCGGAAAAATCCGGGTCGAAGAAAGGCAAATGATTGAATACATGGACAAGGGGAGGTAAAATATGTGGTACATGATAGTTACTGGACGGAACTTTGCCGTATAAGGAAGCTGCGTTTCGGGAATTCCAGATTGGGGAAGCACAGCATGCTTCAGTGGTGGAGATGTGGGTTATTAGGGGGAAGGTAAGCATGGAAGTTAAGGTGACTGATTGGATTGGGGGAGCTGTTACAAAAGCGGGGAAAGCATGATTGATAGTGGGCAGAGAGCGATGGGCAATGCATGCGTGTGTCATGTCAGTGTGCTAGTAGCGTAGCAAAAAAGAGAGAGCTTATCACGAGCGCGCCTATCTCCGCTTAACAAAACTAAGCATGAAAACAAGTTTAAAACTCTAAAATAAGCGCCGTGCACGCACGCACACGCACACGACACAACTTCAAGACACTAGAATAGGGAGGTCATTCTTGGCATGAACCATTGCATTGCAACTAGGAAACTCTTCTTTTTTCCCCAAAAAAGCAACACGCCTGTGCGAATCCGTAGTAATAACCACGCTTGCCTGTGAACAGACTCCTTGGGAAAAACGCCAGGCTGATAAACAAGCCAATGCTCTAAATTCACACTTTGTCCTGCCCATCTTTGCCCCATCCTAAATTTCAGATGGTAGCCGCACAACCTTGCAAACGCCGCCCTGATGCAGTTTCGTAAAATGCTTTGAAACGACTGTTTCCCCTTGATTCGGGAACAAGAAAAAGAAGCGAATAAAAAAAAAGAAGCCGCGAGTAAATCGTTACGCGTGTTAAATAGATAAGCAGAGAAGCGAAGACACAGTCTGTGATCCGAGAGAGCAAAAAGGCGCTACTACGATCGGACAAAGACGCTGTTGAGCTTGTTCAGTGCGCTGCTGTCGGCAGCTGTGCTGTTCTTGGCAAGTCGTTCTGGGGCCAGATCGCGGGGAAACCTCGATGCAGTGTTTGGGCTGCGGCTGCCAGAACGGCTGGTGCTCTGGTTGTCCTTGGTCTGGATGTCGCCATTGAGCAGCGAGTCGAGCGTTGGCAGCGGTCTCGAGGGTGGCGGTGCTGATGTGGTGGTAGGGGCGCCGCTAGGCTCTGATGGGCGAGAATCCGACTTGTCAGAAGTCTCTGGGGTTGGCGGCCTATTGGCACCTGTCGAGGCGGCGGCACCGTTGATGGCTGGTAGTTGGGGGCCTTGCTCGGGAATGGATTGTGCAGGTGCTGGCGGAGGAGCAGGCGCGCCGACTCGCTGTAAATGTTGCTGACGTTGAGCGTGCTCGGCGGCTGATGGAGTGCGCAATGGAGGTGTCGTCATATACTGCTGAGCAGCGTGAGCAGCGTGAGCAGCGTGCGCCGCATAGGCGGGGTGCTGCATAAGCATGGGATGGTGGCCCTGGGGAGCGTGAGGATGTGCGATTGGCGGCTGCGCGCGGTCATAGACATGGGCCTGGGGATGATATTGGGGCTGTGCATAGACTACACCGGGGTAGAAGTAAGGGTGCTGTGGGTAGTACGCGTGTAATGGAGAAGAGCCATTCGGAGGCGTAGGAGGATAGATAGGGACCGCGTACATGGGCGCGACAGGGCCGCCGCGTGTGTAGGGCGAAGAGGGGGCCATGCTGTGGCCTGGAGCATTGTATGGGGAACCAGGCATGGGGCCGCGAGTGACGGCAGGCACGGATTGAGTCTCGTTTACTGCAGACTCGGGGTACATGTTCTTGGGCGGTCGAATGTGTCGCAGCTGGGCATCGTTTGTGGGTTGGGGGAGATTGTTGGAATTTGATCGTGAGTAGTAGCTGATGAGGTGGAGGTGCTGTCCGCTCTGTGTAGTGATGCTGAAGGACTGCTTCATCAGACCGTCGGGCTTGTATCGGTAGCCGTCTGGTCCCTCGCCCTCAGAGTCTCCGTTTGCCGAGCCGTCTGGTGACTTTCCGCTTGCGCGCTTTGCTACTGGCGGAGTAGGCACAGCGCTGCCTCCTCGCTTGCCCTCCATTTCTCGGTATGTGAGGAAGCTGCCAGAGACGCGGCTGGCGCTCCATGATTTCCCGTCGGTCCATCGTCTCATGCCGGCCTCGCGCTCGTCCCACACGAATACTGAGCCGGACTTGATCTGCTGGCGCTCCTTTTCGGACAAGCGGCGCTGGACGCGCGGTAATATGCCAATGCGGCAGGCCTCGAACAGAATGATGGCATCGTTAGGGGTGCGGACATGGCCGTGGTAGGTCTCCATGGCAGTGGTGGTGGTGGTGGTGTGTGTCTGTGTGATGTGTGATGTGTGATGTGTGGCGTGTGGTAGCAAGATGGTACCGTAGTAATGTGAGGTCAGTGCCTCATGGGTATCTTTGGGGTCAATGTCAGTTTGTGGGTGGTGGCAGATAGAGCGAGTGTACTTGGGATTAAGTACAATTCGCAGTGAAGAGAGTGGGTGCAGGGTACCCGGCAACGTCGGGACAAGGCGAAAGTAGGCATAAAAGCTAGTACAATGCCTGACCCCGGAGTGGAGGTAGCGTACAGGCGGGCGAGGCTAGCTAGTAGGCGAGACGAAACAAGAGGCAGATACTTACGGGAGGACGTGCGACTGCAACAGTGATTGCGACAAGGCGTGTGTGTATGTGTATGTGTGTGTGAAGGTGTGTGTGTGTGTGGCTGTGCGGTCAGATCAAGGCTGGCCGGGTGTTGGGTGGAAGGCTAGCGAGGTGAAACGAAGCCGGGGGGAGGAAGAGTCAGTACAGCAGGACGAGGAGATGAGGAGATGAGGAGAACAAGAAAAAGGCGAAACTTTTTCAAAAGCCATGAGCAGTCATCTGGGCTCATGTACTTGCTCACGGGCAGGGCAGCGCAGGCTTGGGCCCCAGAAATGACTTTTGGCCCTTTCTCGGCGTTGGGATAGCGTCTCTGGATCGCCCGCCGCGCGTGGAGTGGCGGCTGATAGCGAAATAAGGCCCACAAGCAGCCGAGACAAGCTTTGCTCGGAGGCCGCTGACTGTGCTGACTGGGTGGAAGTAAGTAGAGGCAGTATGTAGTCGTGTGCGTGAGCATGTTCTATTCATGCATGGCCGTGGAAAAGTGTAGTGTAGTGTAGTGTAGTGTAGTATAGCAGCGTGAATGCTCGCAAACACGCAACCACACAGGCGCGCACACTCGAGGAAATGAAGCGCCCAGCCTGCCACGGCTGCCACGGCTCTGGTGGTCAGCGCCATGGGCATCGGCCGGCCAAGCTTTAACTCTAAACGAATCTTTATTTTCGACAAGCCTTCAGCAGCTTGGCGGGCCCAGTCGTGACAGTCCGGCAATCCGTCTTGTCCTACTTGGCTGGTCGAAGCGGGCGGTGCCCCAATCTACCAAGCACAGCCAAGGCGTTCCAACCGCCTGTGTCTGGCCATACTACGCCCTCGCCCTCCATGGCGTCCTTGGCTATCTGCCCACAAGACGCCCCCAAACCCGCCAGCTCTGCTCGGCGCCCTTGGTGCTGGCAATCAACCTGCCGCTCTCCGTCTGTTGTGGCCTACGTGGAGCTTTACGAGCACTGAGCACTGAGCACTACTCGACATTACCAACTCCACACCAAACGTAATCAACCCCCAGTCTCACTCAGCCTGTACCACCACCACTACCACCGCAGCCATACAAACACACTCGCCCGCGAATGCCATCAAGCTTAGCGCATGCCGTTTAAGCTTACCACCGTGCCACGCCCATCCCAAACCCGTCCACACGGTAACTCAGCCCGTCCCTTCTTCCTCCACATGACATGCCTGTGCTCGACCACAACCTCCTGCATTTCGCCCGCGCCTGATCGTCGCTTCAACACTACTATTATATACTAACTACGCTACTTTCACCCACACATAATTACACTCTCTATTCACTTGTGCAACCCCCTTTCTCTCTCCCCTTCCGTGGCCTACCCCCTTCACCTGCCCTCCTAGTACCACTTGCCTCCACAACGCCACGGCACCTAGCGTCTCAGCTGCCCTAGACAGACAAAGGCCCGAATTGGCCTTTATTGGCGCTGGGTCACACTCAAGCCAGCCAAGACACACACAAACCCTCCCGTCGACTTTGGCACCGCCAGCCAAGATGCCACCACCAATGCTTCCTCCTGCTCTTTCCACTGCTCTCATCCACTTTTCAACTCCCACCCGATGAGTCCTTCCCGTCATCCGATTTGCCAACATGCCGCGTCATCCGGCTTCCCACTCAAGCCCGCCCAGCGTTGGCTTTCTCCACCCCCCTCCTCTTTTCCTGCGCCCGCCCTTTTGTCCCTAACTGCCTATGTATCCGCTCGCATCCGCTACAATGATATCCTTCCCAGCTTACACCGCACTTTCTCTTTTTTCTTACTTCTTTGGCCCCATCCATACCTATTAAAATCAGCCCTTTTTCCGATTCGCTTAGCATATACTGGGGGGCCTGTTAGAATACGCACTAGCCGACTAGCCAGCGTAAGCAGATAAGGTTGGTTCGCAGACATTAAGCATAATTCTCTGGCCCGCTTTGTTCCCTAGGCTATTTTCCTCGCTCTCTCTCTCTCAACAAGCGGTGGCAAAACACAAACGCCCCGTCGCACAAAAGCCACAGATTGATTTAGTGTAGGAGGGATGTAATATGTGACATGTGATATGGCACGAAGCAGCGAAACAATCGAGATCTCATCGTATAGCCAAGTGTTAAGTAGGCTAATCCGGTTTTGTCGCTGCAAAGAAGAAGAAAAAAAAGCCACACAGAAATCATACGAATATACCGCTCAGCTCAGCCTGGGCAGCCGCCACATCTGGCGCTGCTAATGCAAACATTTCCCTCGTCTTTGCTTTTCCCGTTTCCCGCCGCATAACATGCTCATCTCCTCTCCTTCCTCCTTCCTTCCTCCCACCGCTTACTTATTTTCTTCCTTAGTTTATTCTACTTTACTTACTTGGCTCCGTACCCGTTTTCACCACGGACCACGGGCACACGTAAACCGGGGCCATGTATCAAAGTAGAGTAAAGTACGGGGGCCAAGCCCCAATTTGATTCATTAGGGCTTGTCCATGCGAGACGGACTTGGCCCTTCTTCCTCTCTCTCTCCCCCTTCGCTTTTTCGCCCTGCGTATATGAATTTATCCGGTTTAACTAGTACTATGGCTACGTACCAAGCAATTAGATGAATTATTCCAAGGCTCTATTGTTTCTAGCTTGCTTCCTTTCCAATATCGTATGTATCGGAAAGATGGAATGGACTATCTGAATCATCCATGTATGATCGTCGTCGTTTCGGACTTTTTGCCAATCAAACGGATTTTTTTTAGCAGACTGGGCTTACTGTGTTCGCTCTGACACATGCAACACAACACATACATCTTCTCGCGCCTCCGATCTTTGCGTAATGCTGAGCATGAGGAGAGAGGGGGCGGAGGGGGGAGGGGGGGAGGGGCTGTGTATAGGTAGAGAAGGCGAAGAAAAAGTGGCGTCTTGGGGTTTTTTATTGGATCAGTGTTTAGCACTTGTCTTGTCTTGTCTTCTTTTGTCGGAACTTTCGGACTTTCTTTTTTTCTCTTTCTCGCCGTTTAGTTCATGGGTTTCTTGGGGGAGCTTACATTGGGATTACGTAGGCTAAGAAGTCGCGTTGTAAATGTGTCTGCCTGGAAAGGAACAGAGAGATTTGAGCGAGTCAACGCAAGAACTCTGGAGATGGTAATGAACGTAATGTGAGTGAAGTGGGGAAGCAGGTTTTTTCTGAATAACAAAAGGAAAAAAGGGGAGTGGAAAGGCCAGACGTTTGAGGCAAAACTGGGTTTTTTTGGTCCAGACTAAATTGAGTGTCGAACTTTGGTTATGGCGATGCGCGGTATGACTAAGAAAAGCTGTAAACCTTAATTCCAGATTGTGAGATGCCAAGTAACCAAATGCTTATTTTTGGTTTCCCCCAGTCTCTACTTCTCTCTCTCCTTTTCAGTAATTGATTGTCCGTGTTACTACTATGATTGTTCTAGTGTATATTGTACTACGATCGTATAATAGAAGTATCAAGTTATTTTGGTCTTTTCAATATTTTTGTTTGATTTGCAGGAGAAATTCGGGTTAGTGCTTAGATGAGATTACATACACATGTGCTGTACTTATGTACATATGCATATGCATGGGTCTTTTTGTTGAATTCTTTTGGAGAGAAAAAGGTTTCACATGTAACTACAACAAAGTTTGAGAAATAGGGAAGGTTACACGAGGAGGTATGAGTGGAATAGACAAGTAATATCAAGGCTGAAATTTGATATGGAAAAACGTTGAGGTGCTATATAGTTCAGCGCAGTCATCCTGGTGAGAGATAACAGGAGATGGATAATGACGATAAAAGAGGGTATGTGAAATGTGGAATAAGAAGTCGCTAAGTATGGGAAGAAACGGCCTATGAACATTATCTCAGTCGCTCGCTCAATTTCATTACTCACTCCACCCCCTACTCCTTCACAGCCTTCAACCTAACCATCAACCCCGGTTTCTTCCAAAGCGTAAACACCTTCTGCACCGCCATCCAATCGCTCTCTTTATCCACAAGCTCGAGATCAAACGAGAAAAAGACGGAAGTAATGATAAGACGGAGTTCGGCCCAAGCGAGACTATTCACCAAAGTTAGCTTTATCCCTTTTCAATACTCCACAAATGGGAAGAAAATAGAGGGGAGACATACTTCTTGCCAATACAATTCCTCGGTCCAAAACTAAACGGATTCCATCCCTCCTTTTTATCCCCACTATACTCTCCATTCGCCCCCTCGAGCCATCGTTCCGGCACAAACACATCTGGGTCTTTGAAATGGCGCGAGGAATGGTACATGGCATATTGACTAACATACACAGAAGTACCTCCTGGAATGTAGTGTCCCGAGACATTACCTCCGCCTTGTGGAGCAACGCGTGGGAAAGCAGTGGGGACGGGGGGGTACATACGCAGTGTTTCCTGGATGCAAGCGGTGAGGTAGGGAAGCTGCGATGCTTTTTCCGCATTGATGTCTGCGAGAGAGGTGAATGCGGAGCGGATTTCTTGCACCATCTTGGTATAAATCTCCGGGTGTCGGAGAACGAAAAAAGTAAATCCAGATAGCGTGGTAGCAGTTGTCTCGCTGCCGGCAGTCAGAAACGTAACGGCGTTTGCATCCATTTCGGCGCGCGACAGCCGCTTCTCCTCGCTGACGTGGTTGCGCATGAGCTGGCCGAAGAAATCCGGTTTGTCGTCGTCGCCGTTTTCGATCTGTGCGAGGCGCTCCGATACTTTGGCCGAGGCTTTGAGACTGAATTGGCGGCGGCGCTCTTCGTTCTGCCTTGTGTCCTGGAAGAGGTTGCGAGCCCAGTCGTAGAATCCTACAAAGCCGTACTTGCGGGTTGACATTATGCTGGCCACGCTCGACGCACTGTAGACTAGGTCGATCCATTCGTGGTTCTCCGAGTCGCGCAAGCAGTAGAGAGATTCGCCAAAGGCGAGGTCGGCGATGATGTCAAAGGTTATGTAGTCTATTTTACACGTAATGACTCAGTCTGTGTATTCCTTTTTTAGACATGCAAAAAGGGTTGAAAATACTCACTGTACCAGCGAACAATGTCCATGACTTCGCCTCGTGCAGCATGCTCACCCATTCGCTGGACAAGCAGATCGACGTAGCCCTGGAGAAGAGATTCCTGCTGCCGAAGCGACTTTTCACTAAACAAGTGCGAAAGGTTACGACGCTGGCGAGAGTGGGCTTCTTCGTCAGCGCTGAGCATAGACCGTACGCCAGCAATGGGTTTGGGACTATTTGTACGCAAGCATTCTTGTCAGCAATCTTGCTCCTCATATCTACAAACCACACAGCTGATATGTTACTTACTACCACGCGTGATCTTTCAGGTACGTTCCTGTACCCTTGTACTTGCCCGTGCGGAAGCCATAAATATCAGACCATGCAGTGTCTGCTGAAGTAAACGAAACCTCATTTGGAGCCACGCGAACCGCATCTCCGTATTCTTCGTGCAACTGCGTGATCCATTTGGCAATTTCGCCACTGCGCGTCTTGATCACATATGGAAGGGGACCCGCCCGCGCGAGAAGAGGTCCAGGAACGTGTCGGAGTGGGTGGAAGAATAGATTATATATGCCGCATCCCAGGACGTAAATGGCAATCTGCGTTGAACGTTATTCGTACGCTGTTTCCTTTGCTGGTAAACTGCATGTTGTATGCAGAAAGAGCACGTGACATGTAGAGGGGAAAATGAACATCCCACTTACCGAAGCCAGAAAGATCCCAGAGGAAAACACAACTCCCTTCGCACTCACCACCTCAAACCCAAAACGATCAGAAATGGTCTCAAGAAACATCTCTACCCACGAAAAATATCGACAGATTCAAAGACGATGTGTTTCCCGACTACCCATCTCGCAGCAAAACATCAACCTATGCAATGCGCGTGTGATGCAAGACCCTTTATACCTCCACCACCACTACACCTATAAACCCAAACCGACTGGCTAGAGAGAAAAAGCAACCGAACAACCGAACAAACACTCCAGAACACCCTTGCAGCACTCCGTATTTGTCTCAAATACACAAGATCTACACATGCAAGAGCAAATGCAACGGCGTATCGGACGGCCGCACCAATCCCCCGGTGCTAGTTCTAGAAACTTGGTCACGTACATCTACCCCGGTCCATGTCCTCTTTCTCTCTCTCCCCCTCAGCAAAGCTGAAAAAATAAAAATAAAAAACACGTGTAAGCAGTTTTAGTGTGTCTAACATGCGTATCTATATGCGTAACTCCTGCGTGACAAGAAGAGGGGGTTTCCTCTTTGTCTCTCGTCTTTCTGTCTGATCTGCGCGTGTCCAGTGGTACCAATGCAAATGCCAACGGCCATGGGCGGCGGTGAGACAACCAAAAGTGGGCTCTCGGCCGAGGGGGTGATCGACGGACCGCTGAGCCTCTCGGTGGCATCGGGTGTGTCCCGGCTTGTTCGGTGGAAATAGTAGTTATTGCATTCGAGTAGTATAGTATCGAATTTTGGGCGCCTACATATCGAAAAAGAATTGTGGGGCTCTCAAGGGGAGATATGTATCTAGGGTTGTTTTTGTTGGGTTATGCATGTCGAGAGGTGAAGAGGTATGGTTACGCTTTTTTTTCTCTTGCGTTGCTGTGGATGCAGCTGGTGAGGGGGTGGCTACTACTAAGGGCTTGGTGGGATGGTAGCGTATGGTTCGAAAGAGGGTTACCCCGCTGTGTACGAATGCATAGTTTCGGTATGGGGATGGGAGGATTAGCTTTTGTCTAGCATGTGAACCACCCAAAAGAACACTGGCGACTTAAGCAACGTGCAAGAGGTGAAGACAGGTTAGTGATGTGGAGCCCTGTTGGATTCCGGATATGGCTTGATGTGCAGCAAGGAGTTCTAGTAACATAATAATATATCGGGTCAGCAGTAGCGATGCCAGCCTATCCTCTCACAATATACCTAGGTATCTGAATCTCGTCTTTTGATTCCATGTACACGGTAGTTGCCTCGGCCCGCCACATTTTATTTCCCACATCCCTACCAGTAACGTCAGACCTATCAGTCAGCTGCATGCATATCACAAGAAACCTGTCGTGTGCCGAATTAATACCAAAGTTGCCGTAATGATACTCAATTTATTATCTCAAAGAGCATTGAAAGAAGAGCTAAAAAAAACAGAGAGACTTCATGTTCATCTTCTCATTCCCATATCCCCAAAAGAAAAATCCCACATATTCCCCCAGCTCATCATCAAATAACCTCCTGCTTCCTTCTCCCCCAGTCAAATGGACAAGTTAAACAACCGCCCTTCCCAATAACCCAAAAACCACACCCAATCTACTTCGTCAACCTCCTCGACGACCCACTTCCACTTTCAAAAGAAGTCAGCAAAACATTCGCATTTTCATTTTTAAAAACTCCCCACTGCCAGTACCACTACCAGCAACCAGCAACCACCAATCACACCTTCCCTCTCCCCTAAAAAAAAGAAATCAAACTCACTCACCTCTTCTCCGTCGCCGCATTCCATGTCTTCACAAACGCCTTCTGCGTCCTATCCGTATACTTCTCCGCATTCAGCTCCCTAACCCCGACTTTAGCCCCGTCTTTGGTGAAGACGACGTTTTTCTTCTCCATGTGCTTCGTGCCGCGCTCGGCTAGCTCTTCGGAGTAGAGGAAGATCTAAACACACATAACACGCATACATTAGCTTGAATTCACTCTGATTTTATGATGGCATAGCAGTCGCGGTCGCAGGCTCATAGGCTCACTGCGTTCGCTGTGGCTCACGGGCTCGCATTGTTCGCATTGCTCGCGATCGCAGCGCTCGACATGCGGGGATTTGCGGTTCATGCGATAAAAGAGAAAAAGAAGGGAAGAGGGGGCGGGGGGGCGGCGTACTTGATATCCCACCCAACCCAACCCCGCAACTACAGCGAAGAGGATGAAGAGCGGAATCAGATTTAAAGCGCCCATGGTGTTTTTTTTACTGGATTCGAGTGTGGAGAACAAAAAAAGTGGCTCGTTGGAAGCGCGCCGGGGGGGGGGTGAAGGTGACGTGAGTTGACGTGGTACGCGCGAACTGGAAAAGCGACTCGAGAAACGGTGGGCGCGGGGGAGGGCGTTGCGTGCGGGGTGGGCGTCGAAAGAGTAGCGAGTAGCGCACGAAAACGAGTGGAAGAGTAGCAGTTGGGGTTACAGTAACGTAGTTGCGGTATACCACGGCTTCTTAATAGAAACAGGGAGAAAGTGAAATAGTGGCGTAAAGGCTTACGAAAAGTGGCTCAGAACCACACCACTTGTAAAATTGCTTTCAAGGGGGGGAGGGAGGGGAAGGGAAATAACGCGCTCCGTTTACCTACATGGCGCAGTCATGCTCCAGACGCTGCTGAAACCCTGGATGCTGGGTAGTAAGCCCTTAGCGTCGAGTCGTCGGCCCGCACCCGATCTATCCGGGCATTTTATCGTTTTTGCGCCGCTTGGCAAGTGATTATTTTTGTTGCAACATGGGCATGGGGTTATGGCCGGGAGGCCTTTTTTTTGACATTTGTATATCATTACTACATGTCATGCTGTGGATGTGTCTTAGATAAGGCATCACATGGATCCTGGTGTATGACACTCCAAGGGACGGACCACAAGAAACATGTGCCGCAGTATGGGATGGATCACGATACGAAAGTTACGTGCCGTCCCCCCCGTATATATACTTTTGAGGTACTTGCCGGGCATGTGATCACGACGATTCTGGACATGACCTCTCTTTTTTGCACTTTGTTCTTACATTGCTACTAGATCACTAACAGCTTTTTCAAGGAAACATGGGTCCACATACGAGAACATGTCTCCTCGCCAGAACCAGGACCTGTGCACTACTGAGTCCAAACTTGGTACCGATAACTGAGAGTCGACCAAATAGCCAGTCGCGTTGCTCTTGTGGTACACTCTCAGCGTTTGCTGCGACGTATAGTGGCCAGACTAACGAGTATCCGCCAAAAGCTTCTGCGGCTGTAAACTGTCAGTATGCTAAAAGTCCATCCTGGGTAATCTCTCAAACACTCACCGTTTTGTTCCTGACCCGTCTCCTTGGCCAAAGGCTGGAGCTCATAGCTCATGTGAAAAGGCACGCATGCACTAATCTCATCCACCATTGTTTGAATGACAAACACGCTCTTGTTCCACGCCTGATCTTCTCCTGAAAAGTCTCCACCAGAGCTCAGCCAGGTTATACAAGCCATGATGACCCGGCAACAAAATATTCTGCAAACGCGGTAGTCATTCATGATACTCGCCAGTGGCACGTCGTGATACACATGCTGCTCGCCAGGCCACTTCTCTGCCAAGGCAATATCCTCGGGCGCCAGTGTCTCATTGGATATGCTGATAATGCGGTGTTTCCATTCCGATGGCAGCGTGCGATACCATTCTTCAAGGTTCCCATCAACTGTTTGTGCGAAATCGAGTATCTGTTTGGCCTCAGATTCGTACCTGGGGTCGTATGGCATAGAGGTGAGGGTGTTTGCGCGGGCGCGAAGATTCGGTAGATCAATGCAGATAAGTGTTAACCGGTTGGCAGCGTTTTCATCACTGAACTCGCCAGTTCCAAGCCACCCTGCCGCACCAGGAAACGACTCGATAGGCTTGGATCGCTGGACGCAGCTTGTAATCTACATTCGCTTAGTTGCTGATCCTCATGGATAGAGTATGGAGTCTTACCATCATTGTGCGCACTGCACGAAATATAGCATGAGACATGGGGTCATTGAACTGCTCCGTTCCTCTTAATTTTGTCAACGCGACAGCTCCATCCACATGATTCCCCCATGCTCTGATGGTGTCGTCGGTACTCATGATTGTCTGCAGATTGTTAGATGTAGCTCAATCATCCATCGACTCGAAACACAAGTCGAATCAAGGCCTCATGACTTACTTCGTATAGAGAGAACATGAGTATAGCAAGCACTGTCTCATCGCTCTTGGACATCTTGGGATCTCGAAGATCTTGGTGTAGCTTCTTGATAGCTTTGCCGTAGGTGGACACAGCTTCGCGAAGGAGCCGGTGTCGACCGGGATACTGACCACATGTTGCCATCGCAACAGCATCAGTGGCAAGGTGCAGTACAGACGAGGGACGGGCACTATTGTAAAGGGGAACCAAGTACTCGAGAAAGCCTCTTGTACTTTCAGCTTGTTGCGGCAAGGTGATGAAGTTTTTGAAGAAAAAGGGCACGGCCTCGCATTCTGGGGAGAGGAAAATGGTATTTGGGACTGCGTTTTCGAAGTTCCAGACGAAAGTCTCGAAATCGAATGACTTATCCAAAGATTGTGAAGGTGTTGTAGGGCTAGATAGTGCTAGTAGCTGCTGTGATTGGATCAAGTCTGATCGCTTTTGTGATTTTGATTTTACTCTCCTAGAGGCCTCACCTCGTTGGAGCGCATTGTCCACTGGCCACGCCTCGAACGTTGAAGATGGTGACCTGATAGGGTTAGCTGGGTTCCTATCTTGTGCGAATCACATAGCAGCAAATAGTCGACACTGACAGAAAGACGATGGCGTCCAAGCACATGATGGGGCTGATTGGTGCGGGTTGGTTGCATCACTAGTGGTTCGGTCTAATACATACAGATATGGAGAAGTATGTGAGCTGGAACTCCCAGTACTACTACTCGACCGAGTAGTCCCAGAAGATTTCCTCGCCTTTTTTGCCATTGCCTTGTTCTCGTCCCGGAAAACCAGATCGAAGTCGTCTGGATATCCTGGACACACACGGGCTGATTTCTTGCAGTTGCCACATGTCGGCCGTTTTTCATCGCACTGGGCAAGATTAGTGGACGGGCTAGAGTGTACGTAAAAGCGGTTGCTGTCACTCGCAAAGGATTGCCTGGACCCTTGATGGCATGGAAAGAGAAATGGTTGCGAGAAGGAGATGCATACCTTTATTCGGCGGGTCTTGCACATACCACACCCACGGCTCGGCTTACCGGTGTAAACCATTGTTGTATAAGAGCAATCCAAGAGACGTAAGAAAGATCAAAAACAGTTTTGTCCTGACACTTGGGCGCAATCCAATACTATCTTGTTTGTTTGTTCTGGAAGGCCTGGCTATAAGCGAATTGGAAATGGAGCAGTGATGTGCCTGAATCGACTTGAGGTGACACTGCCCCTAAAGCGTACGACTACTATTAAATCTCCGTCACCACTAAATTGCAGCAGGCGTCGTCGAGTGACGAAACTTGGATAAGGTTCTGAGCAGGCGGACGGGCAGCGCTGCGACTACCGAGGCATGCGACAACCGGCTCGAAGAATCGAGTTTCATGCGGTGGTCACGATGGCCATGCGTGCGGGCAATGCGAGGTCTTGAGCCCTAGGGCAGGATTTCGTGATCGGACGGCTGGAGATGCAAGGAGACAAGGCAGACTGGCCAATGGGGAGGGCCGGAGGCGTAAGTTTACACCAGGAACAGCATCTTGAAGACGGCAGATGGAAACATTGGCATTCCGAATCGGCGGACAAGTGCGCACCGAAAGTCCATGACCGAAAATGCAGTGGAGGTCGATGTGTTTTCTCGCAAGCAATACCAGATGCGGCTTAGGGCGGCAACGAAAACAGTGGCGCAGCTGTGTGGCCGTGTTGGTCGCATTGCTTGCTGGGCGTCTTGAAAAGGAGCGTCATGTCACTTGGATGTTTTAATATTGCTGCCTGGCTTTCTGTGTGTGCATGCGTGTGTAGGCACTTCCCTGGCGCGACCCAGACGCGTCACGCTCTGCCGTCTCTGCAGCAAAGGGCGACAATATCTAATGACTAGATGATGCAGAAACAACTCGGAATGCGGGGAACGAGAGAATGAGTCGGGCTAAAGATTAGATGGGAAGAAGAGCAGGAACATGGGTGAGGAGAGCTGATTGGGGTCGAAAGAAAGGGCGAGTCAGAAACTCAGAGTGCTCCGAGGCGACGCACCCAACGAAGAGCAGGCAGAGGGATTCCTTCCCCAAAACCCAGGATGCGCCTTCCGATTCCAACTCTGACGACAGTCGCGATATCTTGGCCATGCGACATCAATATTACTCTGAGATGCTCACTTCTGAGCCTGTTTCCGCACGTCATCTTGGCCTGCAGGTGTGTTGGTCTGTCATCAAGTCAGACTGCAAACAGAGCAGCTCAGAACTGGAGCCGAGTTCCCGGTGACAATGTTGAGAGCGCCCAACAGCATAGGGACGGACGATTTACGGTGGGATAGTGGAGGTTGAAAAGTCCGCCTGCAGTACAGGGCACAGCATCAAGCACGAGGTGTATATGGTGAAAGAAGGAGACGAGATGAAGCGTCTTGTGCGTGACCCTAGGTGGTTGCACGCCATTGTAGTGAGTCGACTCTCGAGTGACGGATTGTGCTTTGGTAGGGATGGAAGTCACGTGACAGTCATGTAAGAAATCGTTATGAGCGGACAAGCAGGAGCAGCAAGAGAAGCAAGCTGAAGCGGTCACGTGGGGTTGCTTGGTAACGGCTTGCCGTGGGCAAGTGCGAGGTTTGATTGAGGGAGAGATGGCGGCGGGGATGCGAAATTAGCAGGAAATTACTTCGGATAAACCGTTCTAGATCCTAGCCTTAACACGGCACTGACATGGCAAGGAGCAGTTAAGCGAAAGTGAGTGTATAGAGATTAATGAATAGCATGTGATACTACGACACTGTGCAAGAGGGAACCGGACAAGGCGATTGTACGCATCTGCGTACATATGTAGTAGAGAAAAACAAAGGGTGCAATGAAAAGGCGGGCGTGACAGGCGCGTGGCCAGGGCTCTGGTGGATGCAGGGCCTGATGGCGGCAAGGGGACTGGCCCAGCGGGACTCTGACTCTGGCTGGTGGCTGAGAGATCGCGTGGTCCAGGCGACGATGAAGGGGGGTGAAGGGCATTGGACGGGCGATTTCCATGTACTTACTCTAGGCCCTAAGCAACAACCACCAAGACACACGAGCTGACGAGAATGTCTTGGCCAGGCGAAAAGCCTGCCGGTTGGTCACTGCATGCTATTGTTGTTGCTATTACTGACTACTGCTGCTGCCGCCAGCGGATGCTATGAGCAATCGCCAGCAGCAACATGTGTGTACGCGTAAAATATCTCCGTCCTCCACTTGCACAGCCCTGTCTTTGGTGGACGTCATACTCGGACCAGCCACTGCAACCGTCGAAAATGGCCATGTGGTGGCCCTGCATTCATACATACCCGTCTATTTTTACGCGCACAGCCACGCCATCAACGGTCGGCGCGAGAGCCCGGCGACCGGGGTCGCAGCAGAGACATGGCTTTGGGACAGTTGTTGAGCAATTGTGCATGAGCAGCGTCATTATCAGCAGCAGCAGCAGCAGCGGCGGCGGCGGCGGCGGCGGCGACGGCAGTACTATCTGGTAGCAGCAGAAGCGGCGTCCCGTTGTGCGAGGATGGGTTTGTGAAGCATGACAAGAGCGCCCAAGAGGGCCATGTGTTAAGCGTCTCTGGGGATGCTTAGGAGGGCGGCGAATCCTCTTAGAGCGGACCCGAGCGAGGGGCGTCGATAGGCTGGTCTTGGAGCAGCATTGCTCAGCTCGTGTGCGCGATTACGAGACTGTCTTTGCTGGCAGCAGACAGGTCGGGTTAGCTAGCCAGCCCTCATGTGTGTGCGCACCGCCGTGTCCTGTCTTGCCATTGTCTAGTACTGCTAGCCGCACGGCGCGTGTGTGTTGTATGTAGCTAGTCCTCTAATAGCCTGTATCTGTGGCACGACCGACGAGCGCAGGGCGGCTGATAAAAAGAAACGCATTCCCGCGCCCTTCGCAACTATCTCCCTGCACCTGCACCGAGTTGTTCCCCTTCCGCCTCATCGCCCAGCTCGTTCGTGTTCTCGAACGCGGCCCAACAAGCATCCTTCGATAGCGCTGGATCCAGAGGCCTGCGCCATTCCCCCATCCCAGTGCAGCTAGCGCCGCGCGTCTTTGCCTGATTCGCGTGCCCGCCCCTCCCCCCTTGCCTCGCTGCCCGCACGGTTTCAGACCAGAGCAGAATACTGGGCTCGGGCGCCTCTCTTCCCTCTCCTCAACCACCACATCGCTCGCTCTCGTTCGTTATCTGTTTCACCTGTGCTACCGTCGCTTTTGCCTAGACGTTTGCCCGCCCACTGCCTGCTTCACGGCGCAATCGTCCCCTCTTGTTTTTTTTTGTCCTTCACTTTCCACAACTGCTCTGCTTGACACCACGCCCACATACTCGATTTAATCTATCTGTTTCTCCCTTTTTTCTTGCCCTCGAGGCACGTCCGTCGCACACGCCCTTCATTATCGACAGTCGCTCTCCCCCTGTGAGGAACGCCCGCGGGCGGACGACCACCAAACACCACTAGCAACAATGAGGCTCAACACGAGATACTCGACCATGCTCGCCCCCTTCATATTACTCGCCTCGGCCCCTCTAGGCGCAATGGCGGGCGACGTTTTGCAGACCAACGGCTTCAGCTCCTGTCTTGACGGCCCTTCGGACATTGTAGTAAACAAGCTCGACATCAAATTCGATCGCTCCACCAAGAAGGTTACCTTTGATGTCTCCGGCACAAACGAGAAGACGCAAAAGGTCATGGCCACTCTCACTGTAGCCGCATATGGTCGAAACGTCTACAACAGAACCTTTAACCCTTGTGACGGTGACGTCAAGGTTGACCAGCTGTGTCCGGGTACGCAAAATTCTCTCTTCTGGCCCCTTGATCAGATCCAATGCTAACCCAGCCCAGTTCCTTCTGGTACATTTAGTGCAAAAGGTGAACAGAGCATCCCAGACGATATCATGTCCCAAATCCCTGGCATTGCTTTCAACATTCCGGATATCGACAGTCAGGCCAAGATGTACCTCCGATCTATTGACACCAACCAAGACCTGGCCTGTATCACCTCGTCAGTCACCAACGGAAAATCTCTTTCCACCACAGGTGTGCAGTACATTGCTGCAGGAATTGCTGCCGGTGCTCTAGCCGTCTCTGGTATGGCCGCCTTCGCGAGCGCCGGACACGCTGGTGCCCCTCAGTCCAGCCCTACCTTTGGAGATGTCATTGGATGGTTCCAGGCCATGTCACTCAACGGCATGATGAGCGCCGACGTTCCTGGCGTCTATCGCAACTGGGCCAAGAACTTTGGTTTCAGTACTGGCCTTATCGGCTGGGACGACATGCAGCGCTCCATTGACACGTTCCGTAAGAATACCGGCGGCAATCTTACCGAAAGCAATTACGATTACCTCAAGAACGCGACCCTCGTCCACGTGAACCAGGACAAGAGCTTGAGCAAGCGCGCCATGAACCTGCTTCTGTGGGCTCGTGACGAACTGAGTACCAATGTCAACCAGGACTCGACCCCACAGGAAGGCGATAGCAAGCTCATGATCTACGCAAAGGACATGCAGGGCTATATCCAGGAGTACTCAATCCCTGATCGCAATGCCTTCATGACTGTTCTGCTCATCTTTGCCATTGTCGTTGCTGCCATCACCGTTGGTATCCTGCTCTTCAAGGTTATTCTGGAAACCTGGGCCCTCTTTGGCAGCTTCCCCAAGCGTCTGACGAGCTTCCGCAAGCGATACTGGTGGACCCTGGCAAAGACCATTACCAACTTGATTCTCTTGCTCTACGGTATCTGGGTCCTCTACTGTGTTTACCAGTTCAAGAATGGTGACTCTTGGGCCGTCAAGACGCTGGCCGGTATTACTCTGGCTGCTTTTACCGGAATTCTGGCCTTCTTCACCTGGAAGATCTATACCATTGCAAACAAGTTCAAGAAGATGGAAGGCAATCCCGATGTTCTCTATGACGACAAGGAAGTCTGGCGCAAGTACAGCATCTTCTACGAAAACTACAAGAAGAGCTACTGGTGGATCTTCGTACCGGCCATTGTCTTCATCTTTGCCCGTGGATGCGTAATTGCAGGCGCAAACGGTCACGGTCTTGCTCAAGCCGCCGGTCAACTTATTGTCGAATCCCTGCTCCTCATTATGCTTCTCTGGGCTCGTCCGTACTCTCTCAAGTCTAGCAACTGGATCAACATCTCCATTTCTGTTATTCGCGTTTTGTCCGTCGTCTGTATCTTGGTTTTCGTCGAGGAGCTGGGCATGAGCCAGACGACAAAGACCGTCACCGGTCTTGTGCTTGTCGTTGTGCAGGCTACTCTGACTGGTGTTTTGGGTATACTCATCGCGGTCAACGCAATCATCATTTGCTGCAAGGAGAACCCTCACCGCAAGAAGAGAAAGGAAGCTGGTAAGTTTAGAATCTCACTCGTACACAAACAACCCTAACAGCCCTCTAGAGAAAGCTCGTGATCTCGACAACCTTACTCCTCTCGACGCACGCAACTCGCTTCTTATGGATCCTCAAGAGTACAAGCGTAGCTCTCTTCCCTCGCCTTTTGGTCCCCGCACCGAGGGCTATGATCGCGTGCCTCTTGCCGATCAGCACACGGCCTATTCGGGTCCTGGTGGTCGCCCATTTGGAGAGGACCAAGGCCACCTGCTTGCTGATGCCTCGACATTCGGTCGCGCACCTTCGCATGGCCGAATGATGAGTCACGACAGCAGCCCAGGACCCGACGCGGAGATGGGATACCACCAACCTCCAGGATACGTTCCCAATGCTCCCAACGCTCCCTGGCAACCTCAACCTCAACGAGGCCCGTATTAGGTTAATAGGTTTCCAGCATCATTTCAAAGCGAAGACCTAGACGGAGTGTAGATACATGTACCGTCTAGGCACTGATTCCCCACTTTCCTTGAGTCTTTTGTCCTGTATTTGGCGGTGGTTGTTTGACAGATAGAGCGTGTCAAATATACCCCATTATCAGCTCCATTGCATCTGACGAGGCACGCCCTATACGGCTGTCTTGCTTGGCCCGATAACGAATCTTTCATTGAGTCGTTTTTATTTTATTTATTTTTCCTTGCATCTCTGTTTTCCTATTTTGGCCCGCAAGTAAGAGATCTGATACCAGTTCTTTTGTAATTCTCACGTCAAGCGCTAGGCCTGGGGCTTGCGCCAATCTCTTCTTTATTCTGTCATTGTGAAGGGGAAGGAAAAGTGAAGTCAAGGGGGCGAGGGGGGTGGACAAGTTGAAAGCCTGGGAGCTTGTGATTAAAGAAGAGGTGGAGGACATAGAGACATAGAGTGGAGGAGAGGAAGCAAGGAGACTGGGAATGTCTAGTGTAGATGTCGAACACCATATACCAAATCTCAAACACCAAATATCATAAGGCTCAAGAAATTCTGAACATGCTATGGTGAGCCATTGATATTCTCGTTCTCTAGAAATTCACTTGATGTACTACCAATTTTTTTTCTTTTTCAATTTGCTACATTCTATGATAACCGGACTGGAGCAAAGTGTTTACTCGCCCTTTCCAAACAATCAACGCACCTAATGCATCCAACCAAGCCATATTACCCTACTGCGTTTCTTTTTTTTCCGGACAAAAACCATCGCACTTGCCCCCCCCCCCCCCCAACGTCTAGAATAACCTACGTCATGCAACACCTCGTTCTATATAGTACCCAGGGCAGGCTTATAGCACAGTAAGTATACTCCCCTGTTCCTCTACTAACACTGCAAGTACGTATACCGAATCGCAGAAGAACACACAGACCGATCCGCCAACCCCCCTCCCGAAAAACCGGAACATGGTCCTTCACACAAGACATGCATTCTCTCTCTCACACACACACACACACACACACACACACACACACACACCTCCACGCCAAGCCAAATATCCTCTTCAAGCATGTATCTTTTGCCCACAGTCTCATCGCCTCTTGCTACAATTTCCCCCACCTTCTCTACTTTCATCCACAAAGCAAAAAAAAAGTGAAGAAAAAGTGAGTTCAATAACCGTCATGCATACTCTGCCATTTGCAAAACGCAGCCGAAATCGCGTGTCTCGCTCCCAGACGAGGCATCGCTACGCTGCGGCTGAAGTACGTGACTGGGGCTCGCGGCGGGCGCGGGCTGTGCGGCTCAGCTTTGTGGCTAGCTGTGCTAGCTTTTGTGTTCCTGCGTCAAGGACCACACCGTCTTCGTACCGCCTAGAGAGACAAAACAACCCGTCGCAGAAACACTCACGCACACCTCTCAGGCTTTCTCGCCCATATGGAATATCTCTATCTATCTATCTAGTAGACGTCAGCTCTGCCAGATTTAGCACCCACACGACCCAACCCGATTCCGCGCATTATCTCTCTTCAGCTAAACGACCAAGTGCGGGTGGGGGGTCGTCCGCATTCGATAGTCGAAGGCCAAGAAAGGGCCTAGCCAGGCCCTTTTTAGCTCTGCGGTTCAACGACGCAGGCCAAGCTAGGAGTCTTTGCCCTTTTTCCACCGGGTTGGTTTTGAGTTTGGGGGCTTCTAGGTTGCGGGTGTTGGCGGTCTCAGGAAGGACTGCGATGCGATAACGAAGGGGGCTAGTTAGTAGTAGTAATAGTGGGACCGGCATACCCGAGATGCTTGGGTTCTGTTGTTTCCCATCTTTCGATCGCTTGCTGCCCTTGTTTACTCTGTTGCCGTCTGCTTCTTTTCCTTTTTTTATTTTTTTATTTTAGGGGAGAGGGGGCTTGTTTGTGTTCGTACATAGCAAAGTGGTTCTAGACATATACCCGCTGTTTTGGGTATTGACAAGTATGTGTGCCAAGGGCGATAATGGTGGCTTGCGGGCGTGGGCCGCCGTATCGGCATATTCTTGGACCCTTCCACCTCCTTTTAAGGTTAGGACGGCTGCGCGTGGCGGGCTTGAGTGGCCCTTTTTGGGGTGGTTTAATGTTGTGTAAAGGGAAAAAGATTGGGGAGGGGATGAAAAGAGTCGCTTTCTTGGTCCGATACCTTTCTCTCTCTCTCTCTCTCTCTTTCTTGCGACTTTGAGAGAGTCGGTTTGCGTTTCTCTCCCTCTCTCGTTTTTCTTGGGTCATTCGTTACTGTGACGTTTGCTTTACCAGTCCCCATCTTTGATCCTGTCTATCGTGTTGTATCTGTCGTTTACAATCGCACGCCTGGTGATTCGAGGAGTCGTTCGTTGCAATTGCTGGTACGACTACGTTTACTCGAAACTCCTCAGGACCCGCGGCCCGTTGCTGGTACAAAAGGATCGTCCTAGAAAAAGAATAAAGGAAAAAACTCCGATCCTGTAGAATTCGCACAATCCCCTCTTGCAAACAGCTATGCGACGCACCGCGCTTATCTCCGCCACAACGGCGCTGCTCGCCAGCACCACGACCGCCCAATCCGTCGCCTCATCGTCTTCCAAACGCGGTCTTTGCCATGTCCCCTCCAACAAACACCCGGAAGACGACAAGATCTGGCTGGAAGGCCCTTCCCCGCCAACATGGTACTACAACTACAAACCAGAACCTACAGCCGAATATGCCAAAAACACCGCCATGCAATTCGTCCCTATGCTCTGGGGCGCCAGTCCCGACGACGAAGGCACCCCCTTCCTCGACTCGGTCAAACAGCAAATCGCAAACGGCGCAAACATCACCTACGTCCTCGGCTTCAACGAGCCCGACGGCGGCTACGACACCGGCGGCTCCAGCCTCGCCGCCAGCCTCGCCGCCGCGCGTTGGAAAGCCGAAATGGAGCCCCTGAAAGAACTCGGCGTCAAGCTAGGCGCTCCTGGCGTCACCGGCGCAGAGACTGGTTGGCAATGGCTCGAGAATTTCTACAATGAGTGCAATGGTGGTTGTAATCCAGACTTTGTGCCTGTGCATTGGTACGGCAATTTCGAGGGCATGATGAGCCATATTGGGCGGGTGACGAGTAAATGGCCCAACATGACGGTGTGGGTTACCGAGTATGGGTATCCGAATCAGCCGTTGGAGGAGGCGCAGGCGTTTTATAATATGAGTGCGACAAGTTTTGATTCTTGGCCGTAAGTCTTCCCCTCCTCCCCCCCCCCCCCCTCCTTTTCCTTCTTCTTGACCTGGCGATGCCATGAGCTAACGTGTGAATTTTGAAGGAATATCACGCATTATTCATACTTTGGGGCTTTTCGATCCGATGTATCGAATGTGGGGGCTAATGCGGCCATGTTGACGCAGGATGGAAAGTTGACGGATATTGGATCTTGGTACTTGGGGGGTCCGGCTACGAAGAACATTCCCAAGAAGTCTGCTGCTGCGGTTGCGGTTGGTGTGCCCGCTCAGGCATATGCCTTTGTTGCTACGGTGGCCATGTGGTTGTTCTGGGCTTAGAAGTTTCTGTCGTTATTCTGGAAGTGGCATTGATGTTGATTTTTGATGGAATAGTTGCGGCTGGCGGGTGTACATGATGTATACTGCTTGGCCATGTGCTTCGAAAAGCTTCGCACAAGCGAGGAAGGCCTGTGCGACTACGACTATCTTAGCATTTCAATGGTGTTTTGGACACTGGGTTATAAACGAATAGATTTGTGTTGTAAGGGCATGGATATGCTCACGGTATAACACTGGGAATAATGGAATTCAAACATTGATAGAACATCTTACATCTCCGACATATCTACATATACAATACCGCATAACTTTCCCTCACAAAAGAAACCCAGGATCCAGATTCCAACGAGAAATAATCAACCCGCAAATCAAATCAAGTCATTACTTATATTATTCACTTCCTCAATTGACCTACCGTCGTACCATCCATCCACTTCAATCTCAGTCTCCTACGCAACCTCAACCCGACAATGTATAACAACTAACCTATATCTTTTTGGGCTGCTCTAGCTTTCTTGGTTGCTGACTGCTGACTGCGGGATTTTTCATTCTCTGATCCAAACGCAAGACCGAGGCAGAAGAGCGGAAACTCTAAGACATCTCTCGAAACTTTATTTCGTCATCATTACCACCGTGATCGAAAGAAACAGGAGTAACCAAAGGTGCACCAAAACCATCAAATCACACAACTTCAATCAATCCAATACTCAGAATGCTTCAATGTAAAACTATCGATTGCCCAGGACTATCTAGAAAGCAATATATACACTTGTATCCTGCGCAAATCCTTCCTCTTAACGATAGTAGTCAAACAACGCAGTATCTAATCAGTCGTAAAAATCGTAGGCGTTCATGGTAATCAAACCATGTCACGCTGTATATACCTGAGGCAACACCGACTCAGCATCGGTCCTCCCCACCTTACCAAGCCATATATATATATATACGTTTCCACCCCTCCTCCCTCCATTCAACCCTACCATATATACCCTTACCCATCACTCTAAGCGCCCATCAACGCAGCCGAATAAGCCAAGTACCACGTGCGACTGGCACCTCCATCCAGCGTCTCCGCGAAACTGGGGTTGGAGAAAAACTGCCACGACGACTGAGGATCAATCAGCGCCTGGTTCGACTTGAGGATGCTCTTCCAGCCACCCTGGACCTGCTCCGCGCGCCCATTGCTAAAATAAGTGTCCCACTCCTGCTGCACGAACTTTGCGCTGCGCGTGTACGCCGAAGAAGGGTTCAGCGGAATCATATGAATACCCTCAATGTACTCTGTGTTTGCACCAAAGTACGTAGTATAATCGATCTTGTTCTCGAACAAGATACCGGTGACCTTGTTCTTTGTGAAGGTGGGAGGTTGGTTCTTATTGTCTGACTCCATGAGGAAGTAGTTGCGAAGACTGCGGGCTTGGATGGCGAGCTGCAAGTTTGCGCGGGCCTCCATGTTGGTGTCTCCAGTTGTTTTGCCCCACATTTTGACGGCGTAGCTGGCAAAGGTGTCTTCGGAGGTGGATTCTTGGTCTTTGCCGTCGCCGGACTCGAAGAGGCCTTTTGCCCACGAGTGGCCGTGGAACCAATCAAAAGAGCGGTACATGGGGAAGTACTGGTCGTCGACGGGGTTGGCGAAGTCGCGGACCAGGGCGTTGACCCAGGCTTTGTTGTTGCCTTGGGTGAGCCAGGAGGGGTCGAGGTGGCCAATGACGGCGGCGGTGTAGACGAAGTAGCCGTAGTGGAAGTGGTGGTCGTTGTAGAGAGTGTTGCCAAAGTCGAGACCGACATCATAAGGAGGCTTGTAGCTGGCGCCGGAGACGAGACCTTTCCATACGTTGTCGTAGACTAGTGGCTCAGGCTGAGTGTTCTTGATAAAGACATCCAAGGCTTGCTTGAGCCTGACGAGTCCAGCAGCTGCGTATTGGCTATTACCAGTCATGGAGTTCATGGTCCAGATGATAGAGGCAAACTTTGCGCATCCTTTGCCCGAATAGTACATGCTGTTCAATGAAGTCTGGGGGATCATGTCCTGGTTGAGTTCAGCAACGCCTACTTGGTTGATGAGTGCAGTGGCCTGTGAGCTAAGGCTAGTCCTCTGGAAGCCTCCAGCGCCGTTGGTATTCTTCGACCAGGGAGCAAATCCAATTGTGGTGGGAAGATCATTCTCAACCATGGTCATCTTGTCAGCAAGAATGGCCTGCGCAAAGCCCTTGGTCGTGGTGACGAGTGTGATATTCTTGAGAGCCGCTTGGGTTTGCTGATCAAATGATTCCACGTGATGTGGCAGCGCATACATGAGCAAAGTTTGGCTAGCCATGCCGCCCTTGGTCCAGCTGATGGAGTAGCTTCCAGATGCACCATTGACTGATCCGGAAAGGGTAGCGTCAGTGGCGTAAGCACCAGCGCTCTTGTCAAAAACGCTCTCCATGTCTTGGCCTGAAGGGTTTTTGGTGACCTGGATGGTTCCAATGAAGTTTGCCGGGCCACTGATCTTGGCAGTGCTATCCAGCGTGAAGGGAATGGTACCAACAGCACTGGATGATGTAGCATAAAGCAGCCAACTAGTGCCGTCGTTGAGGACGACTCTGTACTTGTAGGTTCCTCCATTGACCGATCCAACATATGACAGAGAACGGAAGAACACATTGCTGGTGATGATTGGTCTAGCACCGGCGTAGATGGCGGTTGTCATACCCATACCCTGAACCACGGGTACTGACATCAGGATTTTAGATCCGGAACTAGCTCGCAAATTGGCATTTGCGGAGAAACTGCCGAGGTCCTGAACGGAAAGCTTTGTATCCTGCTGAAGTTCGGCTGCAGAAAGAACAATGTGCTGAATACCAAGTGGCGATATAAAGTATCGTGGGTTTTCAACGGAGGGTCCGAAAGCAAATTGATTCCTGACCGTGTGACTGACAGCAATGCCTTGAAGAGTCGAAATTAGCAATTTCTCAACCCAAGAAGTGACCATTTCACGTACCGTAAGAGCCACCAAAGCCTTTGGCCCAGCATAAAGAGTATGGGTGTGTCCATACTGGGAATGATTGGGTACCGAGGAAGAAATTTGCGTGAAACTTGTTCGTCTGGGTCGGTACATCACCGTCCTCGATAAACTGTTTGCGAACAGGATGGTCGTTGCGAGAAGGTATATATGAAGGAGGTGCTGCGTTGCCAATGGGCTGGAAAATATCGCCTGAAGAAATCCTGTTTACTGATGTAGGACCAGGTTTTAGTGAGGTTGGGCTTGGAGACAAAGGCTTAGTGGCGGTTGAGGCGCCTGGACCACGAATCGGGTCTCTTGTAAAGCCGCCTGAAGGAAGCCCTGTTAGGAAACTCTATTGTGTGTCAGTTAACACGTCTTGGTGAAATATGCTAGATGAAGAAATACCCCAGTGGCTGATGAATCGACAGTAGCGGTGGGTGATTGCACTGTTTTGATGGCTGAACTATAGCTTGTAGTCACAGGAACATCGGACAAATCGATCTGACGAGCTTGGAGAACATCTTGGGTTCTCTTCGCATCCCCGAGGGGCATACTGTGACCTGAAGAGACCAGGTAGGCCGAAGCCAACAAGAAAGAAGTCAACTTCGCCATAGTGGCTGGTGAAGACGTAGGTGAAAACAGGAGAGAGACCAAACAAGACTGGCTTGAAGAATCAGAAGCAGATGATTGATTCTGTAAACCACCTGGGTTCTGCTTTGATTTATGGAGTTCATATTGCAGGGCAAACGGACATTATATAACATTGGGAGCTCTGGTAATACCATCACGACTGTACCCCCTTGTCGCGTGCTCGCCCGGTGAGAATTCCTACTTCAGGAAGGTCACGATTCGCAACTGAGACATGGAGCTCAGGTGTAAAAGAATTTTAGACTAACAAACAACTAGTTTACCCCATACAATTTTGATTTCAACCGTGCGTACGTCTTCGCTGTCGGTACATAAGGCCTTTGACTGCTCTAGCATTTAGTGTACCAATGTTCTAACATCCTTCAATTTTGAGTGCGTAAGCGCGCAGTTTCTTCACAGTTCGAAAAGATGCCCTTCACTGACTGTCTTTGTTACTCACAGTTACTACAGAGCGGTGTGTTTCAATCTCGAGGTTATGGGCGTTTGAGTTGTGGTTGTGGTCTTTCAACATTGCATGCGATGTAAAGTTAACTCAGTGAACAGATTCAAAGGGCTCGCAGTCACAAAGACACGTCTTTCACTGGACACAGTTCCTTGCAGATCGGTGGTAGATTCCCATGACCACACGACGTGCTGCGAGACAGCCTCACCGCTCTAGTAGCAAACATGAAAAAGCGGTTTTGCAAATCAACTAGCGTTCAGGTAAGAGCGTCTCGGATGGCTGGAGGCGGGCGCAACGTGCGGAAGATACGCTAAGCAAAGCGGAATTTCAGGGTCCTAATGGGAACGTCGTCGGTATGTGCCATATGACCACCGTCTTTGGCTTGGCCACTGTGGAGTTGGGCAGCATTCCCCGCCCCCTTATGTTCTGAAACAAAGGTATACCGAGGGGGTTCTCATACATTCTCGAGGCCGAATGTATTCCCGTTGAATTGCGAAAGTGCCATTGATTCCATCTTTTTTCAGACTGAGGAACAGATAACCGAAAGCGACGGCCTGAACACGATGCCTGATCGTGAAATCGAGAGATCAACAACAAGCCTGGATAGCAGGATGCTTGGCTAGTCGATACTCATGATGTTACTCTGCCGTCAAAATCGAAAAGCCATGACTTGATGGTGCAGCCACCGTGGTCTAAGGGCCCTGGAAGCGTTGGAGTGCGCCATACTAGACTGTCAAAACGACCGCTAGGGTTGCCGTTTTGGATCTCGTGATATGAACGGCGCACGCGCTTTTTGACTTTGTGGAGACTCTGCGGGGAAAACTGAAGTGTGACGAGCGCACATGGCGGAGAGGTGGAGGGATAGTGGAGAGTCAGTGCTGAGATGGATTTCTCTCTCCAGCGTTTGACATACTCTCGTCGGCGTCGTGCATGGGGTGTGGATTCCATAAGTAACTAGTGGGTATTACGCACATGGATGTTCCTTCTAGAAAGAATCGTGTCTGGTGACAGGAGCGGTGAGGTCACATGTCGTAAGGAAAGCGGCGAAGATCACATGGAGTGTAGCTTCGGATTTTGGTACTGGTACAGTTTTAACTCCGACAACTCATAGCCACAAATGACATCATTGTTGCTCTCGCCACTTCTGTGTGGCACAAACGATGCAGTCACTATTACATACCTACGTACCTGAAGCAAGTTCCAAGTTCGAGTTTATCGCAGTGATTGATATTTTCAATTTCTCGTTATAGACACATCTACACCTAAGATATCCCAACACTCCCTCTAAACATCATGGCAACCTCGCAGCATCCAAACGAGCCCCCTCCCAGCTACGAAGCCGCCATCTTCGACGCAGACCCTTCGCCTGGCATTCGTCGCGTTTCTACGGACGGTCCCGCAGCGCGTACCGAGCGCAATGGCATTCCGCCCGACCGAAGGCGTTCTATGGAGGACTTGATGCGCGAGCTACCTCCTGGCTGGATCCGATCATTTGACGAACAGACTCAGCATCAATTCTTTGTAGACACGCGAGCAAACCCTCCACGGAGTATATGGACGCACCCGTACGACGATGAAGAGTACCTCAACACACTCAGTCCAGAAGAGCGCAAAAAGCACACTCGCATGCACAAGACAATGACAATGGAGGATCTTGCTGCTGAAGACTCAGATACTGAAGACCACCTCCCACCACGACCGACATCCAAGGGTAAAGGCGCTGCTGCGCCTGGTGCACCAACAGGCATTCACAAGTTCTCCAGGAGACTCAAGGACAAGATAACAGGCCAGACGCATGAAGAGCGCGAAAAAGCACGTCAACGTCGCGCAGAGGAGGAACGTCAAGCATATCTTCAGCATATGCGCACACGACAAGCAATCATTCGCGCCATGGAGACAGGGGAGCCGCAACTAATAGGAAAAGACCGACAGGGCAGGGATGTGTACATTGAACCACCTCATGGACGCTATGCACCAAGTGGAGCATACGGATACAACCCATATGGCCCACGTCAGTACTACAATCCCGGTATGAGATATATGCGTCCAGCTACACCCTACGGCAGGCCTTATGGTTACGGCTACGGGGGCGGTGCTGGACTCCCTCTTGCGGCTGGACTTTTGGGTGGTACTTTGCTGGGCACTGCGTTGTTCTAGGCTTTGGCGAGAGACCTACACTACAGTTGAGGCGTGGGCGAGGACGCATCAGTCGGCAGTTGATTCGACAAAAGCAAAGCTGATGATGAAACCTTTTTTTCCTTTTATCAACCCTGTATTCTAAGATTCCCCTGCAGTAATACCCTACCAAAACAAGATTACTACCATGCAGCTCTTGGGCCTTAACGTGTACTTGCCTGATAATGCCCACTGACGGCATTCTTCAAAAGCAACTCTGTTTTGAGGCTGAATTTTGCATGTGAGCCAGGATCCCATTTGCATCAGCCCCAGTGATGTTAGTGTGGGCTTTGAAGTGTGGGGTGAATGCGCTTCCGCCTGATTGGATTAGAGAGAGATTGAGAGATTGTCGTGGCCGCCCCATCTACAAGGTTCAGATTAGGTATTGGGCGTCAAGAAAACTTGAGCAATATGACGGCCTTGACTCTTGAATTTTCCCCTTTGCCCAGGATTGGCGGCATGTAAATAGGCGTACGCGGAGTGAAGTGGGGAGGCCGGGGTACTACCAGCAATCGGAGTGTTTGTGATACTGGTGGCCAGACGTTATTTCGTATACGAAACGCCGAATCCAAATTTGGATCATCGTGGAGATTTTTGCTGCTGTCAGATCTCCACGTAGTTGGTCAGCGGCCAAAAGCTGACACGTTACGTTCAATAATGTTGGGCGAGAGATAGCCAGGTTGCTGGGGCACTTTGATTTCGTACAACGAGCGTGGAGTATTCCTTGTAGACCCCCCATGCCCGTAGAAGAGTGAGACAATAGGAATGAAGGAGACAACGCACTGCTGGTATCGCCATACTACAAACCGGAATTGGGGATTGGGAGTGTGGAGTTTCACAAGGAACATTGCTGGAAAGGGCACATGCCATTTGAAGGGCAAACTAACAGCTAGTAGGACGAAAGCGGTTCAGACACGAAGCTATCTGTGTAAGACCTGTCATTGGCTCAAGGTCAGCAAAGTCAGCTGGGAATGGTAGTAAGAGAAATGATAGGGTAGCCCGATGCGCCAATGATGCGATCCAAGGTTACTCTAAACCCACAGTCAGGGCTCCGAAGCCGGGAGTACGGCCATTGGGCCGGCGGGTTCTGGAATCTTTCGAAAACGTGGTGGAATTGCACAAAGCACGATACGTAGAGATAACCACCATCCCACATTACAATGACGCCGATATAGGACACAAGAATAATCAATGCAACGGGGATAGTCGCGTGTGAGCCGGCAGTCCCGCAGTCCCGAGCCCCAAGTTGAGCTTCCCCACGCTTTGTGAACCTGAGGCGTCGCCGCCGTGCGGGCTCGTGGAGAGGTCGACACAGCCCCACTCTCTCGCTTCTAGCGAGACTCACATGCTTTCACGACAGTTTACCGACAAGAGCTGCCGAATGGGTACGAAACGTGGAAGAAAGACTGGTCCGCAGCCGAACCTGCTGTAGACGTACACACATATATAGTACATACAATATGTATGTACTATGTATGTCGCGGTGGCCAGGGTTGTTGTGCAAAAGAATACTACGAGGGCTTCAGCTGCTCGTGGCATTCTTCTAGTGTTGCTGACTGTTCAAGATAGCGACAGGGAATCATGGGATATGTAATTGCTTGTGCAAAGGCGCGCCACTGCCGGCCAGGAGATATGACAGGCGTTCCTGGGCAGATCGATGTAAGCTACGCAATAGGGTTTCTTCCTGAGGCGGCAAGAGAACCGGCTCACTGGAACCAAGAATGGCGACAGCCTGGATGACCGAATGGCGGGATCTGGACACTACATATGTACTGTAAGTACATGCAGCACATGCAGTAGGAGATGAGAACTGTCGGTCTAGTACAACGGTGAGCGCGGTCGTGTCTGGTACCAGCGACACAGGGCCGTCTCTGTGCTTAACGGCAGGCGATTTGCTGACATGTCGGCCGTCCGGCAGGGCGTGCGTGCACGGCGTAGCGCCAAAGAGGGCTGCCGAGTATTCACAAGCTGGGTTTCATGAAGGTTTGTTGGGCGCCGGCGATTTGGGCAACTACTGGCAGGAAGGAAACCATGTCGCGCGACCGACGCAATTGCGAAGCTGTACTGTTACCGGCTGTGTCTAAAATGAGGCATCCTCGGGCTTATCGCATGGATTGACGAGTGGCATCACCACTCTTGTTCAGGGACGGGAGGGCGTCTGTGGGCGTCGTCGCGATCGCGTCGCAGGGGACGGCCGGGTTCAGGCAGGAGGCCGAATGGAGCTAGCCGCCTATCGCTCCGATGTGAGCCGTGATTGGGCGCCGTTGGATGCTTATCTCTGGCATGAAATGCAATTGACACAACACAACATGGAGCCTCCCACTCGCCAAGCACTCCCGCCCCCAGACATGGCGGACAATGCCTCTCGTGGCTGTGAGAAATCATTCTGAGTCGCCGACAAAGAGCCACAGTGCGAGGCTGTCCTTCCCAGCATCCGCAATGCTGCCGCTAGGTGGGTGTTGGTCCCATTATCTAACCCGCCCCGTCACGCTTCCGCTCGCGGCGAGATAAGGCCAAACGCCTACCATGACGCAGCTCGACATCGACCGGCAAAAAAAGCGATCAAGCTCTGGATCTGACGCGAACCCCACGGCGGTCGCGCGCCTGTGGGTTGATGTACCCTCGTCTATTTTGCCTCGAGTGCTGGTCCGTGGACCAGGATAGATAAGAGTAGCACAGTCAGCCCTTCATCCATAAAGGCCCCGGCGCAACCATTGTAATCTACAGTAGGGTTTCCGGTTCCTCCCTGGTGCTCCCGTATATTACTGGTACTGATCCAGCCTTTATATTCTCTGTTCATTTCCTCTCCATACGCCCTGTTTGTGAGACAGCTCTTCCCTCCGCCTGCCTCTCCAAGACCCCCCTTGATATCCTTACCACTTGGGCGGTTTCCCAGCAAACTCCGTAGCCATGTCGCACTCATGGATCGGCGCTCCCGCCGAATTCAATGGGACCGATGCCGTTACTGGTGGTGATTCTGGTGAGTTTAAGTCTCCATGTACCACCATTAAGCACGTGCCGCGCCCGACACCCGTGTTGCGCGCAACACACTGTGCAATCAAGGTCATAACATACCAGCAAGCATACTAATATGTATATTTGTAGTCACCGAGAATCTCAACCAATGGTACCAGCCGGGTGATCAGGCCTATATCCTCGTGGCTTCGGCTATGGTGTTGATCATGGTTCCTGGTCTAGCTTTCCTCTACTCCGGTCTTGCTCGCAGAAAGTCCGCCCTCTCCCTCATCTGGGCGTGCATGTTCTCCGCCTCCGTCATCACCTTCCAATGGTACTTTTGGGGATACTCGCTCGCGTTCGGCCCCTCCACAAATGGCTTCATCGGCAACCTCGACAAGTTTGGTCTCAAGGGCGTACTCGGTGCCCCTAGCCAGGGTAGTCCTCTGATTCCCGAGTTGCTGTACTCTTTCTACCAGGTACGGCAGATTTCATCATACCTCACAAGTGATATGCTAACCAGGCCCATAGCTACAATTCTGCGCTGTCACTGCTGCTATTATTGTCGGTTGCGTGGCTGAGCGCGGTCGCTTGATCCCCATGATGGTCTTCATCTGGCTTTGGGCCACGATCGTATACTGCCCCGTCGCTTACTGGGCCTGGAACGCAAACGGCTGGTTCTTCAAATGGGGTGGCCTGGACTATGCTGGTGGTGGTCCTGTCGAGATCGTGTCTGGATGTACCGCCTTGGCATACTCCATGATTCTCGGACGCCGCCAGGAAAAAATGATGCTCAACTTCCGCCCCCACAACGTCTCTTTGATCACTCTCGGAACCGTATTCCTATGGTTTGGTTGGTTGGGCTTCAACGGCGGCTCTGCTTTCGGTGCCAACCTCCGCGCTGTCATGGCCTGCTGGAACAGCAACCTTACTGCTATGTTTGCTGCCATGACCTGGGTTATTCTTGATTGGCGTCTTGCTCGCAAGTGGTCCATGGTTGGCTGGTGCTCAGGTACCATTTCTGGACTTGTCGCTGCTACTCCCGCCTCTGGTTTCATCCCTCCATGGGCCAGCGTTGTCCTCGGTATTACCACCGGCATTGTCGCTAACTTTGCCACAAAGAGTAAGCCAAACACCAAACATTAATTTTACGTCATTTGCTAACATCCCTGTAGTCAAGTTCTGGATCAAGATCGACGATTCTCTCGATGTGTTCGCTGAGCACGGCGTCGCTGGCATGTGGGGACTGTTCTTCAACGGCATTTTTGGTGCCAACTACATCATTGGTCTTGACGGCGTCAACAACGGACTGACCGCTGGTGCCATTACTGGCGACGCGCCCGCTGTCTACAAGCAGATTGCTTATATTGTCGCTTGTACCGCTTACTCCTTCGTCGTCAGCGCTATCCTCGCTTTTGTCATCGACAAGATTCCTGGTCTGAAGCTTCGCGCGTCCGAAGAGGCCGAGCTTCTTGGTATGGATGACGACCAACTTGGCGAGTTCGCCTACGACTACGTCGAGGTCCGCCGTGACTACCTTGCGTGGACCCCTGCCAAGGGTGATCCCCTCGATGGTGAGCACTCGGTGCCTCAAGGAGAACGCCACGGTATTCCCCAGCACAGCCAGATGCTCGAGGGCAAGGCGCCCTCAGAGAATTCCAGCCATGACCACGACCATACTGGCATTGGTGGTGACAGGCATGCTGTTGCCATGGGCCCCGAGCACAACAACGAAAAGCAGGTCAAGACCTAAGCTTTTGTATTTGTATTGATCTGGATTTTGTTGCTTTCGACTTTGTAAAGTCAAATTGTTTCGAGATACCACCTGTGCTCTGGTCTTTGCGCTGAGCTTTTTGTTTTATTTTTCTAGATGTTTGAACTGGTCTTTTTCTTTTACAAATGTAGTGTACATAATTCAAGAACGAGCTCATTATTGAATTTCCAAATCGGCCCTTTGCCCCTGCCTTTGTCAGACTTTCGATGCACGCTGCTCAAGCAACGTCCCTGCTAAATTGCACGTACGAGGAGGCTGTGCTCACCCAGCGCAACCTTATCAGCCCAAGAACAAGAGACCTGCCGATTCGTCCGGTGAATGATATATCTTCCGCTGCCAAGCCTACTCGCAGTGTCAATGCTTATCTTCTCCCACTCCTCCACATGGATGATCACCCATGCCTGGGCCCTATCATGTCGCTGCACCCAGACCCCGTCGTGTAGATGATGTCAATCTACCGCGATAGGCTTGCAGCTAATCACAATAGCTGATACTAGGCATCGAATCCTTTCAAGGACGATGATTATTAGTTCACATGCACAGATACACATACTTACAGTAGTATACACACCATACCAATAGCGATATCACGATCTCCTTGTTGTGCCAAGAAAGTATCATTACATGCTACATGCGCTTCACCTGCCGTCGGGTTTCTGCTTACTGTTCCTATACGCGCGTCTTTGCTCCCATGCATCTTTTCTTTCAACATCGATCCATAGTAAGGCCAGCTACAGCGCTCCATAACGCTTACTACTAGGAAGTTCTAATTGGTAACCAAAGCGGAATTCCGGGCTGTTACAAAAAGTACATACTTCATCCATCCCGGAATCGCTTTTTTTAGGGCACTGTTTCCAAGGAGTCTGCGTGGGCTAGTATGCGTCAGTACTATGGGAGCGCATGCAGGGTGGGATGCAGAGTGGGAGAGAATTTCATTGATCCCACAGGTGGGAATGGCTTTCGTGTCCTCCAAGACAATATCGGGGCTATGAAACATGTTCTCGGTAAGAAATGTCTTGGGTGCGTTCCACGCGTTCGGGAATGCATGTGGGGCGAACCTAGTACGAGTCGTTGTCGTTGTTATTGTAAAGAGCACGTGACAATGGGAGCGCACCCTATGCGTTGCAGCCCGCCATGATCTTTCCGCAACACTCCATTTTTAGCCAAGTAATCACGTCACTGCACCGAGATGTGGTGAAACCCTAGACTTGCGTTGCATCAAGTTGGATGAGAATATACACCCATGCAACAAATATAAGCGAGTTTGCGTGCCAGCGCAGATGTAAGGTTTATTAAGTGCTCCTAACCGCCTAGGGAGTCACGCCGGCTTGCGACACAAAACAGCTTGGCCGATAGCGTGATTTCAATCCGGAATAGAAACATTGTACCTCGCTGATACACACAAGCACTTAGAGGCAGAAATAAACTCAGGATACTAGGGTGGGTGTTGCGTGTTTGTGCGCCTTCTAAACAAAGCACATGTGTGTTCGAAGATGATGCAGCTGACACTCGAATGGCTTCTCTTGACAAAGAACCGCTGTTGCACCACCGGAATATGGTGCTACTTGATGACAACAAAGATTTGTTATCGAACCCGTCTTTATCCACTATCCAGTTGTCGCCTCTCAATTCTTTGCAGGAGAACAATCGTCTTGAAACCCATGACAGGATGTGATCGGCGTGTTGGTTTTAGAAGAGACACGCTCTCCTTAACAGCAAGAAGTAAACATCTCTGTCAGTCCCCATCTTTTGCAAATCTTCCTAACAAGCATACCACAATTTAGATTGCCCTCGCTTTTGAAGATTTTTCTTGTGTTCGCAGTGTTGCAAGACACACTTCCAGAGACAAGCAGTTACTTTGTCAAACGCCCGACCCACCATATCAGATTTCAAGATGCGAAGCTCTCTGAGAATATCCCCAGCGCCTTTTAAATCTTCTTTCTTGTCGATTCCACCATCGCCCTTCTCACCACGTATGCCCTTCACGCCCACAGCACCATTCCAACAATCAGTTCAGAAAGAGAGCCAGCAAAGTTCAAAAACGGGCACAAATTCTACGGCAGATTTACCACCAACTCCTTTACCTTGGACATGGACATGTCACCAGTGTCATTGTAGCTACCGTTTGAATGTCACAAGACGTTGCTTACAAGATGGACATTATTATTGTAGCGGCACAACCACTGTAAAGGCATGGCGACAATCAACCCATGTACGACGTACAAGGAAACATGGTGCCTGTAATAGCGAGTTTGACTATTCTGGCTGGAAGAACTGGAGCAGATGGCGAAGAGACGGTCCCAGGAATAAAGCCGCTCTGGCCACTGGCTCGCCCGCTGGCAAAGAAGATGGAGATGTTATGACAAAGAAGAAAGACTGCTGGAATACGTGTGACTACCCATCCGAGTGCAAATGGGGAAAGAAATTCGGCATACATACGCCTGTAGAAACCGGCTTCCCGGTTGTTGAAGCTGATGCCAAACCAGCACTCAATTCTTCTGCCAATACGACCTCAAAAGGGACTTCCAGGGCTGAGAACTATGAGGACGTCAAGACGCTGAGAAAGAATGGGACTCTGAATCTTTGGACTGCTCTAGTAGCGAGCGTAGAGAGGAGGAAGAACGGTAGTGGACGTATTTCTTCACCACTTTCTGTTATTACACAAGGAGAGATGGCGAGAAAAAGAGCTGGCAAGACCGCTTTATCACCCCAAGAAGGCAGAGACAATGTGATCATGGCCGCCACAGACTTATCGGTTCTGGGCACCACAAGTGACTCAGCTCTATCCGATAGCTCTGATTCTTCAACAGCCGGAGGCTCTCTCAAACCCTTACTGAGTAGGAGGAGGTATCGTCGCACGGCCTCTTCTCCCAAGACACGCGCTAACAGCGATGCGAAGCGTGTGAAAGTGACCTATACATCAACATCCGACACACACGGTATTTTGGGCGATTTGGGGGTATTAGATAGCGATTTTGCGCCGTTGACGAGAGTGCAGAGTAGATATAGTGGGTATCAGACCTGCTACGTATGAGGCCGATCATACCCTGTTCAGCCATACTGGTATAGTTTTCTAGATAGCTTTACTAAGTTCAATATTAATGTAATATAGTATCACCCCAAGTCTGCAAAACAGGAGCCAAAATCAACTCCACAACGTGATATCTGCGGCTAAAAGTGGACTCGTGCCCGCCGAAGACGTGATGCAGGGATCCGTTACTAGCGCATTGACCATGTACACTTACGGAGTCTTGATCCCTCTGAGCCGCGGTCCCTGTCACACCTCTTTCAGCGCGCCGAGCCTATTACTAGAGGCACATTGCGAATATGGTGCTCTCGTTCATCCTCATACAGAATCGGCAGTATGTTTGCATCGTGCTACCTGATGTCTGTTTTGGTGCTAACAGGCGGAACTGCAAAGGGGAAAGACACGGCTAGCCAAGTGGTATGCGCCATATAGTGTAAGTTGCATTACAAAGCAAGTAGGGAAGAGAAGACACTTGCTAACAAACTCATAGGATGATGAAAAAGTTAAGCTGAAAGGCGAGGTACGCAACAGTTCCACGATTGACTCTGTAGTCTCGCACTTCCCCTTCGACCGCTTCTTGATAAAACGCCCATCTTGCACGCCCACTCGAATACCTATCGCATATACAAGATACTTCTGAAGTAGCTCACAGTTATGGCAGGTACATCGCCTAATTGCACCGCGAGACCAAAAACACCAGTCCAACTTCGTCGAGTTCCGCAACATGTCCAAGATCGTGTACCGTCGATATGCCGGCCTCTTTTTCTGCGCGTGCGTTGATACAAACGATAACGAGCTGGCGTACCTGGAGGCTATACATTTCTTCGTCGAGGTGCTAGATGCCTTCTTTGGGAATGTGTGTGAGCTGGACTTGGTATTTAACTTTTACAAGGTACGTGGGTACAACAAGCTACGGATGGATGATGTTGGGAAGCATTGTTCAGGGGCGATACGACAATGTCAATAGGCGGGCAAAAGTCGAACGATTGACAATGATTATAGGTCTATGCGATCCTCGACGAGGTGTTTCTTGCGGGCGAGATTGAAGAGACGAGTAAACAGGTCGTATTGACGCGGCTGGCGCATCTCGATAAGCTGGAATAAAGGACAAAATATGAGGAGTTCGGCATGTCTTTTTCTTCGCTTGAAACAGAATTGTGACGGTTATCAGAGCCGGGGTTTTGGAAAGCTAGACAGGATCACGAAGAAGAGTGGTAGCATCCGTGGACGTCGAGGATCCATAGCAATGGTGCAAGAAGACAATACGCCTGGTCTGGCTCCCGCGGATAATGAAGCGTGACGCAATCGCATGGGACGATGCTTGTTGGCAAACCTAAATGCGTGGTGGTTTGAGGGTTCCTGCATACCCGTAGAATACTATCACTTCACTCGATTGAAGCACTAGGTATCGCTTCTCCTCCGGTAGTTAATTAAAATCGTCTGCATGGGTAACACGCGACCGTCAGGCTGTACCTTGGTCTTGCATGTGAGGAAGCGCGCACGGACGTAATTGTATGGAAAGCATAGGGCCAGAAAATAGACAGATCATCAATCTTGATTCCCGATATCTGTCCCTTCGTCCGCGCCGAATTCCCAGAGAATGCTTTCCCCGTGATATATCGCTAATAGTGCTCCGTGTCCTGTTGCCCCCAGCCACACGCTTAATCTGCCTCGAACCATCTCGTTTGTCGACTCGAGCGTAGCATCCCCGCGCTATCGCGACCATGTCCGGATACCCTATGCATCAGGCTCCTGGTGCGAGCTATCCCAACCCGAACGGTGCGGACATGCAAGATGAACAGAACAAGTGGCGACCGCCAGTTGCGGCGGCTCCTCCTGGCTACTCTCAGACCGGAAGCCCAGCGATGCCTCAAGCCCCGAATCAATATGCAGGTGCGCCCGCGCAGTACGGCACGCCGGTGCAGCAGGAGTCATATTTCCCACACCAGCAGGCACCGCAGGCCTATTCACAGTATCAGGGCGACGAGGATGTCAACAACTTGGCAGGACAGATGGGTGCAGTCGGGTTAGGCGGGGACCAAGTGGCACAGCCAAAGCATAAGAAGAAGAACAGACATGCATACCACAACATCGAGGGCCCTGGAGGAAGCCAACAGGCTTTCAATGGCATGTCACCAAATGGCACACCCGCACAGTTCAACAACCAGAACTCGCCTCAAGTTGGTGGAGCGCAATGGATGGAACCTCAGGTCACCCCCGCTATGAGCCAGTTTCCCGCACCAGCGAACCCAGTTTTCAGTCCTGGGGCTCAGGCATCTCCCATGCAGTATGCTGCGAGAACAACGGCATCGCCGCATCAACCAGGTGGAGCGGCTGTAGGATCGGCACAGGGACGTGTGGACCCCGAACAGATACCCAGTGTACCGAAGTCGCGAGATGCGCCAGCCAAATACTATCTGGACCACGTATATCCTACTATGGAGCACCACCTACCTCCTCCGGCTACTGTTCCCTTTGTGTCTTTTGACCAGGGCAATTCCTCGCCCAAGTACGCACGCTTAACGCTGAATAGTATACCACTTACTGCACAGGCACTTGCTGCAACTTCTTTACCACTAGGCATGATCTTGCAACCACTGGCTGCTCAGCAGGAAGGTGAACAGCCAATTCCGGTACTAGACTTTGGCGAGACGGGACCACCAAGATGCACAAGGTGTCGAGCTTACATGAATCCGTTTGTGCAGTTCAAATCTGGTGGCAATAAGTTTGTGTGCAATCTTTGCAGTTATCCCAATGATGTCCCCGGGGAGTACTTTTCACCTACAGATATGGCTGGTATACGGATAGACCGGCTGCAACGACCTGAACTTACCCTCGGTACGGTCGACTTCATGGTACCAAAGGAATACTGGTCCAAAGAACCTGTCGGTTTACGATGGCTATTCTTGATTGATGTCACTTCTGAGGCTGTGAACCGCGGCTTTTTGTATGGTTTCTGCGAGGGGATCTTGAGCGCTCTGTATGGTGAATCAAGAGGTGAGGCAGAAGGGACAGAAGCCACGAGCCGGATACCGAAGGGTGCGAAGGTCGGCATCGTGACCTTTGACAAGGAGATGCACTTCTACAATCTCAGCCCCAACCTGACTAGTGCTCAGATGCTGGTCATGTCAGATCTTGAAGACCCCTTTCTGCCATTCAGCGAAGGCTTGTTTGTCGATCCTGTGGAGTCAAAGAGCGTCATCACCTCGCTTCTCACGAATTTACCAAACATGTTCTCTGAAGTCCATCATCCTGAACCGGCTCTCCTTCCTACTTTGAACTCTGCACTACAAGCACTATCAGCAACGGGTGGAAAGATAGTGTGCTCTTTGGCCGCACTGCCTACCTGGGGTCCTGGCCGACTTGTATTTCGCGAAGATGGCAACCAACTCAACACCGACGCTGAGAAGAAGCTATTTCAAACCGAGCATCCTGGTTTCAAAAAGGTTGCCGAGAAGATGGTACAAAATGGTATCGGCGTCGACTTTTTCCTTGCTGCGCCCAGTGGAGGATATTTGGACATTGCAACAATAGGTGGGTGATATCATTATCGGCTTGTAACTGCTACTAATTATCATGGATAGGTCATGTATCTGCTGCAACAGGCGGAGAAGTCTTCTATTACCCAAACTTCCATTCGCCCAGGGATCTGCTTAGATTTTCCAAAGAGGTCCAGCATACGGTCACGCGAGAAACCGGATATCAAGCGCTGATGAAGGTTCGATGCTCGACTGGTCTGCAGGTCTCTGCCTACCACGGCAACTTCTACCACCACACATTCGGAGCCGACTTGGAGTTTGGAGTCATTGATTCAGACAAGGCTATTGGGGTGATGTTTAGCTATGATGGCAAGCTAGATCCCAAGCTCGATGCGCACTTCCAGAGTGCACTCCTATACACAGCTGCAAATGGTGAGCGTCGAGTAAGGTGTAGCAACATCGTAGCCAGTGTTAGTGCAAACACTGGTGAGTGCATGAAGTTTGTCGACCAGGATGCAGTGGTGAATATCATTGCCAAGGAAGCTGCTGCTCGTATGACCGAGAAGAACCTGAAGGAGATCAGGGGAGCTCTGACGGAGAAGACGGTCGACATTCTTTCTGGTTACAGGAAGAACTTCTCAGGCAACAATCCTCCTGGTCAACTCGTACTACCGGAGAACCTCAAAGAATTCAGCATGTATATTCTTGGTTTGATCAAATCACGCGCCTTCAAGGGTGGTAAGGAGCCCACGGACAGGAGGGTCCATGACATGCGGATGCTCAAATCAATGGGGCCTCTGGAGCTGTCATTGTATCTTTACCCACGAATCATCGCAATTCACAACCTCGACGCTGGCGATGGATTTGCGAACGAAAAGGGTCATCTGGTCATGCCTGAGTGTACACGAGCATCCTTCTCCAAGTTCGAAGAGGGTGGTGCGTACATTGTTGATAACGGTCAAGTATGTCTGCTGTGGCTGCACTCACAAGTCTCGCCCAATTTGCTTGAAGACCTCTTCGGAGAGGGCAACAATAGCCTTAAAGTACTGGATCCATTCCAGTCTTCACTCCCAATTCTCGAAACCCATCTCAATGCGCAAGTACGAAACATCCTGCAGTATCTCGCCACCACGCGCGGCTCCAAAGCTCTTACGATTCAGCTTGCGCGACAAGGTCTGGACGGATCAGAGTACGAGTTTGCCCGGTTGCTTTACGAGGACCGAAACAATGAGGCGCAAAGCTATGTTGACTGGCTTGTGCATGTTCACAGGCATATCCAGTTAGAGGTACTTTGATCTTGCGGTAACTTTGCTGACCAGTTCCACTAACCATTGTACAGCTTGCAGGACAGCGACCCAAGAAAGATGATCTAGCTGACGTAGGATCGACTTTTGTCGGGTTGCGAACACCGTACTGGGGCTAAAAGTGTTGCTGGGCGTCGATGAGTATGTATTGCATAGCGAAGGTAGGAGCGTGGCGCATTCGGTTGTTGCGAGATAGGAATATGTAATTTGATAAAATCTTCATTACGATTCTTTTACTTCTATCTCTTAGACAGTGTGTTGTTTTTGCTTGGATGTTCGCTGTGCTGTCTTAAGACCCATCAACACGTGACCGTCGGAGAAACTGGTACACCGTCGTTAGCGCCATCTCGCTTAGGATCTTCCGCCCACTGGACCAAAACAGCCTCAGCGATCGAACTTTCAGTCTCTCGCAACTAACCAAACAGCGACAGTCAACATGCCTACCCGACTGACCAAGACTCGCAAGCACCGCGGCCGTACGTAACACTATACTGCACCCTCCAAGCGACTCGATTGCCGACCGCATTCTTTTTTCCGGCGCTCGATCGATGCGATTGCACTGAAGTCGTCGCCTTGAGAAAGAGAAGAGGAAGGAAGACGAGTCGCTGGGACAAGGCAGGAATATCGATGGAGGATTGAAGGCTAACTTTGTCCAGATGTCTCCGCTGGTCACGGACGTGTCGGAAAGCACAGGAAGCATCCCGGTGGTCGTGGTATGGCCGTAAGTTTGGCTTGTCCTATGTGATCATGCAATGTCACTAACAAGACGTCTAGGGTGGTCAACACCACCACCGCACCAACATTGACAAGTACCACCCCGGTTACTTCGGAAAGGTCGGTATGCGTTACTTCCACAAGATGCAGAACCTTTTCTGGAAGCCCGTAATCAGTAAGTTGAGGCTTTGTCGCATATACACCTCCAAGATCTAACCTGTCGCAGACCTGGACAAGCTCTGGTCGCTCATCCCCGCCGAGAAGCGTGACGAGTACCTCGCCAAAAAGGGCGGAAACGCTCCTGTCCTCAACCTCCTCGACTACGGCTACTCCAAGGTTCTCGGCAAGGGCCGTCTCCCTGCTGTCCCCATTGTCGTCCGCGCCCGCTACGTCAGTGCCGAGGCTGAGAAGAAGATCAAGGAGGCTGGTGGTGTCGTCCAGCTCGTCGCATAAGCAGTTACAACACGATGTACACGATATGGCGTCTCGGATCACACAAAAGGATAGGGTCTTAGGGTCCACAGTGCCTACGGGCCTGTGTAGACTCGTGTTCAGCGTGGTGGCTGAGGAATGTTTCATAGAAAATATGACCATTCCTGAATCAACCTTGGATACCCAGCAGCCCCGCGAGGGTGGGCTGTGAGTGTTGTACGTACTTGGGGCATTTGCCGTGAGTTTTTTTGCTTGAAGTGATGCTGTGATGTTGAACCGAAGTGATGTCTGTTGATACTAATTTGTAAGACCTTGCAATTCTGCAGCCACATTGGAGGCTTTGCTACTCGCAACGTACATGATGTCTGTACGACTTTTGATACTATGAATTTCATGTTCCACTAACTACAACTTTTGTATCTGGCTTAGATGCTTGGAATATGCTTCAATTCTGGTATTTGTCTTCAGCTCCGTTCAGGACATGACTAAGTTATGTTCATCGCTTCATTACATTACAAAATTATCTGTAATAAAAGATATTCCCAAAGGCTTGCGCCCACAGTCCTCTTCTACTTGTTTCTGATCCGTTGCCTCCTCTTTACGCCGAAATAACCGAGTGTTGTCATGTGCTCTTCTCACAACGTTCGTCAACGATGCTGTCTGTATCGTTGTGTTCGTTGCTGATATATGGAAAGCAGGATAACCACCAGACCATCAATCTGCAATGTATCCGGACTTTCCTTCTCCTCCTCCTTCACAGAATGAAATGCACAATCCCACCTCCTCACTCATGTATCTCCGGCGCCCGATAACTCCTCGGCAACGTCGCATTACTCGACTGCGAGCGCAGCGAATTCTTCGCACCCTCACCACCATCACCATCATGACTCTCCCTCCTCACTCGAAAATGCCTCTCCAACGCCCCTCTAACCCCACTCCCTGGCGAATCCGCCACTGTAAATCCACCAGGTAATTCAGGCGTCGTTGCCACACTTTGACTTCCACCACCTACCGGTCGCGGTACAACAACAGGTGCCGTAGTGCCAGTAGCAGCAGCAGCGGCAGCAGTGCTTAGAGTGGTGGGGGTGGTAGAAGTGAAAGTACCGCTCTGTCGCCTATCCCGATCAATATCCAACATCAAATTCCGGATTTCCTGGGCTGTTTCGGAGCGGAGACGTAGGTCTTCGAGGCGGGTGGCGCGGAGGCGGTCGCTGAGGCTTGAGGGGGAGCCTGAGGAGGCGGAGCGGCGTTGGTGTGGGGATGGTTGGTGTGGGGGTTGTGAGGATGATCGCGTTTTGGGGATTGATAGTAGGTTTGGGGTTTGGGGCGCGGATGGTGTGTGGGGGGTTGTGATGGTTGGTGGAGGTGGTGTGATTGGAGATGCTGGAGGGGTGGGTTCTGGCGTATGCTGTGGTTTGTTTGGGATATGAACTGGTTGAGCGTTTGTGGTTTGATTGTTTTCGTTTGTGGTGTCTTCGTTTCTGGGTTCTGGGATAGTCGTCTCGAACGCTTGGTCTCTGGTCTGGGTCTGGGTCCTAGTGTCATGCTCTCTAGTTTCTTCCTCTGCTGCTATTCCTGCGTCTTGAACTTCTTCCCGCCCTTGTATTAACTGTTCCTTTGACCTCTTCCAAATTGTCTGAGGATTTCGCATTTTCCTGGCGAGATACGCCATACCGAACTTCTTCGGCACGGTAGCCACATCGGGAGGTTGAGCCTCATTCTCAACTGTCCTCGCAGGAAACTCTGGGGTAAATGTTTCGGGTCGGCAACCAAATGTATCTCGAAGCCTATCAGCGCCGCTTCTTTTTCTCCCTCTTGCATCGTCTCCCGCTTCCTGTCGTACTGCAGTAGTAAAACTCTCCTCGCTCCTGACTGACCTCACGACCCTACTCGTCGCTTCTGACACCCGACCCATAGTGTCCTGCGCCAGTCTTCTCTCCCCGGGATTCAAGCTACTAATGAACGCGTTCTCGATGCCTGACGTGGCTGTTTCCCCATGCGGATGCGCCAGCGAATCTAGTAAGCCCTTGCGCACAGGTGAAAAAGAAAGCGAATTTGGCTGGATCCCAGTACTGCGCTTCGCCACTAGAGACGAATTTCTAGAAGCCGAGCGGGACGAGCCAGAGTGGTAACAAGATAACGTGTCCCAGTAGCTTCGTCTCTGGTGTGCATCAAGGCCGTGAAAAGGGTGGTTGGGCGGAAACTCTACATTATCGTCCTTGCGTCCGGGAATGCCATCGTCGTCATTATTTTCGCACTCGCTTTCCTTCTCTTCGACAAAGTTCTCGTGACAGTGCCGTTGGTCCCGCCTTGCGCTCCGGCTGCGGCTCCGGGACGATGCCGACGAAGACGAGGACGGGCAAGAACAAGAAATTAGTGCCGGCGATACACAATGCTGATTCGTATGCAAAGGCGCTACTGTAGGCGAGATGGTGTGGTCAGGGGGCCATACGGAGAATTTTGAATGCACGGTCGAGGGCGCGGGCGTGATGGGGCGGCGGGATGATGGTGGGCATGTGGCAGGAGGTTGGGCGAGGGAGGTTGGTGCGAAGGAGGGGTAAGGTTCCGAAGAGCATTGATTTTTTGTGATATTGACATCGTTGACAGTATTGAGTTCGGGGTTACTGCGGAGAAGAGCGGCTGTCGAGTGCGCGTGGTTGGAGAATAGATCGTCGACTTCCGAGTCGGGATTGGATGATAATGATGATACTTTGACTTGCTCGTCGCTACTAGTAGAATGGTATGATGAAAACGTCATCCCTTCATGCCCATGTTCGGTATCTGCGAAACTTCTCAACGCATCTCGAAGCATTTGCTCTTGCTTTTTACCAATCTGCATGTCTTGCGATTAGCATGTGCTTTTAGTACAGCACCTGTTTGCATCTCTGTTCATTGACTTGCGATCGTACACAAGCGAACTCACAATAGTAGCAAAACGGTCCCCGCGCAAATACATTTCTTGCACCTCCTCTAATCTCCTCTTTCTCATCTCCCTGCTATTCAGACTGTGCCATCCTACATAGCTCTCCGTATTCTTCTCTTCCGCTCCCTTTCCGCGTCTCAGAGGCTCCATGCTATCAGTTCTTTCGTAAACCTCGTTCAACTCGAGCTCGAGTTCCCTCTCCCATTCTTTGTTGACATCTTCTCTATCATCATTCTGCGCATAATGCGTAACAAGCGATGCAGCAAGTTTCTGTCGTGCCGACTCGCCCCTCCAGCCTAGGCCGCCTCGTTCCATACTGCGTACTATTCTGCGTTTGAGTGTGTTGCTATTACATCGGATGACAGCGACACGGTCGCTAACGCGGACAAATGCCGAGCTCCGTTCAATGGACATTGTTGAGCAGGGTACAAGGCTTGAGGGTTTAGCATTGCGGTTACACTGACAATTTCGAGAGATAGGATTGGGATGTGTGAGAGCTGGTGTGTTGACATGTGGGTTTATGATACAAGTTTGGATCTAAAGACAGGGTATCGATGAAATTGCGTGGCGAATGCTTCGTGATTACATCACCTATCTCATACCCTTACAGCTAGACTTCGATCTGAAGATTGCTTTGTCGCAGATGTCATTATCAGGGGCTGACCATTAGGCATCAATCATGCGGTTGTGTTGAAATTAGGTGTTAATTTGGTAGAACTTCAAGCATTGATGATGCCAGGTACCAGGTCGCAGCAGCCGACAATCAAATGCAGACAATACAAACATGTACACAACACGCCACAGCAATAGGGACGAGTTATATTAGGGTATTCACCAGACTATCACGCCTTTCCATCCAGCCCAAGCAACTCCTGTAACACTATCTTTGCTTTTCCAGGCTCAACGCCACCATCTGGGGCTCGCGCCACCATCTGTCCAACAAACCACATAGTCTTCTTTACCTGACCCTTTTCAGTGATGTCCCTGACCATTTTGGGATTTTCTTCCAATAGTGTCTTTGCCAGGTTGGCATATTCTTCTTGGCTCAGGGGCTGTAAGAGTAGGTTTTCTTGGTGGACAATGTCCTGAACGCTACGTGCATCTCCCTCAAATTTGATCGCAAGTAGACGCTTCGCTGATGGTGACGTAACCTCTTTGCGGCGCACAAATGAGATCACTTCCGCGAGATCTCTGGCTGAAACGTGGCTAGGATCCCACGGTTCGTCTTTGAACAGAGAGCCGAGCTCCATGAGCACCCTAGGTATGAATTAGCCTTAATTCACAAAGAAATCTACACATTAGACATACCAGTTCCCTGCGATCTTTCCAAGGGTTTTTAATGAAGCACCTTCCTGCTGTTCTTCGGCTAGGCGCACCGACTCGGTAACGACATCCATGTAGTACTCCAGACGTTCCCCATCATCAAATGAAAGAAGAGTGATGGCATCTTTGGTAGTTAGGCCGTAATTGTGCACCAGAACATCTACGTTGACATCGGGAAGTTTTGGCAGAGTGTTCTTCAGGTGTTCAACCAGATCCTAAACACAGTCAGCAGTGGTCTCGAGATACAGATGAACACATGACTTACCTGCCCTATAATCACAGGCGCAATATCAGGGTCTGGCATATACCGGTAATCAATCTCACCCTCTTTGCCTCTTAATCGTTTTGTGGTCTTACTTCCAAGAGTCCACCCACGGGTCTCGCCCTCAACAGTACCCCCACTCTCAAGCAAATCAATCTGCCGGTCACGCTCTGCAAGGATGGCATCCTCGACAGCCTTGACACTTGCCAAGTTCTTGATTTCAGTCCGCTGGCCCAGACCAGTGATACCAGAGTATGAGTGATTGGACTCCGATGAGTCCATATGGCGTTGGCGAACAGAAACATTGACATCAGCGCGCAGACCGCCAAGCTCCATGCCAGTGGTACAAGAGTTGACAGCCTTGAGTATATTTTGTATCTTTCGGACAACGACGGCAGCTGCCATGGGGTCATGAATTTCAGGGAGTGTGATGATCTCAATTAGTGGATGTGAGACGCGGTTGAAGTCCAGCAGATGGGTAGAGGGCGGTTGCTGCACGGTCTTTGCGGTGTCCTGCTCCATTTGTATTTGCTTGATGCCAATGTCGAAAGGTTCTGGATGCGGAGCCGCACCGGCAGGAAAGTCATGAGGGTAGAGTGTAACTTTGCCATTTTTCGCAAAGGGTTCGTAGTACTGCGTGATTTGATACCCGGATGGCTGATCTTGGTAGAAGTAGTGTTTACGATCAAAGCTGCTCTTAGGCTGTATCTCGCACTGGAAAGCTATAGCGGCGCGCAAGGCAGGAAGAAGAGTTTCCTTTTGGAAATGAGGTTGGGTCCCAGGAAATGCGATGTCAAATAGGGAAACGTGTGTATTCGGGGGTTCGCTGACAGATGTGGCAGCGCCAGAGAAAAGTTTCCGCGCTGTGTTGAGTTCGGCATGCACCTCAATACCGACAGTCAATTCCCACTTTTCCAAGCGCGCATCTTTGGAATTTTTAGAGGAGCTTGCAGAAGATCCCTTTTCCTTCTTCTGTTGCTTTGCGGTGTCTTTCAACAGCTTTCGGAAAGAAGTCCCATCTTGAGACGATGGAGGTGATTGGGTTTCAGTTTGGATAGATCGTCTCGTGAATGTAGTGAGAGGGTGCACATCGTCCAATGGAAGAGTTCTAGTCAGGTGCAGGCATGGCCGGCACATATATGCCTGTTTTGATGCTGCAGCGAGACTGTTGCGAGTACTGCGAACAAACATGATGTGAAGTCTGATGAACTGCAGTTCTGACGCCTTGCACAGATGCGGGCGGTCCGTGCTCACTTCCGAGAGACAATATCAACCACCGATTGCCTGAGCATGAGCAAACCTGGTCTTCGCCCAACGCTGAAACCTCTTGCGTCGTCTGACACTTCCGTAGTGGTCTGGACTTCAGCTTGAAGATGTTAAGAGCCGTATTGGAATGCCGATGTATTCGATGGCGCAGCATTTGACGTGTAGAAAACTGGGTAAGACACTCTCCCAGCGGCGAGTATCCTCAGTCGGTGTATCAGGCTGATGAATGCTGGAACCACCGGCGATTTCTATGCAGATCGGCTCTTCTGTTAATCTCCTTCTGAATGCCGGTTGCCCAATGCTTCAAGCGGTTACGGAGCCTTTCCCACGCCTCCGGTTCTTTGAATCTTTCTGATGGGTGTTTGAAATCTCCTGGATGTATGTACACTCCCGGCCACTGAGTGAAGTCCGATTCTGATTGGTAATTCGTGTTGATGGAAAATCGAACACTACGACCACTGCGAACACTCGCCATGCAAGCAGTCGTTCAAGAGATCTTACTGTCAGACTTGCCACAACTCAACTGAGTTCTAGGAACAAAGTCAAACGCGGCAATATCACAAAAAAGTGGTGATTCCAATCGTATGACTCGAATCAGACAAGGGGTACGTGCTCAGACTTAGTTATGGACAAGCAACGGTGTCTAGCAAATCCGACGTCTGTTCTTGAGCTCCCTCATTCTCATGCGCAATATGCTCTGCTTTGCCTTCCGATCAGCCTTCTCTTTGGTTCTGACTCTGGCGCGTGCTTCCTTCTGTTTCCTTCGTTTCTCTATAGCTCTTCTTCGCTCGCCAGGTTCTCGTGGGTTCTTCGGCCTTGGCTTGTAGTACTGGCGTGCACCTGGGGCTGGAGCCGGGAGGATGCAACTTGTTACAGCACCAGTCACACTGGCAGTACTGCTCATCAAACTGTTCAAATTCCCGAGGCTTCTTCAATGAAACTCAGAGCCTCCCGTCTCTAAAGCTCTTTAGTCCGTGAGTAAGCCTCTCTCGCTCTAGGAAAAGTTTAGCGCGAGCGCGAGATATAGGCCAGGTCCTTTCTTGCTTCTTAACTTGCGCCTGCTCAAACTTTCGGAGACGCTGACGGGCAACGTGCAATCGCTCCGTTGCTGAAAGGGGTCGTCCTGAATATGAGTGTGTTCTAGGGTTGTGTCCTGTGTGAAAAATGGTCTTGCGATTAGTGATGGATCGTGGGAGAGGAAAGAGTGATTTCCTGAGCACTTTGGGTTTGGTTTGTCGAGATTTGAAGCCTCTAGTGGTAAACAGTGAATCAAGCGGCATGTAACTAAGAATAGCTATGGTGCATGGGTAGTTGGCTCAGGTAAGGGGCTGGGTATCTCTCGATTCGATGACGCGAGCGGTAGGGGATAGTGCGGAAAGTTCGTTGTGTGCGGATACTGCTGATAGAGCAATGACGTTGACGCTGGGTTGCAAGTCAGAACATTGTAAGTGACGTTTACTTTACTAATTAGTGACTCAGTACCGATTTCGAATCTGTTTTTCAATAGCTGTATCGTTTCACTGGGACAAGTTGATGTGTATGGATGATGATATTGAGGTATGTTACAGTGTAGGCGTGACGGCTGAGGTTTGCAATAGTAGGTACAACGGATGGCGAAGAGGTAGTAGCTCATCGTGCTTGCTACACCTGCTCAAGTCAAGTGTCAGGTGGCGACAAAGCATTATGGGAACTAGAGTTGACTCACAACGAGTGTTTGAGAAGGAGCCATTCACTGATGAAAGAATCTAAAAGGCAACAATGTGTATCACAAACAGCAATCTTTGCAAACGATAACTTGTACAAATGGATATCTGAATTAGTCGCTCAAGGAAGACATACTTGAACGAGCCTCTTAGAATCATGAGCATTAAATCAAAACAATCCATATATTAACCAGTATCTTAAATTCTGTATGAGTCATGAACCCCTTGAAACCAACTTATCACAAGTCCCACAACACCAGATATCAACCACCCTCTTTGCAGCTCGATGATTCTCCCTTCTAGAAGACAAACTTCCGATCGCCCATAATACCCCACAGTTCCTCCACCACAGCCTTCTGCTCCTCAGGCTTCGCATGGCGAACAGCAAAGTACACGCGGCCCTCAAGAGATGGATCCCAGTCACCAGGGTTAGCGCTAGCAACAATACCACCAGCCTCCTCCAAGATGATCCAGCCAGCGCAGACATCCCAGATCCAGACGCCGCCCTCCCAAAAGACATCGATGATGCCTTGTGCGATGTAGCAGAAATCTAGGGCAGCGGAGCCGTTGGTGCGGACGGACTTGCACATTGCTCCGCCTTCCGACTTGGAAGTGAGAAGCTTGTTATGTATGGAGGTCCGGAGGGCCCAGTTTTCGCCGGAGCGCTGGTTTCCCCATTCGATGGCGACGAGGCATGAATTCAGGGATGGCATTGGCGGGGGCATAGGCTGGATCGGAAGTTTGATTTCGGTTCCGATGAGCGTGTTCTTGAGGTAGGCGCCCTGACCTTTGATCGCGTGGTAGAGGTCGCCCCGGAAAGGGTTGTATACAACGCCGATGATAGGTTTCTTCTCAAGAGTCAGCGCCAAAGAGATAGCACAGTTGGGCACACCCTTGGAGAAGTTGAGTGTTCCATCAATTGGATCGCAGACGAAAGTAGGGGTGTCAGCAAGCTTGGTGCCATGCTTGAATGTCTCCTCTCCAAGAAATCCAAAGACCGGGTATTCTTTGCGCAGACGGGTTTCCACCGTGTCCTCAATTTGCTTGTCGAACTCGGTGACGAGGTCGGAGGTGTTGTTCTTGTACTGCGCCGCTGCAAGGACTGAGTGCTCGGCGGCCACCATGATTTTGCCACCATCAATGGCAATCTCCACAAGTAGATCATGGATCTTTTTGAGATGGTCGGAAGTCAGATTATGCTTGGATAGCGCAAGCTTGAAGTCTTGGGAGTCCACGGAAGCCATCTTCGGGATCGTGGTACGTTGCGGTACGGGAGTACTGATTGTGCTTGTAGGAGAAGGACAATTTGTAGTCGAGTTTGAAAACCTGCGAATGTGTATATGAGTATTTGCTGGAGATAAACAACGTGGTTGAAACGTTGTTTGAGGACTGGATTGGAGTCTGTCTCTATAGGAAAAATTACTATGATTTATATCCATGGCGGTGAAGGTGGTGGTGAAGTTGTGATGTAACAACGGAAGTTGGTAGAAGGTGGTTTGTCGCGACTGTATCTTGACAATGTTGCTATCCAGGTAGATGGGAGGACTTTTGCTGTAGCATGTGAAAGCTTTCTTTAGTGTAGTACAAACAGCTAACCTCGAATTTCGACATTGTGAAGGCGGCATTGTGTCAAAGCATGATTGAAATCATCGAGTTCCAGGTTCTGGATTTGGCGCAAGGATTGAAAGGCATGTTCGAGGAACACCTGTTTGCTGGGGGGATTCAGTAAAAAGCACTGCTCTGTTGTTGGGCGATGGCGTGCCAAAGCGCATCTCGAGGACAAAACGGGCCGGCTCATGCTCTCACCTCGGCTCAACGGCTCTGATAGGACACGGCAAGTGCCACCACACCACCTGGAAGCAACAACGCTAGCTGTTTACTACACATCATACGGTGAGATAGCTTGTAAAGCGGGCTGAAGTTTCTGCAAAAGACGAGCATAGGCCAGGGGTATATCTCGAACCGCGCTCAAGCAATGTTACTTGGAGCTCTTTGAGAAGGAGGTAGTCTGGGTGAGATGGTTGTTGAGCCAGTGAAAAGTAACATGTTAAATTTAGGTCGTTGAGGGTATCACTACGCTAAAGTTGTGGTCTCTTAGTTCATCTTAATTACACTTCCCTCTCCTCGGCCCTTGGCCATGATCCGCATTATGAGCCACGTCTTCGTGCTGCACTGTTGCCTCCACTCCACAAATATGCATCTTTCTATAAGGACGCGTAGAGTAGGACCTACCACTGTGTTTCCCTCAAACTTCAGCATCTTGTCTACAGTCGAGAATCCACTTTGCACTGGATTGCAAAACAAAAACAGAATGCAGATATGGACGGGGATGTACTCGAAAAAAAAAAGCGACCGAGAGAGTCAACTAACCTTTGGGGCTATTTGACGCAAGGTCAATGATAGCATTGCTAGCGGCAATTGCGGTTGCCGGCATGATCCGTTTGAGCATCTGGTGCAGAAATGCCATGATACCTCAACCCAACACCCTCGGGCCACTTGACTTGCTCTTCTTCTGAACACCGCGGGGTATGAACATGGCAGGAGATGCGACGACGGCGGGAGTACTGCTTGGGCCGGGCTTGTCCTTGTTGTCCTTGTTTTTGTTGTTCTTGTTCTTGCCCTGCTGCTTGTGCCTGTCTTCCCGCTTCGCGATGGGCTTGATCTCGGACGTGGCTCGCTTGATGAGGACCGGGTGACTGCCAATGTACTTGCCGTTCATTTCCTTTGCGGCTCGGAAATAGTCGTCGGTGTCGGCAAAACTGACGAAGCCATAACTCTTGCTCTTGGTTGACTTTTTGTCTCGGACGACGCGGGCCTTTGAGAGTGAGGGGTACTTTGCGAAGGCCTTGAGGAGCGAATCATCAGTGACTTCACCAGCAAGATTTCCTATGAAAAGTCGGGGGTGCAGAGGGTTCCACTCAAGCAGAGTCTCGTCCTCCCACTGCTTTCCACCTCCCTCGCGAACTACAGTCTTGCGTTTTCCGTCGGCTGTGAGACCAGTCTCGGCCTCGTTGGCGGCGGCAGCTTCTGGGCGGGCGGCGACGCTTGGATTGGCGCCTTTCTTCGCGTTGGCGTCGGCCGCGTTGTAGGCGCTGTTCCACTCTGCAATGCGTGCTTCTTCCTCGGGGTCGTACGTGCCACCATATCCGCGGTTCACGGAAGGAGCAGCTGAGTAGGCGGAAGCAGGAGCCCCCGATGCATAGGCTGGGTACGAGTAGTTGTTGTAAGCATTGCTGGTCGGGTAAGCGGGTGCTTGGTATGGAGCGCTCACTGTGGCTTGCGAGAAGTTTGCGGCGGCAGCAGATGGTTGAGGGGGCGCATGGGCTGCTACCGAGCGCGGTGTGAATCCAGAAAACATGGTGGAACTGCCCTGGGCTCGCGCGCCTGTGCTGTTGTTACTGTTGTTAGGTCTCGAAGGCGAGATCGAGTGAGTTGCGGGCGGAGGGCGGGCGGGGAGAGAGTGGTGCGGCTGCATGGCGTCTAGGCAGCAAGGTGAGCGGTGAGTTCAGGCTGGTGATAGCAGGGCAGTGACTCGGCCAGTGCGACGGTGATGGGGAAGGGCGTTTGTATGGCGGGAATTAATGCCGCAGAGAGCGTGTAGCACAGGCAAGTAGTGAAAAAGCGGGTGGCAGGGCTGGTGGTGGGCGGCGTCGGAGGTCGGCGTTTGAAGAGCGTGGGAGGGAAGGGCGGGCCGGTGCAAATTGGCAATTACGTGGGATGGCGTGCGATGGGGGGCGCGGCGTGACGTTTGGTGTTGTTATTTGTTGCGTCTGCGACGGAGAAAGAAGGACGCAGTCTCAGACATGGCCCGAAACCCCCGGGTCACGTGCTGGCCTATCTACTTACTATACTGCAAGTACGTACTATCTGTCTGTCAATATATGCGGCTGTGCGGCCATCCATCGGGGCATTCAGCCTGTCCGCCATGCACACTGCCACCATCCCACCACCTCTCCCGCCCATGGCTGTCTAGTACTAGCGACGGACCTCCAAGCAGGCACAGCACACATCGGACAACTTTTGCTTTGACCCGCTCCCCACCGGCCTTTAGCCTGGCAATCTCGCCCTGCCACTCGCTTTCCGGTGCCCATGCCTGCCCTCTAGCGTGTCCGACCACCCCTGTACGCTGCCCCTCGTCCCGTAAGTAATGCTGTGTTAAGGCTGAGGTGGAGGGGCCGGCGTCATGGTGTGCAGGCAAAGACGGAGCGCCTCAAAGCAGCCGCATCTACGCGTGTTCCCTTCTGTGTCCGGCTGTCTGGCCACGGCTGCCGTGTGTGCGAAAGAGAGATAGATAGAGAGAGAGAGAGAGAGAGCAGGCTGGGCGAGGCGTCGTATTTGCAGCCATTGGCATCGCCAGTCTGCTCGCATCTGGGCGGCTCCATCGGCAGTCTGCTTGCTAAGCATGAGCAGTGTTTGTTCAGCACGCAACCAAATGGGCAGCGCAAGCAATTCCTCCGTACCAACATGCGCAATTGGCAAGAGCCGCTTACGGGGCATTTGGCCTTACCGCCGCGGCCGAAGCTATCCTCCATGACCTGTGATGCTGGGATCTGGTGGGACGTGCCACCATTGATGCAATAGGTAGCCTGCCCCGCTTGTTTCCAAAGTCTTTCCGGCGACTACATTATCTCAGAGACCCCCACCAAGCTTCCTCTTCCTTCTTCTTGACAATCACCCGCTCAAAAAGCTTCAATTGCCTTCAACTGTTGTAGCCCGGTCGCTGCAACTTTACCCCGCCATCCCTCTCCACCCAACAACACACCTACACACCTCTCTTCACCACAAAAGCAATCATGACTGAGGCTGTCGGAGACTTCGGCCTCATCGGCCTGGCCGTGAGTATACTCCAGCCATGCATTGTCATGTCTCGAATCTTGGACGGCTCGAGATATGCTAACACCAGTCCTAGGTCATGGGTCAGAACTTGATCCTCAACGCGTAAGTCTTCTACCGCACCCTCTACGATACCAATGCAATACTGACATGATATAGTGCCGACCACGGTTTCACGGTACGAGATACGTCTTGACAACTCATCGAGTTTAGAAAACTAACTTTGTCCTCAGGTCGTTGCTTTCAACAGAACGTAAGCAATATAACTGCACATCCTCGGGAACTCCACTGACATCCAGCCAGCGTCGCCAAGGTCGACCGATTCCTGAATGATGGCAAGTCTTGTACTGCGATTACTTGCCAACAAAACTAACAGCAAAAACAGAAGCCAAGGGCAAGTCCATTGTCGGTGCTCACTCCATCGAGGAGTTTGTCGCCAAGCTCAAGAAGCCCCGCCGCATGATGATGCTCGTCATGGCTGGCAAGCCTGTCGACGACTTCATCGAGCTCCTCCTCAAGGGAGGTGCCGAGGAGGGCGATATCATCATCGACGGTGGTAACTCCCACTACCCCGACACCAACCGCCGCACCAACTACCTCAAGGCCAAGGGCATTCGATTCGTCGGAACTGGTGTCTCTGGAGGAGAGGAGGGTGCTCGCTACGGCCCCAGTATCATGCCCGGTGGTAACGAGGAGGCCTGGCCTTACATCAAGGTACGGAGTCTATCAAGAATTGACGACGCATATCTGACAGCCACTTAGGATGTCCTTCAATCCATCTCCGCAAAGTCCGACGGCGAGGCCTGCTGCCAATGGGTCGGTGACGAGGGTGCCGGTCACTACGTCAAGATGGTTCACAACGGTATCGAGTACGGTGACATGCAGTTGATCTGCGAGGTGAGCCAAAACAACGAAGCAGCACAGAAATTGGTGACTGACAAAAACCCAGGCCTACGACATCATGAAGCGCGGTCTCGGTATGTCCAACAAGGAGATGGGCGATGTTTTCGCACAATGGAACAAGGGCGTTCTCGACTCCTTCCTGATCGAGATTACCCGCGATATCATGTACAAGAATGACGACGATGGCACTGCCATTGTTGAGAAGATCATGGACTCTGCCGGTCAAAAGGGTACCGGCAAGTGGACCGCCATCAACGCTCTCGACCTCGGCATGCCCGTCACTTTGATTGGAGAGGCTGTCTTTGCTCGTTGCCTGAGTTCTCTCAAGCAAGAGCGTGGTCGCGCTGCTGGTCTTTTGGACGGCCCCAGCCCCAGCTTCACTGGTGACCGCAAGGCTTTCATCGACAACCTCGAGCAGGCTCTTTACGCCTCCAAGATCATCTCCTACGCTCAGGGTTTCATGCTGATCCAGAACGTGAGTTGAACTGGTACCTCAGCCAGAAGAATTGGGCTAATATCATTATAGGCCGCCAAGGAGTACAAGTGGAAGCTGAACAAGCCAGAAATCGCCCTCATGTGGCGTGGTGGCTGCATTATCCGATCTGTTTTCTTGAAGGAGATCACCAAGGCGTAAGCACCAATGGGCTGCAGATTTCAGCACAGTAGACTAATTGTCTTTAGATACCGCCAAAACCCCGACCTCGAGAACCTGCTTTTCGACGACTTCTTCAGCAAGGCTATCCACAATGCTCAGGCTGGATGGAGAGAGTGAGTGGTGTGCCCACGAAATTGGTAGAATAAAGTGCTGACAATATCACAGCGTCGTCTCCAAGGGTGCTCTCTGGGGTATCCCAACTCCCGCTTTCAGCACTGCGCTTAGCTTCTACGACGGATACCGTGCCAAGGACCTTCCCGCCAACCTTCTGCAGGCGCAGCGTGACTACTTTGGTGCACACACCTTCAGGATCAAGCCTGAGTACGCCAACGATACATACAAGCAGGGCGAGGACATCCACGTCAACTGGACCGGAAGGGGTGGAAACATCTCTGCCTCGGTAAGTTCCATGAATCAACGCATCAATCAGGTTGTAGAAGCTAACGTGTTTTGCAGACATACAATGCTTAAGCGTATCGTGGAGAACTTTCATTGCAAGAGCACACCACCTTGCCTAGAGTTCACAATTAAAATATAATCAATGTGCATAGCAAGATAGCACACATCAGAATGAATAATGATTCACATGTCCAATGTTTCCTGTGCCCTGCTGAATACAAGAGGTTATTTTAGCCCATGCGGTATTCCATGTTGTTAGAGACGCTAGCCCAAAGTAGAATCGTCTAAGCATGTACCCTTGGAAATGCCACCCCGCCATGAAGTAGAGTAGTACATAACGGTGCTGCATAGTCGGGACCGACTCGGTATCATCTGGGACGATCAATTAGGACAAAGATAGAGGGAATTCGTGCAGTAGGCCGCACCCTGCGTGATTGGTGCACCAGCAAGCGCGCCGGAGCAAGCCTTGGCGATGTGAGCGCGGAAAGTTTACCCCCCCCAACACCACAACACATTGTGTCGGCTCCGAGCTTCAACAGCTCCCCACACGCCCGCGCCTCACTACTACTTGGCTGCGCGTGCGCTCTTGCTTTTTCGTTTCTTTCATTCCTTTGAATTGCATATCCACTGCTTGTATGAGTCTTTGGCGTTAGGTCTTTAGCGTGTGCACCCGGCAAGACGAAAGAGGACCCTTGGTTCGCCATGGCGGACAACAAGCGCAACAGCGTTGCGGGCAAGGTTGCGACACCGAACCTCAAGGCTGGCACCGCATCTAACAAGGACGTCATTGACGCCGATTCCAATCTGTACAAGGCCGTGGGATCGCGGTAAGCCCAGCTTGCCCCCTATGAGCGTCGGACTAGAGAGATCGCGCTGTTCGGGAGTATGCTGACAAGCAGCAGCATCAAGATAACATGCGCTCCCGGCAAGAATGTCCTCGAGGGCACTCTCTTTACGGCCTGCAACATTACCCACGCCATAGCCATCAACACCGCGCCTGCCCCACCGAATCCCTCCACCTCTGCTCTCAGCCAGCCAGGCGATTACCACATTATCCCTTTTGCACACATTGAATCTTTTGAAATTCTCGGATCAGGCGAGCGGGCGCCTGAGTCGACAGCGGGCTTCAACGGAGCACTTCCTAGCATATCCAAGGTTGACCTAGCGGCACTGCAAGCCCGTGAAGATCAGACGATTCGCGAAATGAAAAAGAAGGATGCGCAGAAGGGCAAGGGCGTTAGTGCGGAAGCGCAGGAGCTATTCGATGCCATCTCGAGGACGTGAGTGATATCCAGTTAATGTCTACCGATACAGGGGCTCAGACTGACATGCAAACGAACAGACTACCGACCCGCTGGGCAGACACTCAGATTGTAGTTAGCGACTCAGTTTTGATCCAATCGCCATACACACTCGACAGCATCCGAGCACCCGCCGACAAGGCGCAGGCTGAGAAGCACGTGCGCAAGATTGTCGAACACTACTACCAGCGCAAGAAGGGAGCACAAGCAGGAGTAGCGCGCGCTCCAGTTGCTGTACCTAATGCCCCACGAAAGGGTGGTTAGATGTAACGTAGCCTGCATGGAGTTGGCTTGCGGCACTTTTTTTGAGGTAGAGATTAGGTCCAAGGATGGGCATCACCTTTTCGACATGCAAATCATCGCATAGAACGGTTAGCAGCTAGGAAAATGTGGCCAAATTACCAAACAAGCCGCAGAGCTTAAGAAGTCTTGCGCAGTAAGGAGAAAGAAAGAAGGGAAGAAATCGGTGAGGGGCGTGGAATGTCGATAGTATGCCGCATATGATTTCAGTGGAGCCGAGGCAACATTGTGATCTCATATGTGAAAGTGAGAGTACCTATGTTTTAAATAAATCACAAACAAAATGTTTAAATTTCAAGACTATTGTTGGGAGCGTGACATGAGGAAAGACCTGAGGGCTAGTGATATCAGTAGGACGGCACTGAAATGTCTAGCTTCTAGGTACGATACATGACTGTCTGAATCGAACTTAGAATGCAGACTGCTATTTTTGCGTTCTATGAAACGTAGTCTCTTAAACTCTCCTTCAAACAAGCCCCCTTTTTACTTTTTCCACGACAGTAACACTCTTACGAACAGCTAAGAAAGGGGACAAAAGACTTAAAGTACCAGGACACAGAAAAAAATACATGGATCTTATCCACAATACTTTATTACGTAGTTAATATCCCCGTTCCACTACTTCTCTACTACTAATACTACTAAATTAGCACGTACTGACGATTTCAATCTACCCATCTCGCTCTAACTCCGGCCCAAGTTCCTAGACAAAAAAAGTACATAGATATATCGACTAAGACTTGTATGAAACAGCCAAGCTTTCCTCCGTCTCTCTTTCCTTCTCATTTTTTTTCTCTTTCTCTCTCTCCAAAACTATTTTACGTACTACGAGTTGGTGCCGACGTAGTCTACTTTGGATAGTTCATTTAAGATTAGGGCCTGGCTTGGTTTGGGAGGGTGGGAAGTAGGGTTAATGCTTATGGTGGTTATAAGATAAAGGGCCCCTTTTTTTTCTTTTAACTTTTTCGGAGATTTTTATTGAATCCTTCAGGTGAGTGGTGTAGCGCTAGTTTGGTAAGGAAATGCCTATCTAGTATGTATCTAGTTAAAAAAATTCTCGTCTATCCTCCTATTTATTTCTTAAATCGGCTTTGTTAAGTTTCTATTGTTTTTTTGTGTTTGCAAAGAAAATTTTGTTCGTTTTTTTCCCACTAAGATGAAGGTCTCGAACATCATTTCGGCATTCTGCCTCACGGCCCTTGCGTCGGTGTGTTCGTATACAAATTCGTGTCAGAGATTCGGTGCTGTAAGTTCCACTCTTCCTCCTCTTTTCCACACATAGATGAAAGAAAAGGAGAGAGAGGCTGACAAATTGTGATTCGAACAGGTTGATGCGAGATCCGGCTCTGTACCTGGGACTGCGGATTCCTGCGCGTGGCTTATTGGGCAGGAATATGAGGATCCTTGTGCGAAGAAGGGGTTGAATTGTCGACGTGGTAACTGCGTAAGTTCTATATTCAGCGTAGCATTATAGGGCTGACATGGGCTTTTTTTCTGGAACGATTGCAAGGTTGTTGAAGATGGGACGACGCGGTGTCGCGCATGTCAAGTTAGATGCTGCTGAGGTCCACGTCTTTACTGAGGGAAGCATCGTGTATTGATGGGAGAGAGTCTTTGTGGCAGATGCTGTTGCTGTAGCTGCAGCGTGCGTACGGCTGCTATCGGTTACTACTGTGCGAGTCTGCACAGTCAGCATATACCTGCGGACGATGAGACAGGAAAAGCTGTCCATCAGTCCGGCCCGCTTCCTTTTCAAAGTATGCCACGCCTAATCTTTTGGGCGATATGGTCTCGAAATTGGCCATTCCGAATGACCTAGTTGCCAGATACTATCGTTCCATAGTGAACATGAAGGACTTCTACTTTTATGGGACTCAACGTTTGGTCTGCATGATCTAACTTACATCCATCGCATGTCTCGTCGCCAGCATGATCGTATGTCGAGTCGTACAGACAATTGTGCTGCTTCCCTGGATACGCAATCGTTTGCGCTATCACTATCCTCCTACTGCGTTGTACCACCAATAGGGGTCGTCTGTAGCAAAAATATCATCCGAACTTAGTTTCTGTCTATTTCGCAAGAGCTCGTATCGCAAGGTCGCCTTAATTTCAAAATATAGATCTAGTGCTGATTTCTTGGACCAAATCATTACTACATCTTCGTGGAAGAACCTAGTCTACGCCGGACCCACGTTCTTGGTATTTCCTATTTGAATATCTTCTCCCATTTCCCTGTTCCCTAACTGATATTCTCTTCTTTGAATTGAAGACTATCTTTAGGGGTTACTCGTATTTTATGAACATGATGTGATTTAGAGAGCAAGGATATTTACCACGGCACCTCTTCGATCCTGATATTTTCTTCTAATAGAATCTGATAAACATGAATCTTACATCTAATTAACTAAGATCAGTGTCTACTCATACTCCTTTCAAGATATAATACACTCCAACCAAACCTACTCATGACAGTAGAGTAAACCATACCACTTTTAGAAGAAGCGGTGACCTATCTCATGTAAGAAAACGCACACTCAAGATACTAAACGTTTTAGCGAGTCAAAGAATATGAGAAAATCTATAAATTGATGCCCTGCTTTGCACTACTTCCCTATCAACAAGAAACGTCACTTGCATCTATCCTCTGCCTCTTCTTGCGGCTCGATAAACCAACCGCACCATGAAGTCAACATTCCTTCTTACCGCCTTAACCTTCAATGGTGTCACTCTTGTACAGCTCCCCTCTTCCCTCTATCTTTCATTTTGCAGGGCTGTGTAGAGCTAACTTTACAATCTACTTTAGGCAGCAGTCAAATGTTCTGGCACAGTTCATTTCCCTAGTGCCCTGACAAAATGCTGTAGTTACTTCAAAGGCTAGTAGCTCCCAGCGACCCAGCAATGCTTGATGGAGTCCGATTATGATGGGCAAGGCAGTTCTTGGACCACGTGTCTTTACAATGTTAAAGGTACTACTGGTGCTACGTGTCTTGGTGCCTGAATGTTTTGAATCAGACACATAAATTGTGAGATGGAAGGCAGTTTTACAGTTAGACTTCAGTATAATAGAATGGTTACAACTTTGACTGCATATTACAATTAGTTTCTAGGGGGTTTCGTGCACGAAGAAGTGCAATCTACTTAGTTCTAATAATCTCCGTATTCGGATAGCACATAACTAGTGTTGTAATGAACACCAAAATCTCCGCCAGCCCAACCAGCTAAAAACAACAGTGAACGCAATTAACTGAAGAACTAGGACCCGGATGGTTTCTATATAGGATATTCTTAAGGTAGTAGCTCCCATGGAGTTTCGCCGTCAGATGATTTGACGCTATCATTGTCAGACGACTCTGGATAGAGAGCACTTGCGTTGAGAAGCATATCGACTATCCGCTCATAGCCGTGCCTTGAGGCTCTCCGTAGCGCGCTGCTGGAGGATTCACCTAGGTCATTAACACGGTCATTAACGTTGGCGCCCGCGTTAAATAGTAGCTCAACTACCCGCTCGTGGCCTATGAATGAAGCCGCATGTAGCGCATTACCGTAGTACTTTCCGCCCTGGGCGTTAGCGTTGGCGCCCTTGTCGAGAAGCATCTGAACAATTTCATCGTGCCCGAAAGATGACACAATAGTCAAATGGTGTTCAGGAATGACGTCATAACTGTAATAGGAAGCATGCATTCCCGTCAATCCCGGGAAACACAAAGACTCCGGATTAGATACTTTCAATCCAAGCTTGAACAATACAGCATCTTTGCTTGTGTTTAATTCGGCTTCTCGGAAGTGTATCATCCAGAACTTCCTAGAGTAATGGAAGAAGCTTTCTGTGCCAAAATATCGAGCACCTGGCAGCCATGTGTTATTTGTTCCGAGTCTTTTTAATGGGCTATAGAAACTGATGTAATGTAGACAATACTCTGCAAGAATCTTGTGCGCGTGATGCATTGCAATTGAGTGTTCCCATCGCACCTTTTGGGGCACACTCGTAGATGGTGATACATCCGCCAAGAGAAATTCGCGGGCGATCTGATGAAGAAAATAGACCTTCCCATCATAGACTGAGATGAACAGCCCACACCACGATCTTAGACGAGACTTGAAGTCTTCTTCTTTTTCAAGGTCCAGATCTTCCCACGACTGCGTAGTTCCTTGTATCTCTGTGGCGATATTCAGCTCTAAGACCGTTAATGCTCGCCCTGCGGCCAACAGGACGGCCAAGACCCTGCGGACTATTGGCTGATCTTTAGATTTGCTGAAGATCTTCTGGTACACCTGGCTGACAGTTGTTGGTAACGATTTGATAGCTGACTGGACCCCCTTCTTAGACTTCTTGAAACCTTCGGACTTCAAATAGTCAAATATCAGATACACCCAGGGTCTGCGGAGACTAGCAGCGGCCCCGAGACTTGTTTGAGCCATTCTTGAAAGTGGGCGTGTTCCAGAAACCAACTGCACGTGCCTTCTGCTCGATCTTCTACGCGATTCTTGTACCACTCGTATGTGGCATCTTGAGTGCTCTTGGTAAGACGAAATAACTGGAGATAATCTTTTTGGCGATCCGAGAACTCCTGTTCGCGTACGGTGTGTTGCATCTCTAAATGCTCCCGCGCAATGTCTAAATGCTCTTCTGCAACAACATGGTGCTTTGCTGCAGTGCCTTGGAGGTCAAGCATGTTTGCAAGTATTAGTATTAATTTGCGCTAGTACGACTACGAAAAACCTGTAGACTGACCAGAGAGAACGTCAGCAATCTTTTTCTGTGCCTGCACCAGGTCTGACGGAATCATGAATAACACTTCCTTTGCGTACGCTGCTGCCGTCCCTGCTGCATACATTTGCCATTGCTTATTCTTGTGTGAGTCAGCGTAATCGCAAATACCCCGAATCACCAGACAAGGGAAGCTGTTCATGAGGCCTGCAGCCTCCATCTCGAAACAAAACACCCCACCAAGCTCTGCGCTAAGTCTGTCTCTCTCGACAGCCGTCTTTATAACCTGGTTACCAGATGCAATTGTTCCGTAATGCACTACCACTTCCCGCTGGCTTGGTTCTCGAGCGAACAAACGATCTTGGTTACACTCTTTACATGTAGTCCTTCCCTCATGGTTGTACTCCGCTTCGAAGAGAACGTCTACACCAGCAGCTTCACGCCCAAATGCAGGCAGAGCAGCAAGCTTAGAATGATATTCCAGCTACTTGCCTCTTCCCCTCATGTGCTTAGCCCGCACTTTGGCAGCGGCGTTAAGGAGTATCGTAGGCGGCGAGTTGAGTGAGTAGGCTCGCTCAAACCCAGTCTGGGTAGCTTTCCCAGAGTCATACTGCACAACTCCGCCATGCGTCTTATGTGGCTTGCTGACCACGACATCACCGAGTCTCACATCAGTATCCTCTGTGGGAACGCCACCTCCGATGCCGACCATTAGACAGAAGCGGGTTGAGGTGAAAGTCGACTTCATCTGCGCGGCGACTGCTGCAGCTGAGTTGGTGCCTATCTGGCCTTCTGGTAAGCAGGCGATCACGACGTTGTGGTTGCAAACTCTTCCGCAGGTGTAGATGTTTATGTCGCGGGCATCGTATTCAGGCGTCTCGTGCTCCTCATTGAGTAGTTCGTCCGCGGCTGCCAGCTCGACTGGGAGGGCGCGGATCCACCCTACAGTGTAGTCCTCCAGATATAGCTGAGATGCCATTTCTAGACGTTCTGTGGGAGGAAAGAAGGGTCTCAAAAGCGTGCTTGCTCACGTTGAAACCGTGTTCCCAGAATCGAAGAAAGTTAGGGTTGCAGAAGGGAATGCGGACATGGCGAAGCAGGCTGAGTAAAGGCACGCCCTACTGCTGAAAGCCAGCCTCTGTTATTGGCTGAGCTTCAGAAAAGCGGTGGATCAAGTTGGGGGGCGAGAATGGAGGGGAGAATGGTTGGTTGGCTGGTTGGTTGGTCAATTTTTCCCGGCTAGAGGTGCCTCTCCACGCACGTTTGTAGATGTTCCTAGAGCGCTGCTAGCAGATCTGTAAATTTGCTAGTATAAATTGATGCAAGCCAAGCTTTGCTGACGTGTCCGGCTGGTTTGACTCTCGCTGCATAGTTCTCCTATTCTACCATTCGGGGTTTCGATAGTAGTAAACTCACTCCCGAATTCAACTAACCTATGAAGTATAGGATTCTACAGTTGCGATCAGAATTGGTTTCCGGTTTAGTAGCTTGATTTGTTCCAAGCTCACGGTCCCCATGATAGAGGAGTTTCTTACTTGGTGTTAGCGTCAATAGTGTGCGCATGATAATTTTTGAGGCCTTTGACAATAAGGTTCTCTTGTAGATTTTAACTTTACTGAATCGCTAACACCTAGAGTAGGTGTATAGCAACATATCTCTTGAACCTTCGCCGCTCCATTCAGTCTCATCAAACCACTTTCTTGCCCACTTGAACTGTCAGAATGCATGGCGTCGTCTATTTTTCCCCTAATTGTTACATCAACGTGTTACGTTTATGCTATTGGGCATGTGATTTGTAGGAATATTATTCAGCTCTTGGCACGCTCGTTAATCTCCATCGCGGTGTGCATTCCATCCTTCTATCCTTTGCGACACGAAAATTTGAGAACTTACTACGAAAATAAACCCGCATCCTTGCGGGCCGTAAGAAAACTGACTCCAATCAAGTAAAGACAAAGATACTGGCGGATGACCGCAACCAACACTTGTTTACATACCCCTTTGGCTTCGCATTTCTCAACTCAATAATTTAGACGAAGCCCGAAGCATAGACTACAAATCCCTGATACAGTACAAGTGCGCAACAACAGCCGGCGGTGGCTTCGCCTCAACGACCTATCAAACAATTTACAACATGACTGGCTTGCACCTTGCGGACGTCGATTTGACACCGCTTACTTTCGGAACGTGTGAGGAATTCTCTTGTCTTCCATTCGACGGTGATAGTGCTGTGCCCCAACGGATCAAGCCCTGCGCAACCTGTCTATGGGGTTATGCAATGGTGCGTTGGGCGCGCATACGGAGTTTTCGGTCGTGGATACAAAGCGGATGCCAGTTCTGTCGACTTGTTCTTGAGATCTTTGAGAAATATGGACCATTAATAGACGACGCCTCAGGCCTTGGAATTTACCATAACGGGAAATGGATCCAGATCGCCTGGATGACTCCTGATCGAGCTTCAGGACGGATCGACGTTTATGACGTTTATGACGAGGGCCCTTTTGCGACTGAACCGACTCTAGCGGCTAATGCCACTGTGCCACAAATTAAAGATATCATTGGCGATACGGGTTCCAGTCATGCATTACAGTGGTTGAAAGACAAGCTAGGATTGTGTGACTCAACGCATAAACATTGTGAACACAGAGGAGAAACATCCTTGCCAAGGAGGATACTTGATGTTGGCGGAACGAACGACAGCAGCGCTGCGAAGGACCAGGATATTCGACTGATTGAAACAAAGCATGACATTAATGACTATATCTGCTTGAGTCACTGCTGGGGAAGCGGCGAGATGTTTAGGACCACGAAAGAGAATATCAGCGAACGAATGCACAACATCCATTTTAACGATCTGCCAGCTACCTTTAAGGATGCAGTTAGAATAACTCGGGACCTTGGCAAACGATATCTCTGGATTGACAGCCTTTGCATAATACAAAATGACCCCAGGGACTGGCGTGAGGAGGGTTTACGCATGCATGAGGTTTACGGTAATTCCTATCTAACGATCGCAGCATCGAAGACCAAGGGCCCGGACGACGGTTTGTTTTCCGTGTCGTCTCAGTATAAGCTCCAGCAGTTCTTTTTCGTGACAGACAGACAGCAATTTGTCATGCGTGTACGACAAAAAATCTCTCATTTCAACTCCATTGACTCTTTTCCTCTGCTGAAGCGAGGATGGGTCTTCCAAGAGCGAATCTTGTCCCGAAGAATGGTGCACTTTGGCCCCCAGGAGCTAGTATGGGAGTGTATGGAGATGGAAGAATGTGAGTGTGGTAATGTTGATGAAGGCATCAGCTGGAATTTACACACTCCGCGCAAGTCGCATTTGCTGATTGGGGGTAACGTTTTCTTGTGGAATCGGATAGCGGCAGCCTACTCGAGTCTGAGTCTCACGAAAGAGAACGATGTTTTACCTGCACTCTCGGGTATTGCGAAGAAACACAAACCAGAACCTGAGGCAAAGTACCTGGCAGGGTTTTGGGATGGGAAATTCTTGGTCATCCATCTCATGTGGTACGTACAGCCGACAAGAGGGCTATTCCCAGGTGACTATAAGAATATCATACAAACCCGACCTTCACCGTGGCGTGCACCATCATGGTCGTGGGCCTCTGTCAAGAGTGCTGTCATCTACAACGAGTTCAGCAAATTTTATCGGGCAGTTGAGATCGACGAAACCAGGATCATTCCTACTAGCAGAGACGCCACTGGGGAAGTTATATATGGGGAATTAAAACTACGGGGCTCTACTACCCTTGTTACTTGCCACATGCCCGAATATCAGAGCGGTACAAATCACCAACAACAACTCCACATCCGCTGCATGGATCTGAACGTCAGAAACCTGGCTCTGTTTCCTGACTATGACTGGTCTTTAGACCAGAACTGGTGGATTCATGAAGGCCAATCTTTACTTTGTCTGTATCTAGCAACGACGCGATCCAACACAAACAACCCTGACGGTGTATGGAATCCTGATGAACAAATCTTTGATCCGGATGACGATGTCTGGATGATGCTACTGGCAAAATTCACACGGGAAGAACCGGTTTGTCAGCGAGTGGGTATGGCGAGGCTCAAATGGAAAGACTATAAGCAACAGGAAGAGTTTAGGGGCAGTTTCAAAGAGCTTGGAGCCTTCCCGATTTGTTGAACAGCGATAGGAGGTGGAATTTTTGTCTTCCAGGCTCTTGATGTCTAGCCCAAAGTACATCAAAACATAAACAGGGCTGTGTCTAATACTACAAGGTATTGGGAGCTTTGAGTTACTACATGAGACAACAAGTATGCAATGACGTACCCATATTTGATCTACACGTGTTTAAAGAAAGAATTAATTGTTACGGACATAGTAACAATTACCTAAGCCAACTTCTAAGTGTTCAGTTCATATAGTCGTCTATCACCGGTACTAGTAGCTTTGTTTACTTAGATTGTATTCTTTTGGAGTCGCGGCGGATCGTAGATTTCATTAGTAGAAAATATATATAGTAAGAAGCATGTCGAACCGTAGTTTCTTTGTTACAGTAATAAAAGCTTTTCTACGTGATATTCCTTAAAGAGAGGAGAAAATAACATCACATAGATCATCTGCTAACAACATCTCAAACACTCCAGTTGCTCACGTCACCGAAATGACATTGCATCTCAACCCCGCACTCGCATTCGCCATCCCACCAATTTCGCATACTCGATACTTTTAAACTTCCCCGGCCGTCATAGATAAATCCCTCCCTTGAGTCCACCCCTAAAATAGAGAAAAAAAACCCCCTAACCCCTCTTCCAACAAATCCACAACGCCACCTCCCCTCCAAACCCTCATACCTCTAACCCGTCAAATACTCGGCATCACCATCCTCAAAGCCAACACCATCACAGTGCCCCATCCCGCAAAGTCGCCGCGCCCGAAGTCACAAATATAGCAGCCGAGAAGGCGGAAGCGTGTTTTCAGGAGGGAGGGGGAGTGGGAGAGTAGGGGAAAACATCTTAGACTAATTATCCACCTCTTATTCCAGATCCGACAATCTCATAACTGCTAGGGGAACGCTTGGTAAGCAAAGAGTGTGAAGTGGTACAACAGTGACTTTTCGTCGCCAAGATTACAAAGCGACATCTGAGATGGCAACCGAAACCCGAAGATTTGAGAGAAGCATGAATATCTAGATGACCACATACTCCGTTCGTTCCATTAACAAACAGTTCCCTCTCTCGTTGCTATTAATCTCAGGCTTGCGAGACTCCAGACTGTCATGCTAGTTTTAACGAAACAGACCATCACGAACTCTCAACACCTTGCTTACCATAATCCCATTGAGGAAAAAAAAAAGGGGGGGGCTTTGGAAAGACAGAAGAGTGACTTCATGACACTAAAACAAGCTCAACATCATTTACTCACAATATAAAAGGTGTGTAGAAAAGCGTCTTCATACTCTCAAATCTTTCAAAACTCTATCTTGGCCTTGACAAAAAAATCTCACATCTGCTGTATCCATGTACTCTATACACACTCCTCACACAGACATGTTTGGCCTACAACTCACTATGCTCAACAACCCTCTCAGCATCCTTCTCCTTCTTCTCCCTCAGCTGCTCCTGCTCCTGCACATCCACCAAACCCGCAAGCTCCTGCTCGCCCTTAACCCGCCTCGCAAGCGCCGCAATCTCCTCATCGTAGACATTCCACTCTGGAATCTGTCTTCTTGCACGGTCTAGCTTAGGTTCTTTAGTCTGAGGGTTATTACAAAGATCGATCGTTTTTGCTTTGGCGAGGTCCTCGTCGCTGCACCATGTTTCGCACCAGAGCCATTCCTGAGGCAAGCTGTGGATGGGAAGGTTGAATTGCATGTTGTTTGGGAGATCCTGGTCGAGGTTGGAAAGCGAGTTGGGGTCGGCGGATAGAGCGTGGTATTGCTGGCGGAGACGGTCACCTGCGGCGAGTTGGCGGAAGCGGACGAGGTCGACTACGTAGAGGGCGGAGATGTGGTAGGGACGGCCACGTAGAAAGTTAGCCCAGTAGCCAGTCTTCCAGAAACGGAAGCCTTCCATTTCGGTGCGAGAATCGCCCATGGGGGTAAAGCCGTAGGGTGCACCCTCGAGGTCATGCTGCACAAGCTCGTACATGTCCGTCCTGACGATCTGATCCGCATCCACAAAGATGACCTTTTCGAGGTCTAGAGGGAACAGGACATCCAGGAAGAGAATCTTGTAGCCCCAAATCTCGCGTTGTTTCTCCGACTGTTGGCGCAACCAATGTGGCCATTTGTACGTGACCATCTCGTATTCAAAGCCGTACTCGGCGGCCATGTGTGGCAGGAACGACTTGAAGCTGGGCGAAAGGAACTGTTCAATAAACCAGAACTTGACTGTATGTTTCGTGTGCTTCATGACGGAGAGCATCATGATGTTCAGCATACGCTCATACAAGTGGCCCGAGGCGACTGAGAAGATGTTGATATCCGCCTGTGTGCCCTTCTTCACTGCCTTTCCTGACAGCAGATCGGCGCCCTTTTGCAAAACCTTTTCAGAGTCAAAGTTGAGACCAATCTTACCAAGGAACTGGTTGACTTTCTGTGCGCCTTTGCCAACCAGTTCGGAAGCAAGAGACTCCTCTGGAGCAAGCACATCAGCGGTTTCCTGACCAGGTTTGCGAGACAGTCGCGGAAAGATGGTAGCTCCTTGGAAGCTCATGAGGGCAATCTCGGTAGTCTCGTCACCAGGCTGAGGGGCCCAGCTGATTGGACCAGCGCTATCGAGGTTGAAGACTTGCTGGGACCGACCACTCTTCAGCTGAATATTGTAGAATCCAGGGTTGGCCTTAAATTGGAGGTAGCCAAGGTTAGCCATGATGATGGTGTCAGCAAAGTGTGGGTCTTTCTCGGTAGCTAGGACAACCTCAGCTCCGCGAGGTGGCTGTCCACCATTGGTGGTATCGCGAGAGTGACCTTCGATGAGAATGCTTTCCAGTCCATAGACGGCGTCGATGTTGGAACCAACTGGAATAGTGCTGAGCTTGATGTTGTCAAGATCATAGATGGATTCTTCTGGAGCGACTAGCCATGAAGGGGGCACATCCATACCAAGATTCAATAGTGCCTCTTTGGGGATACCGGAGAAGCGTGCGCTCAAGCTACCAACAGATCCGTCCGCATTGAAATGAGGTCGGGCTTCGAGAACATATCTATAGAAGCGCTTGATAGGAAGCTCTTGAAGATTGTCTTTGGGATTCAAATACAGTGTCAGATGAACACCCTCCATGTCGCCCAAGGTCTTCAAAATGGGAATCCATTTCTGCGCAACTTCAGTAGCCGGATCGATCGCGGCCACAATATGGAATACAGCCTTGTCTTTGTCACCTTTGACAATGGCGGTGTGCTCAGTATTCCACTTTTCGTCGTCATTTCTCCTGATTGTCGAAATCTGTTCAAAGATACCCTCTGGCACATCCGATATAGTTGACAAAGCAGCCAATGATTGTATCTTGGCGATATTGAAAGGCGACTCGATCTTGTTCAGGAGCCCAAGATCGTCCAATGCCTTACTCAAGGGCTCAGCACGTTTGCTCATCTCGTAGGACACCAGTCCTTCCAGATCATCTTTGGTGAACTTGATATTTTCTGGAATAGGGCCAAGATGACGCCCATTGACAATAATGCTATTTTGGCCTGGCTTTATACCAAGAGCGTCGTATATCGGCTCGGCTGCCTTCCAGAATAGTCGTGACTCGTCTGGAAAAGAGATGGAGCTGGACTCGCGAACCAGAAGCTCCAGCAAGGTGTCTACTGTGAACTTGTCACCTATTTTGGAAAAAGACTCAAGGATGTCTTGCGACACGCCCGACTTTTCCGCGTCAGCGGCAGGATTGTGTATCAAGACAATCTCAACGTTCGGGTTGGCCTCGCGGAAGACTGCCAGGGACTTGAGAAGGCTCAAGCCATACTCAGAGTCGAAATCAGCGGTGAGGGTGATGTGTACCCAGTCGCTTTTGCTTGAAGACTCGGAAGCATGAACTCGTGGCATCTTGTTGTATACATGGCTGTGGGTGTTTTCAAAATCAGCCATGTTGATGAGCGTGACGTTCTTCTCGTCCTCTGGAATAATATAAGGATTGCGCCTACTGGCAGCCTGAACAAGGAAATGCTGTGGAACCCAGCTATCTTTATTGAAGTTGCCTTCGAATATGGCCTTTTGGATTTCGCGAAGATCGAAACTAATTCGTTTGCTGAGACTAGAGAGCCACTCCTCATTCCCAGGAATAGCAACACCGTTTATTAGAATTGGTGGTTGCGGGCCTTCCCCAGCCAAACGACTCACGTACTGCTTGGAGTCTGCAATGCGTTGGTCCAAGTCCTCTGAAGTAAGGACATCTTGGAATGAAAGGGCTGTACGCTCATCGAGCAAGGTCGAAGTTTTAACTGTCGCGTCAAAGATGGCCTGATCAGGCTGTGTAAGCTTCTTGCCGTCCAGGGACTGCGCCATATGTTAGTGTTAGACATATATAGAAGGGAGATAACCTTTACCGCTTGAAGGTATACTTCCACCGCAGAGATCCCATAAGCATCCAGTAGATGATAGACTATCTTGGCCTGCTCGGTAGCTTCAGAAGAGCCAGACTGAGGGACGATACCCCAACGCAATGGAATGCCACGTCTGATCAAATTGAAGATGGTGTCGAGGAGAGTCGTCACATCCTGGGTGGATGTCAAGTCAACAAACACAATGGCATTATGAATATCTCTGCGGCAAGAAGGAAGCTGTCCAGGGAATGTCCTTTGCAATAGCTAAAAGAAAATTGGTCAATTCAAGAGCATCAACAATATCAGCTGGCACTTACAGCTTCGAGGCTGCTGGGCCAGTCCTCATACGCCGGGTCCTTCTCGATGTCATTGAGCCAGATGATGACGTTGCCACCTTCGGTTGCATCTCTAAAGTCGTAGCGCTGTGGGGAGTCACCTGCATTGGTTTTTGCGATGGCTGAATGCGACAAGAGAGATACGACTTCAGAAACCGAGAGACCCTGGCTGCGAAAGCCGTTGATGAGTTTCCGCTCGCGTCGCAGGTGCGCCAACAACGAATATGGGTTGACGTCACGAGTCGGAATGGTTAGGCCGTTAATTACGATCAGATTGATGCCGCCCATCAACCATTGATCGTGATTCTTCTTGAGGCCTTGAAGAAATTCATCAGTAGCGTTGTGGGCAGCAATGATGGACGAATATTTGGGAAAGTCCTGAACGAGCTTCAGAAGGGTATTCATGGGATCTTCGCTCTGAAGCACAAAACTAGCAGCCTTGAGTCCGAGATCAGATACTTCGTCTTTGGAAAGAGGCTTGAGATCGGCAACATCTTCTTCATCGTTCAAGCCAGTTTCCATTGTTTTCTGTGCAGCATTCTTGTCGCTCTCGGCCGCTTGCCTGTCGTCAATGACAATGTAGTCGGTACGCTTCAATTGAAGGCCAACACCATATCCGTTGACCACTAGAGGCGACGTGGGCGCCTTGGGAGATGGCTTGTGCCTGATGCGGTATGATGTCTTTCCTTGCTTGGCAGTGGTGCTCAGTGTCTTGTGCCATTTTTTGAATCTTGGGGCAGTGATGTCGGCGTAAAGAATGGCTGGTAGAGCTGAGCCGTTGCCAAGTATGCGGTCAAAGGGTAGTTGGTATGTACTGTCCAGCTGTCAGTGCCTCGTCTTCCCAAGAGCAACGTGGTACGGACCGTTCACTTGCAATGTCCCCAAAGGGCTCATCCAGATGCACCGAGCAATATTGTTTGCCATGAAATGAGACCCATAGATCACATGCTTCTGTTTGCTTTGCCGACAAGGAAGGCTCTACTGAAGTATTGTAGAACTGGTAGTGTGCTTCGATACGCGGCGCGGCCGACCGAACTGAAAGCGCAAACTCGAAGGAGGCAAGGGCTTCTGGCTGCGTGATGTGACCATCAGCATATAGCAGGTCGACAAAGGCTGTATAAAGCTCTTGGTCGGTGGTCTTGTCGTCAAAGTAGCCCTCAGCAATTCGGTCGAGAATGGGGTAGTATGCAGTCGCGTTCTCCTCAGCTGCAGTCTCTCTGCAGGTTGTTAGGTTGTGTATGCGGTATTGTTTTGGGAGCTACTTACAGTAGCTCAACCAGATATGGGGCAGGATTGAAGGCGGCCTGCAGGGCGACGTTGATACTCGGACTTGCCAATGTGCCCATGTGCCGGAATGCAGTCAGCACAAAAAGCGCCTTTGCACCCAGGACAGAGGCCGAAGCTCTCATACTGCCTGGCTTTGTCCAATCGCTATAGCACTTTGTAGTAGTGTGTGATGTAACAAGGCAGGGTTTGGTGTTTGTGTCGAAAGGTCAACTCTCGATGTTAAGAAGATGCAACGTGTAGCATAACTTGGCTGACGAAACGCGCACGCAAAAACAGAGTATGGTGTGTCGCACAGTGCTGGATGTGGTTTGATGAGTCCAGTGTGCTTTTGGTCTTTAGAAAGAGACAGCGGCTCTCCTTGAGCAGGGACTTGACAGCTCAATGTCTTGACGACGTATCTTGGATTGACTGGCGCGACAGCATTTGGTACGGCAGGCGGTTGTTACCCCAAGCGAAGCGGCTATCTAATCTTATCGGTTCCTGCCTCGGAATCGTTCCGACAACAGGCTACAAAGTATGTGCGTAGCCGGTCACGTGCTACGCTACCACCGCTTCAGCTGGTACGCCATGTGCTCCAAGCTTTGGCAGCGCAACAATGCAATACGACTCTCTTTGGGGGCGGCGATAATTCATCAGCCGCTGAAGGGTAATTAGTATAGCGACTACAGAGATGTTAATTATAGAAGTTTTTTTGTGCATGTCGAGAGTAATGGAAAGTCCATTAGTTGTTTGGTACTCTTCAAGTCTTGGATCAGCCTGGCGGAGATGCCAAAAGGCTATTTGTCGGTCCTTTTCTTGCCTTGTGCACGATGATATTGAACGAAAGGTTTATGGCGTGAAGAGTTCAAAATCAATTTTGTGTAAGCACCCGTGACACCACCGACTATCTTTTAGCTACGCACTAACCGTTTACCTGCCGTAACGCGTTCTTCTATGTCATTTGGACCAATTCTCTGTGTTCTCAACGAACTACTTGACGTGTTTTTAGATGGTAGTACCTATTCTTACTATGATTGGTACATGCACATGTCAACCAAACAGGGTATGAGCATATTTTATCCACCTACTATATCCAGTTCACCATACATCAATGGAAAAGAAGCAATGCCCATAGGCCACGACTCGCAAACAGCCCACCTACTGTGTGATTACGTATCCACACATATACGACCCAGCTAGAAACATGACATGCATGGTGGCCCTGCCAAGGTGTTGCGCCAGGCCGGATGCTAAGGGCATAGTGGGGGACAAGCGTGCGCGTCTGCGCCTGGCTGGGCCCTAACGGTGGACAGACAGGACGTGCGGCCGGCCAGTGACGCCAAACACGATACGTATACGACGGCCTGCTCCACCACGACCCCCCCCCGGCCACGCTGACGACGGCGTCTGTCTCCGCCCGTGTTTTGCATGCATTCATCTGTCTGCTCACACCCATCCACTCTCCAATGCCGTGAATCCACCTGCTCCATCCCTCTCCGCCATCATGCTCAGCGGCCCGCCTAGGATCATTCCCTTCGTCTTTGTCTTTCTCGCCCTCACCTTGGTGTGGTGGTACCTGCATGCTGTCCCTGGTGCAGGTCCGTCATTGGCAACATGGAAGCCCTCACCACCGGCCAACCGTCCCTCGCTGCGCGGCGACCCTCTCGACTTTGGCCTGCCCCTGCGCTTCTCAGACCCTGTGCGCAAGCCTCCGGGAAGCAACTACACGTACAAGATTGTCGTCCCCAAGACCCAGAAGGAGGACATTAGCTGGATGGAGACCGAGATTCCCGATGCGCCCCTCGTAGTCTACGAAGTCGACAATCCCGATGCCGAGCACAAGATCCCCAAGAATAAGGGCCGCGAGGCAATGGTATGATCCCTTTTTTTTTTACATACGTGCTGCTGTTGCGCGTACATGCAGGCTGACCCGCGCGTTCCAGGTGTACCTCTCCTACATCATCGACCATTACAACGACCTTCCCGACACCGTCATCTTCATGCACGCCCACCGCCACGCATGGCACAACAACATGCTCCTCGGCCTCGACGCTGCCCAGATGATCAAGCGTCTCAACCACGACCGTGTCGCCCGCATGGGCTACATGAATGTGCGCTGCCACCACGAACCCGGCTGTCCCGACTGGATACACATGGACCGTCCCGGCGGCGACTTTGACTTCTTCCGTAAACCCGAGGAAATCTATTGGCGAAAGGAGGTCTGGGAGGAGATCCACCCCGGCGCGCCCATCCCGCCCTCCATCTCGGGAATCTGCTGCGCCCAATTCGCCGTCTCGCGCCAGCGCATCCAAGAAGTGCCCATTGAGCGCTTCATCCACTACCGCAAATGGCTCCTGACAACCGGCATGGACGATCAGTTTTCCGGCCGCATCTTCGAATACATCTGGCACTACATCTTCACCGGCCACGAAGTACACTGTCCAGCCATGAATACATGCTACTGCGACGGCTACGGCTACTGCTTTGGTGGCCTGGCTAAATTCAACGAATACTTTAAGAAACAAGATGCGCGCAACGAAAAGTTTACCGAATACGACGGCTACCAGAAGAAGGAAAAAGAGGCGGAGAAGGACGGCAAAGACTCTCCCCTCACTGAAGACGAGAAGAAGAGATTTGGCGAGCTCAGGGCCCAGCTTTTGGTTATGGACCGCGAACTCGACGAGCTGAGAGATGCGGCGAGGAAGAGGGGCGACGACCCTAAAGCTAGAAAGGAAGAGACCGAGTCGTACGATTCGAGTCACATTTGGGACTATGCTCCGCATGACAACTGAATGAACATTTGATGATTATGCATGCTTGCGGCATGTAGGGCGAATAAAAACAACAGGCGTTCAGATGGTGTTTTCTTGCGAGATTAATAGCACCACATACGGGGGTTTTGTTTCCCTGACCCGGACATGGATTGAGCATGGGGCATACATGACGTTACCTAGATACCTTAGTTATATATATATACATATTTGTTTCATTGTATGATAGATCTCAAATCTGTACATGTTTCTCTCACTTGTTCTTGTCCTTCGCATGTGCTTGTGAGTTTCGTTATAGTAAAGCTGTGCTAACTTATCCTGCGGCTATATGATTGGTACTGCACATGCTCGTCACATGCTTGTCCTAGCATACAGCAACCTTACCACTCTATCACTACACACAAATATTACATTCTCACTGGCAAAGCACAACTAAGACACTGCAAGACCCAGAGTCATGGCTCCTTCCCTTTTACTTTTAGCACTGAGTGGCCAATGCATTCCCCACTTTCTACCATTTACCTCCAAGCAAACACTTCCTTTCTTCCACAACTTCTTGGTACCCAAACCGTTTTGCAACCAGTGGTGTAGCTGCACCCAGTCCTAGGACAAGCTGTTTGTCAATGTCTTTGTTTGTTGGTGTTTGAACCGGTCGCCGCACTGCTTGCTGTTTGCTTACTACTGGCGTCGCTTGCTCTATCGACTTCACCTTCACCTTCGTCTTTGCTTTCGTCTTCGCCTTCAATCCTACTTTCATTTTTACTTTTGCCTTCGCCGTCTCTCCCACATTCACCCTCGCTTAAGAAGACGCCAGCTTCTTTGTCACTTTCGTTTCCCAATACTTTAGAGCAGTTGTCGCAGAATCTTTCTCTCGTTCTACTTTGCAACGCTTGTGCCTTGCGCATTCCGCAGTAATTAGTCAATAAGTTCTCCCACAAAAAAACGGAAGCTAGCATGTCCACCTCGAGCGATTTCGCTCGATCACAAGCTACTGACTGGTCGCCACCAATACCCGCGACGCCAGAACTAGACGCTATCCATGACATCAAGGTAAGAAAACTCACAACACAATTTTCATCATACTGACTCTGACAAGCTTGAACAGAAACAACGCATACGAACTACATACAATGAGCACAAACCCGGAAAGCAACGCCTAGTCGTTGACTTGCATGACTTCGAAATATACCGTTCTCCAGATTACGAAAAAAGAGCATACGAGCTAGCTAGCTTACACTTTCTCGGGCTTCCACTAAACAAGAAACTATGCTTCGATGGATTTGTACGCCTGGAAAATGTCGAGCGCTATGTACAAGGTGTACCATTCCAGCAGTGCTCTATTAAAGACTACACAGACAAACAAAATCCAGAGGTCACGTCCTACATCCAATCTGAAATGGCGGCGAATGACAAGGAATACGATATCTGGTATCGGCTCACTCAACCCATCCCACAATATCAGAGCCTCCAGGACGCCTTCCTCTGGATAGCTCAGCTTGGAAAGCACGTCCTTCATTACATGGAAGGCGCCTCGCGCTCGCTAGCCTGCTTTCGTGAAGACTTTCACACCTTCCTGAAGGATCGTTTTAGCGACAATCGCGATTTTGAGAAATGGCATGCGGCTTTTCGAAATCAAGTGGACTTCCGAGTTGCTATTGTGACATACATCGAGTACCTGTACAAGGAAGCCTCTAATCGTCCAAATTCTGATCAGTTTGTTGGGCAGCCATTATGGGTTGAGTGTATGGCGAGAGCTGTCACGCCTAATATACCGCGAAAGTCAGACTCTGAGCAGACAGTTGCTACGCCAGCTGTTTATGCTTGTTTTAAAGACATGTACTTCGGGAAGCAAATTCGACTGCAAGCTCCATCCACAAGCGTCCTTGACAAGCAAGAATACAGGAAAAAAAAGCTGGGATTTTCGACAACATCGTCAGAGTCACTTTCCTATGCCGAGTTGTCGAAAAGCTGTCAGCCATATGAAGCATCACCGGTAATGGTTGGAGATGTTGTAGCCGTAGTCCCAGACGAGGCAGATTCCAGATTATGGAAACACACCAAACGGGATTGGCTGGCATATGTCCAGCGCACTCAAACTCTCGACAACGGTGTTCAACAACTGTTTGTAGTGTGGCTGTATTGGCCTCATGATACAAACATTGCCAAAGCCCACTATCCTTTGGAAAACGAAGTCTTTCTGTCGGACCATTGCAATTGTACAGAGAGAGCGCTGTTATCTACTGATGTCAAGGGCAAATACTATATTGACTGGTGCCCTTCCATTATCAATGCGAAGGATCTTTTCGTCAGGCAAAAGTACATAAGAGAAGGGAGCTCATTTGTGAGTATGAAGAACAATGACAAGATTTGCTCTTGTCACAAGGAGACTACTTATAAACCTGTCGCCACTACGTACAAGTCTGGTGACACAGTTTATCTAACACCACCAAAAAATCACCGGCTACTAGAGCCAGTCATTATCCACCAGATTGACGAAAGGAAGGGGTCGGTAACTGTGCGGAAGCTGTTGCGACTCGGGCGTGATTGCGCTGAGCTGGCAAAGAATCTGCAACGATCAAATATCGCTCCAAACGAACTTGTACTCACGGACGACTATTCAGAGACGAAACCTGATCAGATCGAGCGTCACTGCTCCATACGATTTGTCTCAAAATCAGACATCACGGCTAGCAAGGTTCCTTTCCCTTACAACCGCCAAGGGGCAGGCGACCTATGGTTCATCTCAACGGGATTGAGTATCAATGATGGACAAAAGAGGCTCTTATATCTTCGGCGCCTTCCAAGGAACGTGCGCCAACGCACGAAGATAGGCTTAGACAACAAACTTAGAGGTCTCAGCATCTTCAGTGGTGGTGGATTGCTAGACAGAGGGCTCGAAGAAGGGGGGGCTGTCGATTTTCGTACTATTGTTGACTTCAGTCAACATGCTATTCGAACGCAGCAAGCGAACATTAAGAATTCTACGACAGTTTGTCTATACTGCGGCTCGGTAAACACTTTTCTCAATTCAGCGCTCAAGGGCGACACAAGCTTCTTTGCTAGAGTTGGTGCTGTGGACTTTATTGCTGCAGGATGTCCTTGCGTTGGTGCGTATACTCAGTAGATCCACTAATATTTGGTCAACCTTACATCTTGCTAATATTGCTAACAGCATTCTCTGGACTTCAGCAAAATCACCTGAGCCCAAGTTCACTGCTCAACGCATCTCTCATTAGTACATTCTGCTCCTTTGTGGATCTTTACCGACCTTTATACGGTGTACTGGAGAATGTATTGAATATTTCATCAGAGAGGGCCGGCTCAGCACTATCTCAGATGGTGGCTTGTCTGGTATCATTTGGCTATCAAGTGAACCAGTACATTATGGACTCCTGGAACTATGGCAGCCCACAGAGACGCTCGCGCGCAATACTCACTATAGCAGCTCCTGGTCTTCAGCCCATTATGCAGCCATATCACACTCACCGTCGATCCGACGAGGAAGTTCGCGGAAGAAGTCTAGGCCAATTACCCAACGGGGAATTCTGTGCTGGGCGTCAGTATTACCCAACGCCTTTTTATCATGTCCCTGCGGAGACTGTTAGTTCCGGACTGCCCGATATTGGATACAGCACCGCGCAAACATGTATACCATACCCGGACCACAGAATCCCTTGTGTACCTACTGGGAAAGATCGAGCTCTACTTGATTGTATACCAAAAGAGCCCCCAGGCTGTGGGTACAAAGAAGCTGAGGAGCTTGGGATTATTCCGCCCTATTTACGCAGGAAAAGAGAGATCGGCAAATCTTACCAAAGGATAAAAAGAGCTGGCTTAGTACCCACGATTACAACAAGTGCGTGTATTTCAGACGCTAGGAGTGGTGCTGTGGTACATTGGGAGGAAAGCAGGTCTATAAGTCTACAGGAGGCTCGCCGCGCGCAAGGTATCGATGATACTGAGCCTATCATCGGAACAATCAGAGACCAGTGGAGGATTGCCGGTAATGGTGTGGATCGTAAAGTGGGTTTTGCTATTGGATTAGGATTACTTCGAGCTGTTGAGAGCAACGACTTAGAGTTCACATCGACCGGGACTGCAGAAACATACTCTACTTCAATTGAAGACGCAGATGACTCCTTGATCCCAAGCCCTTACAAGCATGATGGTGGCTTTTCTCATCTCGAACAGACGCTCAGAAGTGGTGTGAGTAGGCTTTCTCTAGCGCCGATGGACTGTAAAGCAAAGCCTATACTACAATCAGCTCATGTCAAACGCACAAGGGAAGAGGACTTGGACTCCAGCAAGCTGCCAAAGAAACAGGCACGAACTAGTAAGGCGCAAGATGCCGCTGCCAATCTCGAAAACAGGGCAACACCCATTGATATGGGTAGGAATAGCAGACAGAGCTCGACAGGTTCAACAGTTTCGACAGTTTCGACAAAGGCACGGTATACACGGCACTCGGGACTACCTGTTGAGTTTGTCCCGAAGAACTGGAGTAAAAAGGTGGAAGCAAAGCGTCGCGACTGGATCTAATTGATAATGATGATGAAGGGAAAAGCAGTAGAGCGAGAGTTTATTCAAGGATCTTATTGAGAAGTAAATCTACAGCACTGTTTACACGGCACCAAATATATATAGAAATATTCCGCATAATTTATACCCATACTGTACTTACACAAAAATCCCCCCTAAAGAAAACATCAACTCCACCATACCAAGCAAACCACTCTACAGATGCCACCCCCTCTCCCCCCTCTTTACTTCCACTCCACACTCCACGTCTGCTCCCCCCTCCTAAACGGCACAACCTCGACCCCTCCCTCCTTCTTCTTCAAAACATCCAAAATCTTCTCCCCACCCCTTCCAAGCACAACCCTCTCCCCCCGCTTATCTTCAATTTGATAAAACGCCCTCCCCCACTTCCCAAAAAATCCCTCTAACCCCTCTTGCGTAACCTCTTCCTTCGAAATAACCCCCCTTTCCACCCCCTTCTCCAGCGCATCAACCACATACCCCAGCGCATGCGGCTGCGTAAACACGCCTGCCGCAACCTTATCCTCGCCCCTCTTCTTCACCCGTGGATGCGGCGCCGAATCCGTTCCTAGGAAAAACCTCCCATTACTCTGTACGACAGCGCGAATCAGCGCATCCCTATCTTCGGGAGTCTTGGCAACGGGCTTGCAGAAACAAAAGGGGTCGCCGGCCCAGTCATCGATGATGAGGGAGAGGTGGTGCGCTGTTATTGTGCCTGCGACGGTGGGGCCGCAGGAGAGGACGGTGGAGAGGGCGGCGGCGGTGCTGCAGTGTTCGAGGATTATGCGGAGGGAGGGGAAGGCGCGGTGCAAGGAGAGAAGAGTGGGGAGGAAGGCGGGTTCGGCGTTGAGGATTGTGATTGCCGAGCTTTCCTTGTTGGGGGAGAGAGGGGCGTGAGATGGGGTTGAAGGGACTTCGCCATGGAGGTTTAGGACCATATTTTGTTTTTCCATTTCGGCGAAGACGGGGTAGAAAGTTTCGTAGTCCAGGACGCCAGAAGAGGAGTTCTTGGGGTTTTGTTAGTAGTGTTCTTTTCCCCTGCAGGTTTTATCGTGTGGATGGTGATATTGATGTGAGATTTCACATACCGTAGTGACACCAGCAGGGTACGATTTTACGCCTGTGATTCCGGCTTTTTTGGCTTCACGAATGACCTCAGGTGTGATATCTTCATGCAAGTAGAGGGACATGAGGTACTCGACATTTGGCTCGATGGCCTTTAGTCGATCGCGGTACTCAAGGCATTGCTTTACTGTAGTAATAGGCGGAACAAGGTTTGGCTATGTGGTATGTTAATTCCAGAACAAAACAGCATACCTTTTTTTTTAACATAGTGTATAGCAGGGGAATGGTAAATTGCATAAACTTGAAGTAAGAAAGAATCTATACGTGACATTTGAAAAAGAGTGTGATGACTAAGAAGTAGGAGAAGGAAAGACAAGATACCGTATGAAATGTGAAGCAACCAAGAACAAAAAGGGAGATGAATCCATTTGGAATCATAGTTATAAAATATTGAAACACAAAACGTACCATGACATAGACCGTATTCACACCACCCTTACGAATAGTAGGCGTAACCAACTGAGACATTTCCCCATCGCGCAAGTGCACATGGGCATCAAACGCCGCAGGCAGCTCAATCTCCTGTATCGTTGTAATATCCATGTTTCAAACTCGTTGTAAGGTTACACAATTGGCGTTAGTTTGTCGTGTTGTGGGGGGTTGACTACGAGAAACAATTTTGAAATGGGCCCAAATGCGGGGGGTACGCTAAGCCAAATGGGGCAGAGCACCACAACGGTAGAGGCCGAGATGGCTGCAATGCATTCGTACAGATAAAAAATCTCTATTTGTAGAGTGAGTTAATCTCGCTGATCTATCAAGCGATTATAAGCTAGAGCCACCTGGTCCAAAAATATGGTATACATGACCCGTGATTACGTTCCGTCCAGCACTGATTCTCCTAGCCACCTTCGCCATAGGGTATATTATATCCTCCTTATATGCACTTCAGCGTCAACCATCTTGCTCATACAGCACAACCCCAGTCCGCTTAGCCCGAATGCACCACCGGCGCGTTCAACATCCCAGCCGAAGCTTCATTCTCTAGCGATATCTTCATTTCGAGCCACGAGTAAAAGTTTGGCGAGTTGCAAAATGTCTCGTACATGCCATCTCTTGCGCGATGCCTTTGTAGTGGATTTGACCCACGGAATTTGACACTGGTCCCGTGTTTGCTAACGCTGCTCAAAAATTCTCGTACCTGGAAGCTGGCATACCTACTGTTGCCTCCGGGTGTCACGACATGGGACGTTGCGAGATAGCGATTGATAGGCGCGATGAATTGAGCGGTTAACTCGGCAAAGTGTCGACGTATAATGGGTCCCAGGTCTTGCGTTTGATCCCCAAGCTTGAGCAAAGCGTCAATTTGCGATACTACAGTTGGGTCCGATTTGAGAAAGCGTTTTGGGGGAGTGTGGACTTCGATACCACCACCCGGGAGATCGAGAAGTGCGTTGCGGCTTGATTTGTGATGTAGCGAATGGTGACGACGCATGGGTACAGGACCATCAAAGTTTTGCAGGTACAATATGTGCGGCCGGGCTTGGTGACTGGCCTCAACAGCGGCAATGATGCGCTTCAGTAGAAAAGGATTGGTGACACCAGCAATGAAGGATGTTGGGGTGCCACCATCGATACCGATACTTTTGAAATTTGCTTGCATAGTCATATACGGCCGAACCACGCCAGCATAGGGGACCGGGCAGATGAGGTCAAGAAGCGAAGACACAGCCTCGCTCGCTAGTTGTGGAGACTTTGCGATGACGATGACGCTTTCACACAGTATTAACTTCTCGTAGAGTACATATAAGTCGGTGATGCAAGGCATGTAGTGCATGATGCTGTCCCAGTATCCAATCGGTTCATAGGCATAGATGGATTGAGCAGTGTCGGACATCAGAGGATTGGGACCTGGAAGGCCTTGCAAGGGAAAAGCACGATGTGGTGCAATGTCCAGTCTCAACATACTGCCCAAAAAAGGTAGGTTATGGTGGCCAAGGGCTGGGGGCATCCAATTGTTCATTTGCTTGTATGCCGCTTCCAGAGTGGTTGGATCACTGAGATGGCCTGATTCTGTCATCTTTTGTAAGATGCGGTGGTTCAAGGCGGTAAAGTTGTGATGGGAAATCAAGACTAGGGCTCTTTGGTTGAAGCTCCTCTTCATGGTATCGTCAAACTCTTGGCGGAAGATACATGAGGCATAGAAGGTGACTGCGCTGCCATGGGGCGCGTTGGGCGAGGTGAGCTGGATGTCAGGCGAATTGTTGGTAATGGCAAAGTCGTAGCAAAGATCCTCGGCGGTTTCTGTGTTTTGTTGCTCTGGGAAGCTGCAGACGCCTTAGACGAGGCAGATGTGAGTGAGACGAGGAAACGTTACCTGTTGAAACAAATTGCGCTCAAGTCGCTCGTGGAGAAGGGGATGTGAGGCGGGTAGAGAATCTCGATTTCCGGACTGCCTCAAGTTTCAACATGATGTCGAGAGATTTGGAACTTTGGCTCCTGCCTACCCTATGTCAACATTGAAGTTGCAGACGATGCTGGGGCGGTTAGTCTTGGCTTTGCGTCGCGCAGGTGGTGACTTACAAAGCCACGGCCCAATGCCTGAAGCCCCCAGTTGCGATGGGAGACAGCTTGGGCTCTCGTAGCTTGTCCATGTCGTCTTGCCGTCGATCCCGACGATGGGGGGCCAGCAGCTTGTTCTTCAACCTATGCATGGGGCAGCCTGACGCACCTGACCGGCGCAGGTGAACCCAGCAAGAGTAATGGGTGTGAGGCAGTGGGCAGATGGCGTTGGTCAAAGCGAGGGAACCTGATGCGCGTCCAATAGGCTAGCAGCTTTAGCGGCAGACGAGGCCGACGAGCGTCATGGCTATCATTGCGGGGGCGAGGGAAGAAGCAAAGGGTCGCGGTGCTGACATGATGGCACTAGGGGGCTGCCATGGCATATCAAGAGAGCTTCTGCCCAGGAGCTGGGTGTGCGCGTGTGAAAGTATCGCGGGAGTCAATGAGCGGGCGCAGGGGTGCGGGCGCTTGTGTACGATGACGTGGGGCCCGTGTGGCTAGCATCGTCTTGTCTTCGTGAGGAAACATCAAGCCGCGGCGGGAGGGTGAATGGTCCTACACTGCACGCACCCTAATCTACGCCACCCCGCCGCCTCTCCTCTTCCCCCCGCTCCCAGGATACGCAGCATGCGAGGCTCAGGCAGCTGCGCCATGTAGACAAGACTCTTGTCCTGCACCCTCGGCAAGCCCTCACTATGGACGCCAACATCACAAAAGCCCTCAACGACAAGCTCTACGATAGGCGCAAGAGCGGGGCACTCGAGCTCGAGGGCCTCATCCGCGATGCCCTCGCCGCCCAGGACCATGACAGGATAGCAAAGATTGTCCATCAGCTGTGTCACGAGTATGCCTATGCCGTCCACCAACCCCACGCTCGCAACGGCGGTCTCATAGGACTGGCCGCTGCCTCTATAGCCTTGGGGCCCGAAGTCGCCCGCTACCTCGAGGAGATCGTGCCCCCGGTGCTTGCTTGCTTCAGTGATCAAGATGCCCGTGTTCGGTACTACGCGTGCGAAAGCATGTACAACATTGCAAAGGTCGCAAAGGGCGAGATACTTGTCTACTTTAACCAAGTCTTCGATGCTCTCTGCAAGGTGTGCACACCTTTCCCCCATATCTTGCGACTAGACTAACATGGTTGTGTCTAGATGGCCGCAGACTCGGAGCTGTCTGTCAAAAATGGCGCAGAGCTCCTGGACCGCTTGATCAAAGACATTGTCTCAGAGTCCGCTGCCAGCTATGTCTCGGTGCTGCAGACCACGCCTGAGCAGCACGACGGCGAGGACGAGCCATATCCATACGCATTCAGCCTCGAACGGTTCTTGCCGCTTCTCGAAGAGCGCATAAACGTCATCAACCCCTTCACTCGCTCCTTCCTCGTTGCATGGATAACACTACTCGATTCCATACCTGATCTTGAGCTGATTGCTCACCTACCACGCTTCCTTGGTGGCCTCTTCAAGTTCTTGAGCGACTCCAACCAGGATGTATACACTATGACGCAGGCGGCGCTGGACAGACTCCTGAACGAGATTAAGAAGATTGCCAGAATCAAAAAGGGCATAGAGGAAAGCAAGAAGAGCAACAGTAAGGACGAGCGCAGAAACTCTGCCGATAGTATGCACAGCGGAAGCGATGCGTCCGACTTTACGCCCCTCGACCCGAATGATTCGATTGATGACAAGGGCGACGCCAGTGGAGAAAGTGGCTCTGTTTCTGGAGAGAGCGAAAAGTCTGTACATGGCGATGGTAACTGGATACCAGGCCAGGATGTGCACGTGGACCATCCCAAAATCCTTGGGATACTCGTTGACTTTCTAGTCCCACCGCCTGGTAGGATTTGCGTCTGAAATGAGAAGCTGAACTGTGCTAACGAGATTGTAGATACAGAAGAGGAGCAGACAGAGATATTACTGACAGCGCTGCGCTGGATCGACAACTTCTTTGACATTTGTCCAGAAGACATCATGCCGTTTGTCCCGAGCCTTCTGTCGCACGTATTGCCCCGCATGTCGCATGAGGTTGATACCGTTCGCAAAGCAGCAGTTAAGGTCAATGCTTCGCTTATGGATTACATCTTATCCTTATCTGATGACAATCGTCCACGAGATGGGGGCGCAAGTGGACAGATTCAGTTGCCGCCTTCCCTCTCCGAGCTCGGGAAGGAGCTTACTGGTACACAACGGCGAGACTCTAATCTCTCAGGCCGCTTGCTCAAGGCAGTTATCCGCGACCAGGCAAACAAGGCCGAGTCACCTGACGGCAGGTCCCCCACGCCCGCAGAGGACAGTGGTTCGTCACCTCGCCCAATACCAGAGTTGGATTACCAAGCTGCAGTCAGTGCTTTAACACTGCAATTTTTGAATGAACATGAAGCTACTCGTGTTGCGGCTATCGCGTGGCTAATCATGCTACATAGGATGGCACCCGGCAGAGTGAGTAGACATGGAGCCCGACCTACACAGTGCTAATCCGTGTGCAGATACTGACAGTGGACGACGGAACCTTTCCAGCACTGCTTAAGACACTATCTGACCCTTCCGATGCGGTTGTTACGCGCGACCTGCTACTCCTCTCTCAGATATCTCTGCATAGCGACGATACATACTTCACCTCGTTCATGGTCAACTTGCTGAAGTTGTTCTGCACTGACCGCAGGCTGCTCGAGACGCGCGGTAACCTTATTATTAGACAGCTATGTCTCACCCTTAGTGCTGAGAGGATCTATCGTACCATGGCCGATTGCCTGGCAAAGGACGAAGATGTCGAGTTTGCAAGCATCATGGTGCAGAACCTCAACAACAACCTCATCACTGCGCCAGAGCTCGCAGACTTGCGGAGGCGACTAAGGAACCTTGACAGTAAGGATGGCCAATCCTTTTTCGTCACTCTGTTCAAGGCTTGGTGTCACAACGCCGTGGCTACCTTCTCACTGTGTCTCCTCGCTCAAGTCTATGAACAGGCATACCATTTACTACAAGTCTTGTACGTGATTCACTTGCATTCGTACAGACACGGAGACTGACCCTTGCAGCGCCGAGCTTGAAATGACGGTCAACATGCTTATCCAGATTGACAAGCTGGTCCAACTTCTCGAGTCCCCAGTCTTCACTTGTAAGATTTCCTGACTTGAGATTTGTACAGGATCACTAACAAAGTTGCAGATCTTCGCATGCAGCTCCTCGAGCCTGAGCGATATCCACACTTGTACAAGTGCATGTATGGTCTACTGATGCTACTTCCCCAATCCTCTGCTTTTGCTGCGCTTAAGAATCGCCTCAACAGCGTCTCAGCCATAGGCTACCTGCATATTGCGCCTCAGCGCAGCAGCTCGACGTATGTGCACCCTTCCCCCACTCTAAACCACTTGCGGCAAAAAAGCTCAGAAGCCGGCGCGAACAGTAGTAGCAGTAGTAGCATTGCCTCGCCTGGAGGAGCCAACATATCCAACTTCGAACGGTCTGGCCGACTGAAGCCAAGGGACGTGCTGGGCGGCCCGGAAGCGGGCGCCACGGTGAAGTGGACCGAGTTGCTAGAGCGGTTCAAGCAAACGCAGGAAAAGGCGAGGCGCAGTCAAAGAATGGCCAGTATGGGCGAAGAAGAGGAGGTCTACGAGAAGATGGGCCCGACAGTACCGACTCCGTCTGCGCCACCTAAGAGTGTTGCCGGGCTTAGGCCAGGAAGTCCTGCAGGTGCGATGAGACCGCCTCCAGCGCCTGCACCGCCGGGTCCTCTACCAGGACACAAGCCACGGTCTAGCCTGAGTAACCTAGGAAGGTTTGCTGGGGGAGTGGCAGGGAGAAGAAAGGATAAGAAATAGGCAGTTGGGGATGTGCATAGGCTGGTTTATTGATGAGTTTTTGGCGGGCGTGAGTGATTACCAGATGCATTGCTGGCGTCTGTTTGGAGCAAAGTCGATTTGTTTACGGTCATTGTTAGGCATGGACGGCGTCTAGTACGACAGTGTTTCTTTAGCGATGTTTACCTTTTCTGAACCTGACCCCATCACCGTCTTTTTCCTTCCACCCAGTCGCCTCTGCCCCTTCGCCCTCGTCACCCAACACCCATGTCTTGACAATCTCCTTTATTTCAGGCTTCTTCTTCTCCAACCTCTTTGCTTCCTTGACCTTTCTCACATAGCCACTATAGACTGCCACTTCAGCCACGGCTATGCCTAGGGAGCCTCCCATGCTCAGTCCTAGCCTTGAACCGACAGTCCAGTGGCGTGCAGCGACCCATATAAAGACAGCGACGCAGACAATGGAGATTAATATGTTGATTATGAGGATGATTTGGCGATGCACCTCTTCGTAAGATAATTCGTCTTCTTCGCTCGTTGTCTGTCGAGCCCCGATGCTGAAGGGTTCCGGGGCGTGAGGGAACCGCTGGGAAAAAGTTTCGCGAGTAGGCGGTGGATGGAGCATGCGCTCGTAGGAGAGGGCCTCTTGTTCAGCGCGGAGTCGGGCCATGAGAGCTTCGTACTCGGGCGTCTTTGCTGGCTTTGGGGGCGGGGGCGGGGTGTACAGTGTGGTGTTGGTGAGAAGAGATGCGAGAGTCCTGGGAATGGGTTCTTCGGCATCTTTTGTGGCCTCGTCACCGGCTACAGGTCCATCTGAATGCGAACGAGGAAGATGCTTTTTAAGCAGCTTGGAGAGGTCGACCAGCTGGCTATGGGAGATGGGGTTGCCTGGTGTGGCATGTGCGAGCGTGGGTTCGTCGGCGCGTTGCAGGCTGGCGTAGTCGTCGGGCGATAACTCCTCAGCTTTTGCGACTGCCCGGACGATACCGAGCGTCATGGTTAGAAGTACCATGGTGGAGTGTGATTGTATGTATGGTTGTAGTGTGTATTGGCTTGGAAGAAAGTCCCGACATCTCACGCATGTGCGGCACGTCGGTATCGCCAACGTCGCGACTGACAGGGATGATGCGGCGACCGTAGGAAGCTAGCGTTCCGAACGTCATGGATATTTTAAACTTACCAAATCTTGGCCGTAGCTTGCAGGCCAACTCCAATTGTGCGGCAACTAGCTCACCTCCGCCCACTTCCTCTGCTGCTGGATCCTGCCAGAATTGCTCAATTGCACCTCAAAACCGCCATTCGCCCTCTGCGACACTGCCAGCAAGCAGAATTCCCCCTCCATGTTGAGCCGCTCTCCCCGGCTCGTGCCATTAATTGCGCGACCGCAAACCTCCTGTCTTTCCTCCAAAACATACCGCTCGATATGTCCTTACAGTAGTGTCGCCCTCTCGCGCTCCATACAAAATCAGAATGCTGCCCCAACACTGCACCACCCTTCCCGGCGGCGGCACCAATCATCCTGGGCTACCGCTGTGAACGTTGCGCAGCATGTGCGGGCGACGCCGCCGCCAGATGCGCCAATAAAGATGGACCCTTTCCAAACAGTGGCGCGAGAAATGAAGTTTTTGACAGGCAACATACGGCAATTGCTCGGCTCAGGACATCCCACCCTCGATACTGTGGCCAAGTACTACACGCAGAGTGAGGGGAAATATGTACGCCCCATGCTCGTTCTGTTGATGAGCCGCGCTACGGCCCTCACACCCCACCGAAACATTGCGAGGGGTGGCATTGGCAGCCAAAGCGCAGACATTAGCATAACAAACCCGAGTATCCTTGCAGACGAGAACCCAGACACCAGCCCCATCAGCAGCATACGGCATGACTCTGCATACACCCCAGAAGACAGCGACATCCTCCCTTCGCAACGGCGACTAGCAGAAATCACCGAACTTATCCACACAGCCAGTCTGCTCCACGACGATGTCATCGACCACTCCGTCTCGCGCCGCGCCGCCCCCTCTGCAAACATTGAATTCGGCAACAAAATGGCAGTGCTCGCTGGAGATTTCCTACTCGGCAGAGCATCCGTTGCGCTCGCTCGTCTGCGCGACCCGGAAGTCACGGAGCTGCTTGCCACGGTGATTGCCAACCTCGTCGAGGGCGAGTTCATGCAACTCAAGAACACTGCGCGCGACGAAAAGAACCCCATCTGGACTGAGGAGACCGTCTCGTATTACCTCCAAAAGACATATCTCAAGTCGGCCTCGCTCATCTCAAAAAGTTGCCGTGCCGCTGCTATCCTGGGTGGCTCAACTCCAGATGTGGTCGAAGCGGCGTATCTGTACGGCAAGAATCTCGGTCTCGCATTCCAGCTTGTAGACGATATGCTGGATTACACCGTTAGCGAAGCTGAGCTGGGTAAACCAGCTGGTGCGGATTTGGAACTAGGACTAGCGACTGCGCCACTACTTTTTGCATGGAAGGAAAATAAGAGTCTGGGCAAGTTGGTAGGGAGGAAATTTTCGGAGCAAGGGGATGTGCAGCAGGTAATTCTTCCTTTCCTTTCTTTCTTCTCTCCCCCCCTAATTCTTCCCCTTTTATCTTCTCTTGTTCGGTTTTTCGCCCTTTAGAATGGAATCTCGATGCTAACAGTACGATATAGGCCCGCCAGATCGTCGCTCAATCCTCAGGCCTCGAGCAAACCCGTGCCCTCGCCCAAGAATACGTCGATAAAGCCATCGATGCTATTTCCTTCTTCCCGGACTCGGAGGCGAAAACGGGGCTCGTGGAGATGTGCACAAAGGTTATGAAGAGGAGGAAGTGAAGACGTGCGTAATCTTGACAAAAGAACAAAAAAGTAATAGTAGATTTTTTTCGAGCTGATTGGACTTTGATTGGAAGGATAGTAGTGCATCTACTTTTGTGTCATCTTCACCAACCATTTTTTGTTTTGATGCTTTGAAATGGAAATGGAAAAGGGGATGGTGCATTTGCATATATTTCTCCCCTTCTTGCTACTCTCTTTACCTTGTTCTTTCAACTCTCCAGTCGCTTGTTTTTGATTCTTCCCCACTAGCGTTCCGAAACACACAGCCACTTTGCTTGAGTAGTGTCGATGGGAAAAAGAAGCAGGGTATACAAGTTGAGAAGGAGACTAGGAAGAGTTCATGTACGAGTACGTCGTGTACAAGATACACAAATGTGCATATTTGATCAAGATTACACATTCTATCCCACAATTTTACTAGAGTCTATCATCATTCGAAATATCTACTCATCTCCTACAAAAAAACCGCACGTCTATATATCCGCCTCAAACGGCCTAACAACCTGTCCCTTTTCCTGCAAATAATCCTTAACCTGCTTAACCGTGTACTCGCCTCTGTGGAACTGCAAACAGATTAGCAAATACATCCACTACACACTTCGGTCTTGGTGACTTACCATTCCAGCACCCAGTGCAGCATCCGTCCTCGTCTTCGCAAACACCTCCTCAAAATGTCCCGGGTTACCCGCTCCACTACTCGCAATGACAGGAATCTTGATAGCGCTCTTGACATCATTGATGAGTTCAGTGTCGAACCCGCTATTGCTCCCATCTTTGTCTATGCAGTTGAGCAGAATCTCTCCTGCGCCCATAGCCTCCACGGCTTGAACGAGCTGCCGGACATCAAAGTCTCGGCCTTCACGTCCGCCCTTGATGGTGCACTGGTACCAGCAGTATTCCTCGCCGTTGGGGCCAGGGGTAGCCGTCTTAATGGTGTGGTGGGGAGTTGCGTCGGGCGAGGAGATGTATACGCGTTTGGGGTCTACGCTGATGACGACGGCTTGGTTGCCGTAGGCTGAAGAAATGGTTTCGATGGCGGTGGTGCCTGAGAGCTTACTGCCTCGCGCATAGTACTCCTCGGCTGCGGTTACGGCATCAGAGCCTATGCTGACCTTGTCGGCGCCAGACTTGAAGTACATGGTGGCAATGTCCAGAGCGGAAATCTTGGTGCCATCGGTGTCAACGGTGTCGCGGATGCCTCCACCTATTGTGAGAGGGACGAAGACTGTCTCGCTTGTGCGACGCAGGATCTCGAGCATTGGTGTATCGGCGACAGGGCAGTTGCGGAAGGAAGTGATGTTCAGGAAGGTAACTTCATCGGCGCCTTGCTCATAGTACTTCTTAGCCATTTCGACGGGCTTGCCTAGATTTCGCACTTCGTTGCCAGCTCCAGACTTTTCGCGGACATCATACTGATCGCCTTTTGTCACGACGAGATCACCCTGGTCGTTGGTTCGTACGTCGAGGCATGCAATGACTCGTCTGGTGAGGCCTTCTTTTGTGTCAACTGCCGATGGCTTCTCGGGCAGCTTCTGTGTCTTCTTTCCTTCCAAGAAAGCCTTGAGGACACGAAGACCTGCAGCACCACTCTTTTCGGGGTGGAACTGCGTGACGAAGATGTTGTCCTTCGCCACTGCGCCGACAAACTCCTCATCACCGTACCGCGCGGTTGCGACTGTCCATCCCTCCTTTTCCAACTTGCCCTCCTCGTAAGGCACAGCGTAAGAGTGAACATAGTAGTATTTGGACGTCGGTCGGAGCCCATATAATGACTCATCTGTAACCTTGCCAGGCCTTGATGTGTTTGCGCTGTTCCATCCGATGTGAGGTACACTCTTGTCTGTGTCTTGAAATCTACGCAGGCGCGCTGGTATCACACCCAATCCCTTAACTTGTGCATCTTCTTCGGATCCTTCAAATAGCGCCTGTAGGCCGACACATATTCCCATAAAAGGCTTCCCAGCCTTGATGTGTTCGCGGATCGGCTCAGTGTAGCCAGCCTTTTCCAACTGAGAGAGACAGTGGCCAAAGTGTCCAACACCAGGAATTATGAGTTTCTATAGGCGATGCTGTATCAGCACTTGTCAATTGGTGTATACCTTTTGGTCATGGAGCAGTAGTACCTCTGCCGCGGGAACTTGAGCAGGTGACTTGACCCATTCTACCGTGTAGCCAACTTTTTCAATGGCATTGACGAGGGAGCGGACATTTCCAGCAACATAATCGAGCATATGAACGGTCGGCATCGCGAAATACTGTTTTCAATGTTTTTGAATGATAGTAAGGAACTGTCTGACTCGAAACGGCGCGGTGGAAGGAAATTTGGATGCACCCCGCCGTCATTGGAGGGAGGGGCAGCTACAGCCACGCTAACGGTTAGTGCCCGCAGAATCCCTGTCAAACAAATCTTTGGATCTCCGTCCTCCGCGCAACATTTTCCAAGAGACGCTGTCTTCACATCCACAACCCGTAAACTCCCTCAAGCACCCAGTCGCACATCGTCGCAATGGTGCGCAAACTCAAGCATCATGAGCAGAAGCTCTTGAAGAAGGTATGCGCCTGCTGGGCCGAGTTCCACCACGCGCCGGAGCACCTCGAATGCTAATTCCACGCTGTTAGGTCGACTTCAACACCTACAAGAGTGATAATGAGTAAGTATAATACGCTATTCATACGTTGTAAATGATATTGACTCAGTAAAAGTCACCGAGAAGCAGCGGTAATGCGACGGTATGCCATCCAAGGCCGAGATGACTACCGAAAGTACAACCAGCTCGCGGGTTCATTACGACAGCTCGCCCATAAAATTGCCGCCCTGGACCCTTCGGATCCCTTTCGACGGAAACACGAAGATCTTATGTTGGAAAAGTTATGGGACATGGGCATCCTTGGTACTGGCGGTGGAGGCAGGGGAAAGCTGAGCGACATCGAGCACAAAGTCACCGTCTCTGCTTTTGCACGGAGGAGACTGCCTGTCGTCATGACGCGCCTGCGCATGGCTGACCACATTCAAGCAGCTACCACACTCATTGAGCAAGGTCATGTCCGTGTAGGAACAGATGTCATCACAGATCCCGCCTACCTCGTCACCAGGAACATGGAGGACTTTGTGACCTGGGTCGACTCTTCCAAGATTAAGCGAAACATTATGAAATACCGCGATAAGCTGGACGACTTTGAGCTCGAGGCTTTGTAGGCGTCATAGTGGATTCCCAACGGGCGGCGTTTTGGTCATTTCGGCATTTCAAGGCGTTTTGTATTGGCGATATTCGACAATGAGAAGGAAAGAATCAAATATTTATCGACACGAATTCATTTATCGATTTCATGGCACCACTGGCAAAATCCTGTTTTAAACCCGGTATTCATACCATATTATCGAAGCACAATCTGCACATCAATCAAAAAGAGAGATCAACAATATAAAAGCATGGAAGTGGAAATCACTAGCCTGTAAATTCCTTGTGCAATATCTTTTTGCGTACGTCAAGAAACTTGTTTCAATCGTGTACATCTGCAAGACCTCGCATAACACTGAAAAAAGTAGGATACTAAGTATGGCGAATTCTTTCGTCTTTATGAGTATTCGTGCGAGTGCAATGGCACGTTACCGAAGAGTCAGAAGGTCGATGCACGTCACACTCCAGCTTGCCAACGTGTGTGCTTGAATCCTAAGTAGTTGAATCAAAGCAGTATGCAACGCAATTATGTCAACACGTATCTCTGCTTTGGCGCTTCTCTCAGCTCCATTATCATCACTCTGTAGATGTGCGTTGTACCTACTTTTGTTGGCTATGATACATGCGTTCCGCTCAGAATCCCAGTTGATAGGACCTTGTCTCTTCTATAAGAAAACTCAAATTCAACACTATGAGACTTAGAGTCTACCTGAGTTTACGCGACTTGGTTTTGGCCTTGTTGCCTGTGAATGATGAGGTTTGGTTGCCAAGTTTCTTTGTTTCCGGAGAGGTGTAATGCCAGATATGTACGGAAAACAATAGTTGTCACCTTCATACACTGCGCGTTGGGGATGGTTCACGGCCATTATTAATGGAAACAAATGTCTGGAAAGGTCATGCGACATGGTATCTTCGGATTCTTTGCGTATATACAGCTCTAATTTATTCAGAAATGGATACATGTGACTAGCATTCTCCTTTCGTATAGAAGTCCTGATGTCTGTGCGTCCTTCGAGTTCGTGAAATCAGGGTGGGTGTAGTTTACAGTGTCCTTGTACAGTATTTAGTTGTAGGGATGTGGGTCTACTTACGAACGCGCGGGGCATACTTAATTTAGACCGGCAGGTGTACTGCGACCGAAGACCGGCCGAAGCGCTCTTTAGATCATCTGGAATGCTGTTTCTAGGTCCGACAATGAATATCACATGGGAGCGTATCTGGTACTGATCTTATGTAAAATCAGTGCTAGTACTAGCAATCAATGGGTACGACTCAAAGGCAAAGTAATACTTCTACCCAAGTTCTTTTATATTGCCAAGCACCATAGAAGCCACTGCTGTCGCTGCACGATCAGATTTCTTTTACATATCAGGGAATTGTCAACGCTTATTTACGATGTACCACTCAAGCTTCAACATCACGTACAACTTCCCCTGCTCAAAATCATGACGCCTGTCACATGGTGTAAAGAGGTCATATGAACAAGGCAGACACCAATATCCACTATTATGGGCCGCCTGTGAGGGGGAAGGATGGGGGGATTCCCAGGATTGCTAAGTGTCAACCCGTGATTGGTTCGTGGTTATCCCCACCTGCCACGTACGGGGCAGTGTCGAGGCACTCAGAACAGCCTCGTCGAGTTATTGACGTTATCCAAAACCGGTCAATCAAGTGGCGAAGCACAAGCTCCTGCGCCTCTCAGGAAGCAGATGTATTACCACACATGTATACAATTCAATATATGTTTCTAACCTTTCAGGATGTCTACATGAACATCATCTATCTTCTACAACTAATACTCCCTGAAACCTATGTTCATATCTAAAAATCTAGCGACATTCTGTCTTTCATAAAAATTCTCTTCCTACACCTTCCTCATTCAGAATGCAGTACAGACCTCTTGACGACACGAAGAACGAAATCCGAGTCCTCAAGTTCCTCGATGTATCCAGCCCGGTCTCAACCGAGGATTCTATCCAATGCTATATTGAACATGTCCCGCTGGAATACTCTCCTCACTTTCAACCCCGTCAAGAAAACCTGCAATGTCAAACCGATCCGGTAGTGTGGGATGTGTTTACCGAGTGTGTAGATCTACGAGATTCGACGCTGGAGAAATCAACACTGAACGAGACTAAATACCTTAGTACAATCCCAAATCACAATCATACTAGCGACTTTCGTTACACTTGGGGTGATTTCGAGGCTTTGTCATATACGTGGGGTGAAGGAGGTAATAAAGGAAGTATTTGCGTAAATGGAATGGACAACGCTGTTCCAATCAATCTCGAAAACGCGCTACGAGCTCTGCGTGATCTGCCAGAGACACGTCTGGGTATGTATTATTGGGTGGATTTGTTATGCATCAATCAGGATGATAAGAAAGAAAAAAACAAGCAGGTCAAACGCATGAAAGACATCTACGGTCGAGCTAGGGCTGTGATTGTCTGGTTGGGCCAAGAAGAGCAAACAGACAGCCATGCAGTCGAGATCATGCGTTTTATTTGCAGGAATCCCTGTATGAAAGATCTAATACAGTTCCCGGAATACATGCCGTCTAGAGCACAGTCTGCACTTGTCGCCTTCACAAGAAAGACTTATTGGACCCGATCTTGGATCATCCAAGAGCTCGCCATGAATCACAACTCGACCTTGATATTATGTGGTAAATTCAAGCTCACAAGAAGGATGATACGTCTGGGTGCTCTCTGCTGCCGGGAGTTACTGGAAATCACAGAAATCTTGGATTACCTATCCGATGATGACTTGTGGCAAGAGACACAGTCTCTGGCTAATCGAATGTATGCTCTAGTAAAATTTGCCTTCAAACCAAATGTTGGAATAGAATTGAGCATTGTGTTGAGCCTGATACGCTGGTCAAAGGCCACCATTGACAAAGACAAAGTGTATAGTATACTAGGATTAATAGATCCTGGGATCTCTGCGGATCTTATCCCGGATTACTTCCTTTCAGAACAGCAAGTCTTTACAGATTTTACAAAATCTGTTATCAAAAACTCTGGTAATTTGCACCATATCATTCTTGGAGGTATCCCGGACATTAAGGGGTGGCCTTCATGGGTACCTGATTGGAGACAGCCGTTTTTGCTTAAACACATTCGTTACCTTCGACCTTTCAAAGCAAGCGGGGATCTACCCGCCAAATTCCGATTCGAGAAAGGGGAGGAGATCGAAAACCTCCTTATTTGCAATGAATTTTATGTGGATGTAGTGGATAAAGTCGCGACAGAGACTTCACAAATTGGGCACTTTACCCGATCAAGTACCGACTCCAACAGGTACGGTGACCTAACACGTCAATCAATACACCAAACCATGCTCTTGGACTGCCATGGTGTGACAGAAGAACCACTCTTCGAAATACCATGGATTCAAAATTGCGATGAGTATTCGGCTTCGAATAACCCCTTCGTTGACCAGGAGTGGATAAAACTCTTTCAATCGAGAAACTATAAGCAGTTTCATAAGTTCAGGGAGAACAACAAGCATTTCCACATAGGAGGCCGAAGTTTTCAAAGTCTTTTCCCACAGTCCGCTGGGAAGAACAGTGATGTTTCAAGAATCTCAGATGCTCTGCTTGCAGCTTTGGTTTCTTTGATGCAAAGAAGCCTCATCACAACGAAAACCGGATATCTGGGTCTGGCTCCAACAACTATTCACGCCGGAGATGTTGTTGCTATCTTGTTAGGATCGCAAATCCCGACAATTTTACGGCCAGTCAGCGACACTCGTTTTCAATTTGTAGGGGAATGTTATATTCACGGACTCATGGATGGGGAAATACTGCCTCATGCATTTGATGAAGACGTTTTCGAGAGAGAGTTTGTCTTATGTTAGTGGGGTTTAATATGTCACATTGTTAGCAGGGCGTAGGAGCATCATCGTAGGGGACCAGAGATACTTTCTCATATCTAAACCAAAATGCAGTCATTGATGACACATGATAGTTGCATTTGAAAGCTATACCTAACGTCCATACCTTAGCCTATACGGAAAAAAGATACATATTTAAAGCTCTCATAAGGTATCGGCGTATTGGCACTTCTAAAGATCTAAGCTACCGCAGGTTTCACTGACATCTTTTCTTGCAGCGCTTTCCGATCCAATTCCTGGACTGCGACGGTCTTGCTTGTGTACTTTCTCCTATCCACACTCGGAATAAAGAAAGCTGCTATAACGCCCAATAGTCCGAAAGCCAGCGCAACTAGACAAGAAAGATGCGCCCCCTCCAGGTAGGCTTGCTTGTTGCCCAATCTAGCTGCAGCTTGAATGTCAGGTGTAATACCTGGAATCGCCGCGTATGTAGCAGCGCTATTTGCTCTCGCAGCTGCGATGAGCCTAGTAATAATATCAGAAGGGAGGTCGAAAGGAGCTAGATTGGAGCGGACACGCTCAGGTAGTATGTCTCCATATTTGTTGTTGGTAACGTTTCCGAAAATGGCGGTCGCAACTGCACCAGCGAGGAGGCGCGAAGTACCCGCCAGGCCAGCTGCAGTGCCTATGTCTTCTTGATAAACGATCCCAAATCCAACCAGAACCATGCCATTCAGTAAGTTGACTGAAGTGCATGTTGAGATGATGACAGTGAGAACGATCGATTTGACGGGGTTATCCATCGTGGAGGTTGACATGGCTCCAACACAAGCGGTTTGCAAAGCGACGGCAAACATAATGACCCAACGTTGATGGCCGATGTACTTGCTGAAAGCCACAATGATGCCGCCAATGATAGTTCCTAATGGGAGGACTTCTGCGTATAAACCCTTTGAGATCTCGTCGGTTGCGTAAATGAGCTGCGAGAGACGGGGCCACAGCGTCGCGTTCGAATAGTACTGCATCCCACCGATGGCCATGACCAGCATGGGAACGGTAAAATGTCTCAAAGCTCTAAAGAGGCGAGGCGGGAATAGAGGCGCAGAAAGGGTATAGTAAGCCTCATAGAATCCCAGTCCGATCAGCGTAAGTAGGCCAATGATGATAGGAGCGAGGACAGTTGCGGACACCCACGGAGCCATTGAACCACCCCAACTCACCCCAACAATAAACAAAGTACATCCAGCAAGGAATAAGAGTAAGCCTAGCCAGTCAAACTCCCTGAGAAGCTGACCGGCCGACTTACCATGCTCACTCCTCTTCTGCTCCCAAGACGGCGGATTATAGAATAAGACCAGCAGACCAAGATTAACAACTTGGAAAGCAATCATAACATAGTAACAAATCCGCCAATTCCCCGTCTCTTTAATGATAACCCAACTCACCAACGGCATAACCTGTGCCACAATCGACGCAGCATCAAATAGCCCAATTGTAACATGCCGGTACGCACTCGGCACAATCTCCTGCACTGCTCCAAACGCCATCTCTAGAAACCCGGAGCCGCAGCCAAACAACGCACCCCCGGCAATCATCTGGTTGATGCTCTGGCCTGTTGCACTGACGATACTGCCGATGATGAGGATGATGGCGCCCGCGATGAAGAAGTAGCGGCGCCCGAAGATGTCGGAGAGGCGGCCGCCGACTGTGACGAACATGGCGCCTCCGAGGTTCCAGGATATTGTTATCCAGGTGTAGCGCGGGTCGGGGCCAAGGTCGGTGTTGATGTAGGTGAGAATGGCGGGAGGGATGAGGAGGGTGAAGAGGTAGGCGTTGTAGCACATTGCCATTGAGATGGCAGCCATGAGGGTGTTGACTGGGGGTTTGGAGATTGATTAGCTTTTTGGTGATGGAAGGTGAATTTGTCTTTGTGGGGATACGTACATGTGAAGCCTACATCTTCTCCAGTAGTTTGTAGATGCCGGACAATTTCTTCGTTTACGTCTTCCTCTTCAGAGCTTGCGTCATGGTCTGAGGTATCCGCGTTGCTAATGTTGTGTACATTCTCGATGTGTATCGAAGATGGTTTTTCGTTCTCCATTTGTCCAGCCATGATGAAGCCGAATTGGAAAATTCCCAGGAGACAATAGTCGAAGACCTTGGTCCAAGGAAATTTAGAAAAAGAAATCAACGTACTAGGAAAATTATAAGTGTAAAGGATCAACATCAGACTTCATATGATCTTCTCTCTGAACCCCATTCTAACAGCCCCCACGCTAGCCGCGACCCCAGGATTTGCTCATCATTTCTGTCCTACCCTAAACATGCCGCTACTGCATCCAGTTATTCAAAAGCTGGGTAACTTTCCGGGGATACTCCACCCACCCGCTGATGGACCCCGCTACCACCCATTTCAGCTAAGCACGACAGGTGTAGTGGCGTCGATCACGTCGTGTAATTGGTGCACGGACTGGGGAATCGGAAAAAGTTAGCCAAGTAGACCAGACTTTTGGAGATTCGCTATGGGTGTTATTGTCCTTTCGCAAGCGCAAAAGCTTAATGACTGTTTGTGTTGGTGTACTAATGGAATGGAGGCGAAAGTACGTTGATTGTGAGAATTCCGCGCAACTATGTCTAACTTGAGATGAGATAGTTTGGGCCAAGCGCATATAATTTAGGCAGTGATACATAGTCTTTCAAAATTGCCGTGTTGTTTTTTCAGGAGAAATTCGGACGCAGGGTTCATCTATTCAGACCCTATCCCACGTTTCAACCACGTGCAAATATCCGGACCCCCGCCTACCCCTCCCGCTGGCCTATCCGGCCTATCCGCTACAAACCAACTTGGCTTTGAACTTAGTCTTTCTTCTCATTTTCCATTGCAGCAATTTCGATATCTGTCTTTTGCCAGTAATGGGTGAGATCTCCTACCGGCAGATTGACAGTCCAGCGCATTTCAGCCATCATGATCACAATGAGCATATACCATCCTAATATCGCCACTACAAAGTTTAGGGCGCCTCCAGCCTGCGAACGATTAGGATAATGCAGAAACCAACGGACGAGATTCAAACTTACCTTCTGCAACTTCATTGCCTTGCCAAAGTTGGCTTTGCTGACCTCCCAGTATGCTGCACTCAGCAACCAGGTAGCTGTCGCCGCCAACCAAAAAATTCCTACGAAGACCAGGTTCATTCTAATCGTGAAGATACCGAAAGTGGCCATAGCAAAGCCCCAGACAATGCAAAACAGCGCAAGGCCAGCATTCAATTCTTTGCTCGCTGCGCCCTCTGCTGCGTTTCCGGTAGCTGAGAAAGAAGCAGCGATGCCAGCCGAAGGGAGTTGCAGCAGTCCAAATGATAGCCAGAAAACCGAGAACAATCCAGTGACCATCATTGGAAAGAACTGTGCTTGTATCCAGAGAAAGATACAAGATAGTGTAAGCAGAAGTGGGCCAGTGAAAAAGAAGATACCACTGGTAACTGTTAGCACGCAACTACAGTGTAGGAACTGGCTATTTGCTTACGCAATGGACTGCAGACCACTTGCGCCGCCCCAGCCCATGAGAATCATGGCGAATGAGAAGGTTGAAATTACGAAACTAGAAGTGAAGCTTAGTATACCCGATATCAAAGCGCGCGCATTGTCAAGTCATACCCTAAGAAACCGAGAGGAACAGCATTCGCGTACTGAGTGACGCGTTCATTGGCATGCGGTACCTTGGGCGCCAAGTACAACTTCTCGAACAGTTCCGGACTAATAGTGATATTGGTTTGAGCATGCGTAAGTCTGGGTTCTTTGTCGATATGATCAGACGCGACGCTAGTATGTGAGTGTGTCGGCTGCGCTGGGGAAGTCACAGTAGCCATTTTTGCTGAAGACAACTAAAAGCAAGTCAGACCGATGAAGACTCGAAGGAGGTACTGTTCATTTATGAGTACAGGACGGAATGTTAGAGTCTTCCCTATTGTGTTACTCTCCGTGAGCACATGGAACTGCGGGGTATATAAGTGTACTGGACTTGGTCGTTCATTCAACAGACTAGAATATAATTTGCAGTAGGCCCGCTGCGGAACCCAGGGCCGCAGGTTTCAGCCCGTTGTCTAGTCAAATGTCATCCGCTATTCGTCAGATATCACCATTGAGCCTCAGCGGTACCGCAGATGCACTCGATACAAGGTTTAGTGGGTCCGCAAAATGACCGGGACTAAGAGATGCTGACCCAACCGCTGACAGCTGTCAGAATTTACCCAGAAACATGGTGTGAGGTAGGGTCTCGTACTCGACCTCTCGCCCTCTCGAAAGAGATCTTGGTTGGTTGCTTGTGCGCCATGTACCTTGGCGGAGTCCGCTCCATCGTACCCGACGATCTCAACCAATACCTAACCCCGCAAGCCAAGTTCACATAAACAGACCAGGGTCCCGAGAAAGGAAAGGCTTGATTTGTGTATGTGTGCGCTGACAGGCACTAACAAAGTAACTGCTCCGAATATATACAAGGTTTGAGCTGCGACAAGGTGCACGAACTCAAACAGAAAGATCTGACGAGAGGAGATAAGAATGTATGGAAAGCAAAAGAGACGGTAGCGAGTGTAAGAAGCTTAGAAGCCGTAAGATAGAGAAGAAAAAAAAGGAAAACCTAGACCCCAAGGACACACCTTAGGACACGCTCCACACTCGCGCCACAGTCGCCAAAGTTCGCATATGGGACGCCTAGTCTAGCCGGAAAGTCGAACGGCCCTCAATAAGAGGCGGCCATCGCTTCTTAAGACCAGAATCATCTTGGGGCCACACGTCCGTAGTACCAGCCTTGTACGCAGCCCAGTTGTTGCAGTTGTTGTTCCACTCGGAACCGGCGGCCGGCAGATTGATTTCCTGCTTACGTTCAAGAAACTGAACACTGAGACCCATGCCTACGTGGAAAGCCTATGGAATATCAGCATGGTAATTCATATCGAAGGAGCAAGTATCCGACTTACAATGTGGCAATGCATCAGCCAAGCACCTGGGTTGTCGGTAGGGTAAGCGAGAACCAGCCAGCCGCCACCCCTGAGCTGGACGACATCCCGACGAGGTGGGTTTGTGAAGCGCAGCTGACTAAAGTGGGTAGCGGAACTGAATTGGCCATCGCCTGCGCCCAAGACGTAGCTATCATGTCCGTGGAGATGGATGGGGTGAGCAATGGGCGGGGCGCCTACTGCTTGTTGGATCACCCAGTAGGTCCATGTAGACGCAGAAGTGGATGGGACTTGAACAACATTGTACGACTGAGGGAAACTGTTGTTGTTCTCTGCAACATACTTGATGGTGGGCTTTCCAGGGTCGATGATCATCGAGGTACCGTTGATAGTCCACAGCACGGTGTTACCGTTCGCCGCGACAGGACCAAAAGCGACAGGCAGAGTCTTGGATTGGGCAGCGAAGGTACTGCTGGGTACATCCTTTGCAATCTTTGGGGATGTCGCTGGATCGACGCATGCCGTAAATGGGGAAGCAGGGGCGGTGGAAGTAGGGTCAGCCACAGTTTGGCCTTGGTATGTAAAGATAGCACGGCCTTCGCGAGCGGCGCGTGATTGACAGAGTCCGTTAGCGACAGCACGGAACCAGTAGTTTCCTGCTGTTTGGTTTGCGGTGAAGACGACGTCGTAGCGCTGACCGATTCCAATCTGAAGATGAGTAGTGTTGTATGGGTTGACGGGCACAAAGTCCGTTGCGATGACTTGGAATGGATGACCATCCAAATTGACTAGCATGTTCGTGTCCACTGCAGTGTTGACAAGTCGTAGTCGATAGCGCTTTCCAGCTTGGATAGTCACCTTGTTCCATGAGCCACCTCCAGCAGCATTCTTAGCCGTTCCGTTGATCAAGATGTTGTCTCCGACTGGCGGGCCCAATCCAGCTTGTCCGTTCTGGAAGGCGATGGAGGCAGCTTGGTATGCCGTCTTATAGTACCAATCGGTGATTGGCATCACACCAAGATCTTCGTCGTAGTTTGCCGTTGCTGGTCCATTGACAATGACGGTACCGACAACACCATCTCCATACTGATGCGAGAAGTGTGAGTGGTACCAAGTTGTTCCATACTCGGTGGCTTGGAACTCGTAGGTCTTGAAGTCACCAGGGGCCACAGCACACTCAGTGATACCGTTTACACCGTCTTGGATGTTTTTGTTAAGCATGCGGAAGCCGTGCCAATGGAAAGAAGTGCCGTTGGATTGCAAAAGGTTTCGTACAGTGACCCTGATGGTGTCTCCCCAGTTGGCAACGATTGTTGGTCCTGGGTATCTTCCGTTGATAAGCATGCAAACTCTCGAGCCAGCACCATCGGGATTGCAAGTCGTGTTCTCAACCCTCAAATTGTACGAGCGAACTACTCCAGTATTGGGCCAGGACGTGTACATGTCAGTCGAGGACGTGAAGCCTGGAGCCCAACAATGCCTCGTGTCTGGGGTGTTTCCAACATTGATACAGGAGGCTGGTGACTGACGCTCTTCGAGACCATCACGCTTGGGCGTAAAAGGAGCGAAAGCTGGGGACTCATTGGGGATAGCTGCTGCGTTGGCAAGGCAATGGGAAAGCCCGAGTAGGACAGTCCCAAGGAAGTGAATAGACTTCATTGTACAGAGGTACAATGAAAGTAAGCGAGTGTTCTTCTGTAAAGACTGGAAGGAGGAAGAAAAGGTCGTTTTCCAATGTATCTCTGGCAGTTCAAATTCTGCTCTGATGTATAGAAGCAGCGTGTTTCCGACTTCTTATATTCGCTCACAATCCTTAGGATTCTTCATCCTCTGCATCACGAGTTATCTTTCTCGTACGACTAGACAAGTCCGGCCTTGTCCGTGAAACGCCTTCAATATTCACGGACTCAGGAGATACGCACTTCTTTTCCATGTTGGTAGGTGAATACGAGAGGATTGTCAGCTGTATCCATAGTCGCTGGAAATTTGGTGTTGTGATAACAGTTGAAGGCGTCGAATAGTAAGCAGCCTTTTCAAGGACACATACTAGTGGAAAACTCAGTCCGCAAATGACTACCTACTCCTTCGCTAAGATAGTTAACATTGACACCGGCTGTTTGATTGTTGTTTTCTCGTCAAGTCAAGCTTAGCACTAAGATGGCTGTTTATTCAAAGCCACAGCAGGATTTACGGATTCCGAAACCGACAGTCCGAGTCCGGCAGTCCGAATCTGGTAGTTTTGAATAGTCTGAGGCGGTTGGTCAGTATAGCTAATAGAAGCGAGATGGCTGATGAGATGTCAGCCATGACTGTAACATTTGCCTGTTCTCATGATGTACTGATTTGCAATCAATCACTCCAAATTATGGGAACCGAGTATGTAGGCCACTTGCGCCTCATCGAGAGGAAGTCCGAAGGCCGGACGTTTAGACTAGACGTATTAGGAAATGCACGTAAGAGCCCGAGAAAACATTTGCATATGACAAGTCGAACGGACGAAAAATATTGAAAAACAAAGCATCTGTCTGGAACGCCAGTTTTTGGTCTCTAAATGCTTTTTTTACTATGTTTGATTCTCGAAGTTAGGGTAGCCCATGTGCTTCTGTCCAACTTAGCAGCAGTTCACGCTGGATATTATGCAAGGCACATTAAAGGAAGCTTTCATTCAGAAATCCTTAGCCATTCAAGTCTAGTGGGATCCAAGCCTCAATCTTATTCTGTATAGGCTATCCCCGACACAAAATTCACATGCACTTCCAAATTACTAGAACAGGTAATCACTGGAAATGATATTTAGTGCTTACCTACATATCTCCAGGATACATGCATGACGCTAGTTCTAGAATGTATTCTTTGTTGGGGCATTATCTGAGAACTTCACTGAAAAAGTTTCGGAAGGTTCCCCGATACCAAAGCTGTCTTCGTTCTGAATATGTCAAGTTCGTAGTAAGTGTTATTTGGAAATAGGTTGGTGTCACATACTAGAATCTTGGATTGTGTGCCTCGGCAATCTCAACAGTACGTCAACTCCACTTTTACTCCGTGTAATCGTCTCCAAAAGAAAAACAATGAGCTGAGATGCATGATCCTTCTGCACTCAGCCATACCTTCAGGAACCCAGCGTTAGCATCGGGGTCTGTAGCGCCATGGCGGCAGAGCTGCGCCTTAAGCGAGCTAGCGAAGTCCGAGAAGTAAGCGAACGGACAATCGACACCGCGTATGTCATGCCGCCCAATTCTGATTGGAAGAAACCCATTAGTACTGAACATGTGGAAATGAGAGCGACACGAGTAGGATTATCAGACTTACCGCGCCACCACTACAGATGGGTTAGAGGCTTAATGGCCTGACAGATGTGCACTCCATTCAATGACATGATCCAAAGCTATGAAACTAATCTTTTTGAATACGAATCGAACAACATGTGGCATATGTATTGATACTTTGCGCACTGAGATTTAGTTGTGATCTAACGTCACTGCTGTATCGTGTTGGGATACAAGCAGCCTGCCTTGGGTGTTGATGTGGGGTGTAGTTTGACCAAACCCAACTCATCGTTGATCAAGAAAAACAGCTTCATCCATCCCTATCTGCCATTGTTTGGTTCAAATCCTGGTCCCGGTAATTCAAAGCCCTCCTCTGAGAATCCTGGGGCCACGGTCGTCCCAACAAGCGTCCAAGTGCCCAAACTGGTAGCTCTTTGCCAGCGCCCTTTCTCGATGATAACTTGTGGACTCTGATTCCCGAAAATATTGTTTCCTAGGAATTTATGTTCAGTCGCTGTCCCGTTATTCCACGACAGATCCAGTTGCAACGGTGCGCCTGCGTAATAATGCCAGATCTCGACCGCGTCAACAACGCGATGCCAGTATGAAGGACCAACTTCACCCTCCAATAGGTAATAAATAGCCGTAGAGTAGGACCGATTGTTAAGGTTACCGGCATCTTCGAATGTTTGTCGATAATAACCTTTTTCTGGATTTGGTTCGAGATGAAGCCTGTCGATTACGTCTTGTGCGCTTGGGCCATCTCCGTGCGAAGCAGATACTCTAAGTAGCGATATCGCAAACCAAATACTAGAAGATTTTTTCATGCTCATAAACTATGTCTTTGTTGTATTGTGGGGTTCGGAAATGTCGTGCGGAGATAGATGTCGACCGCAGCACGCCATGTCACCTCGAAATCGGCACTTGCCCAAACCGATCACGTCATTCGCCCACATACTGCCGACTGCAATCTTGCGTTCGAAGAAGCATCAATCCCCAACTGCGCCCAAAGATGAACATTAGTAAAAAAACACGCTTTTATCGTGTTTGTAATACTTCCGGGTGTATTTTGTGGTTATCTGACATTAACACCAATGTTTCATTATCGCCCATATCTCGTTGCAGAGGCGGTTCATGCCCTCGGGATCGTCACTACAATCAATAGTTACATGCCGTGGAGTTTTAAAGTGGGGCTGTGTTACGGACCGAAAGCTGGATGTTACACACGTCTTATCGTAGCCTTCGAACAGGCTGTTTGCTTAAATCCCATCTTCGCGAAGAGAACAATTGTACATTCTAACACTCTCTACCCTCGCTCTGGGGTGGAACTTTTACCAAGTCCGATTTCTAGCCGCCATGTTTGTTTCCTTAAAATGGATATATGCGCTAGCTATCCTATCGTTGCTGTCATTTGTCGAGTCAGCAAATCAACCCACAAAAGAATTTATTGTGGACACTGATCTCTTCGACGCCATTGAGTACAGTCACGTGCCAAATACAGTTGAAACCATAACTTACACTACATTAGCGACACTGCAGCGCTCCTTCTCGCCTCCACTCTACCAAACACCAAGCTCCTCGCTGTAAATGTCAACGTCAACTCTGCATACTCGGCGCTCGCTGCATCTGCGATTGTTAACTACTACGGGTATTCATCTATTCCCATTGGATTACAAAGGCCTTATACCAATGTGACCTCTTCTGAACCCTTTGGGAAAGAGTATGCGAGCAGGGTGGCTATCAGATGGTCCGGAGGCTCTGTTCCCTGGTTCGAAGTCAACAAAACATTGGACCCCGTGGAATTGTATCGCAAAACACTTGGCGAGGCAAAGAACGGCAGTATAACTATCGTCTCCCTTGGATTTATGGGATCCCTCTCAGGTCTCTTGAACTCCACGGCAGATAAATACTCTCCCTTGGATGGATACGGCCTGGTGAAGGCCAAGGTAAAGGAATTGGTGGTGATGGGTGGTGGATACCTAGCGGAGGGGTCCCTTGATCAAGAATACAATTTTGCCATTCAAGAAGCACCACATGTTGTTAACACATGGCCGAACCTTGTACCCATGACTTTCATCGGAGCCGAACTCGGTGTACAAGTTTTGACAGGGGCAAGACTCACTACATGTGGCCCCTCTGGCGACCCAGTAAGAACGAGTTTTGAGTGGTGGGGTGGCGCCAATGTTTCACAGTATTCTTGGGATCATCTGGCAATGGCATACGCTGGTCGTGGTCTGGGCAACTGGTTCGAATATGCAAACGCAAATGGCTACAACTATGTATACCCTAACGGCACCAACATCTGGGTTGAAGACGAACGCATAACCAACCAGCACTATCTGAAGCTGAAGACCTCAAATGAGACCGTAGCGAAGGGACTGGAGGATCTGTTACTGAGGGGCGCATGGGCAAATGCCCAAGTGGACTGAAGCCTCGCACTAAAAACAAAAGTGTTTTCTTGGTCTCAACAGATTTCTAGGCTTTTTGGACCCTTTAATGGCTAGATCGATGTTCTCCACTATTTTGCGGCTAAGATTCAGAGTACCAAATGTAAAAACATACACCTACATACATAGACGATTGGCAAGAAACTTCCCAGGCTACTGGTACTGTATAACAATGGAACGGATTTCCAATACCAAACTTTCCCGCTACGCAGCTGACAAAAATTAGCTAAGATTTCGCGCATTTCTTTCTCCGTCTGTGTGATGGTCAGATGATTCACTAGGATTCTTCTACAGTTCCCGATAACCTCTAGAGTTCACTACGAGCAGGACCCACGCTTCTCAGGACCGAATCTTACAGCAGCTCCAGGTGCGTTGAGTTTGAGAGCGGATCTTACTGCCGAGTGGATAAGGCGGATTGCCTTTTTTAGTAATGATACTCTTCGCCAAGTACTTTGTGCGCCTCCCGCCTAACGCCAAGTACACACCGCGTTGTGTCGTCAGCGGCTATCACAACCAGTGTTCCTCGAGTCGCTTGCCGCCATATCTGCTATTGGTTGGAACCAACCAAAAGCCATCGGCCAGCCTCCCGGCAGACTTCATGTGCCTTCTTGGGAGGAATGGTGCGCTCCGCTGCCAAGTACAGAACTCGCTTCCGCCGAGAAGCTCCCAAGCACGATGTATCCACTATGACATAGTCCCAGAAACGGCCGCTCTATGAAAACACAACTACACGTCTTGGTACGGCCACCCCGTTGCCTGGTTGCCATGTATGGTTACATGTGCCAACATGTTGGATGGTGTGGAGAGACTATGGGGACAAATCTCTGGGGCAGACACTGACCCGCTCTTTCATGGAGAGAAAAGCGGGTTTCCTCTGTGCCCCCCAGAATGACTATATAACTCGAGCGGTCGCGGTTCGCTCGTGCCTGCTGCGTGTCTTCTTGTCTTATCCACTTTGTGATCGGTGGGTTTCCCTTAAACTGGGGACCATTCACTTAGACGCGATCTTCGTATCTAGCCATCACCATGTCTCGCCGTAGACCCGATATCGAGGCTACTGAGCCCACTGTCTCGTCTTCGGGTAGCAGCAAGTCCGACTTCAACACAGCACAGCACAATGAACATACCGGCTCTCAACACCGACAAGCATCTGTCGCGGCCAAACTTCGCAACCCTTTAGCGGGTCTCAGTGAGGAACAGGTCCTGGCTGATGTCGAAGCCTGGTGCACAAAGAAGGGACTTCAAGACGACCTCGATTCATTCCGCAAGGGTGCATTGATCGCCCGAGTGGGCCAGCGAGAGGACGGCTTCGAATACGTGAATGCCCTATCAGCAGAAGAAAAGGACGTACTAAGACGTGAGGCTTCTCATCGATGGTCGCAGCCATTCATGTTGTACTTCCTGGTCATTCTTTGTGCTGGTTCTGCTATCGTGCAAGGAATGGATCAAACAGCCGTGAATGGCGCTCAGGTCCGTCAATTCACTAGCTCTTTTCTTGAAACCTTCCCCGGCTAATCATGTTGCAGGAGTTCTATTTCAGAGAATTTAACATCACTGAAGACCAAGTATGGCTTCGCGGTCTACTCAACGGTGCTCCATACCTCTGCTCTGCGGTTATTGGCTGCTGGTCTAATGCGCCACTGAACAAATTCTTTGGTCGTCGCGGCACCATTTTCATCTCATGCATCATATCTTTCATTACTGGTATCTGGATGGCGGTTTGCGAGAGCTGTAAGTTGTCTATGTACAAATTTGTTTGATTCATGCACTAACCGTCGCCAATAGGGCCAAACCTTCTCGCCGCTCGATTCATGCTGGGCTTCGCTGTCGGCGCAAAGTCTTCAACCACCCCCGTCTACGCCGCAGAGTCTGCACCAAAAACTATCCGTGGAGCCCTCACGATGATGTGGCAGGTGCGTTGAAATGGAAAATGAGTGAAATGATGACTAGCTAACATCCAACAAGATGTGGACTGCTTTTGGAATCATGCTCGGTTTTGTCGTCTCCGTTGCATTCCAGAACGTAACTATTATCGGAGGACCGAATTCGCCATGGAGGTGGATGTTGGCCAGCACCAGTATACCTCCCCTGATTGTCTGCGTTCAAGTCTATTTCTGTCCAGAATCGCCGCGCTGGTACGTATTATCTGCTTGAAAATGAACCTGCAACAATCATTGACAGCGTCAAGGTACATGGAAAAAGGAAAATTCGACAGAGCCTTCCAGTCTCTCTGCCGCCTCCGCTGGAACAAGATACAAGCAGCACGTGACATGTACTACGCCTACAAGCTCCTCGAGATCGAAAATGCCCATCGTGAGGGCAGAAACCCAGTTCGAGAGTTTTTCTTGGTTCGTCGTAACAGACGTGCCGCTCAAAGCGCTTTCTTTGTCATGTTCATGCAACAATTCTGCGGAGTGAATGTATGTCACTCCCCCAATTCTCCAGCCGATCATACTTCTAACATATTTTTTCTCAGGTCATTGCTTACTACAGCACTTCTATCTTCCGGTCCGCCGGCTTCAGTCAATCCGAAGCACTACTGACGTCTATGGGCACGGGTATAACAAACTGGCTCTTCGCCATCCCTGCCATCTACACCATCGACACATTCGGGCGCCGCAATCTCCTCCTAACTACTTTCCCATTGATGGGAATCTGTCTGCTCTGGTGCGGTCTGTCATTTTACCTGCCTAATAACCCAGATGGCACACCAACACAGGGCCGTCTCGCGTCCATCGCAGCTGCCATTTATACTTGTAAGTCTAGCCCTTCTTTATCACACTCTCTACCGAGCAGCAATACTAATCTCTCCCCCCAGTCATGGCCGTCTACTCCCCCGGCGAAGGTCCTGTCCCCTTCACGTACTCCGCCGAAGCCTTCCCGCTGCACCTCCGCGACGTCGGCATGTCCTTTGCTACTGCCACCTGCTGGGGCTTCAACTTCATCCTCTCGCTAACCTGGCCCGCACTGGAATCCGCCTTCACGCCCACCGGCGCCTTTTGCTGGTACGCCGGCTGGAACTTTTTCGGCTTCTTCTACGCGTACTTCCTGTTGCCTGAGACCAAGGCGCTTACGCTTGAGGAACTCGATACGGTGTTTGATGTGGGAAATCGACAGTTTTCAGCGTATTATAGGAGGAAATTGCCGTGGTATTTGAAGAAGCATGTGTTGAGACGGAATGTGGAGCCCATGGAGCCGTTGTTTGATTTGCACGAGCAGAGTTCCACACATAATCTTGCGGATGAGCGGGTTGGTGGTGTGGAGAATACTGAATTTAGGGAGAAGGGTGAGGAGAATAAGATGTGACAATCTGGTTGGTGTAATGAATGTAGGTGATGGTGGTTGGGCTGGCTGGTGCTGCCAGTGGCAAAAGGGGGTTTTTCTTCTATGGTGCAGATACTCGTAGGTAGGTTTTTAATATGCAATATACCCATTCTTGTATCTATAAAATTTGCCATGCCTGTGAAAATCTATGATCTCCAAACTAAGTTTCAGTGAGTTGGCGACGTGATCTTATTTAAGAACTTTTTTTTCGTGCTATTCGAACAAAATATCCACAAAAATTCAAAACTCAGATCTTTTCCTATGCTTGATATTGGAAAACCAAAGATCAAACTATTTCCACTATTCTTCATTATAGATCAGGTCAAAGTTAGTTATTTAATTTCTGTCTCTGAAATTTCCTAAAAGCTTGCTGTCAAATAAGCTTCATGGAATCACCCACCTAAGCCACCATACTTACTTTCAAAATAATTTCTTCACTTCTCTGCGTACAGTCAGAAATGGTACAAGTTGGGTCAGACCTACATTGAATTCTAATCTAATCTAACTATTTTTACAAATTTTCACAATCTGCTATTAAACATACATTCCTTTCGCAAAATGAAAGATCGTTCTAATCTATACGAATTCGCATCTCCAATTTCCCCTTTAGTTATCTCAACACTTATACGTGATTAGACACACACAAACATCATAGCAGCATATAATCAACGAGAATAAAAAAGGCATATTAGAAACTGGAAGTTTCCCCATCCAAGCAGGGCAAAAAGGGTAAGTAAATTGTTCGACTAATTTTCTCAAAACATGGATCCCCTAAAAAATGAATAGATAAAACATATGCCTCACATCGGATTTAAATAGCGAAAATAGAGTCTCCGCAGTTCCACCAGTTCGACCTTTTATTTTCTAACTTGTTTCTTGCTACACACCCCACATATTCAATACTTAAAAACAGGGTGATACGATATAAAAGCTAGAGTGAGTATTCAAAGACGAGGGATGACAATGATGATGATGATGATGATGATGGCAACATTAATCTATTCATTTAAAGCAGTTTCCATAGGCTGGAATTCAGTCCTTTCTCATATAATCGATAATAGCAAACGATTTCTTCCTAGTCTCCACTCAAGTACTCTGACACTACTTTGTCCTTGACTTTTCACGCCCTTCACGCGAGCGATCCCGGTGTTTGTGCCAATCCCGACCTCGATCCCTATCTCTACCTCTGCTACGGCTCCGCCGCCTCTCGCTGCGATGCGAAGATTTATGGTGGTGTCGGTCCCGGCTACGGCTCCGGCTTCTATGATAGTGCTTGTGTCGTGAGGAGGGAGCAGAGTCGCGACCATGGGCCTTGTCATCATGGTCGTTTCTTCTCTTCCTCTTGTGATGCCTGCTCTTACTTTCTTCCCGCTCTTGCGTCATGCGTAGGTCTCGCAACTCTCGATCGCGCTCCTCGACCCATAGTTTCTTGTCACGTTTCGCCTTTTTCAGCTGGGCCTGGGCTTGTTGCATGAAAGCAAAAGGGTCATTGGATGATATGCGCGCCTGTTCCCTCTCCTTACGCCGCGGATCTTCGTTGCCCCAGACATCCTTGTTCACAAAGCCTTCGTATGCTGCTACATCGCGTGTGCTGTCTGGGTCCTTTCCGTCATCTCGCGAGAGCTTCTGTTGAGCCACGTACCAGGGCTGCTCTATTCCGCCTCTTCCAGCAGCATTCGAGAAGCGCATGGTGTATTGGTCCTCCAAAGCCTTTTCTTTTTTGCGCTTCTCCTTCTCGACCTCGGCGTTCTTCTCGCGTTTCAAAGCCTCCTTCATGTCGACGGGAAACAAGTCGATATGGCCGGCATGGTCGTGCAGAGGAGCATCGCTGGCTGTGCTTCGTAGTTTTAAAACCTTAACATCGTGCTTGTCATTATCGTCCGGAGCTGTGACGGACTTGGCCAGGCGGATGTCCATGTCGGTGTCATCCTCACCAGCAAGCTTCCTTCTCTTTGGGCCATATCCGCGCTCGTCTCTGTTTTTCGAAGCCCGCGCATCAGAGTGCTTGGGCGAGGCTTCCTCGGGCAGCGGTGGAGGCGTTTGACCGCGTAGAATGGCAGCGCGTCGTTGGGCGTCGAGCTCTTGCATGCACTGCTCATGGGCAGCTTCGCGGGCGGCGGCGGCGGCCTCGTCGGCCTTGACGCGCGCTACATTGTCGGCGTTGTAGACGTTCCATGACTGAGAGACGTGTCAGGCGTATTTTGCTGCGAATTAAGAGTTGTATCGAATACCTTCTTGCCGAGTAGGTGCCTATCTGCTCGTTAGGACCTCCAGTGTAGTGTGGCGCAAGGGGGAGGACATACAGAGGCATGATGCCACGTCCGGTTCGTATGGAATGGATATGGTTCAGTCTGGTGTTTCCATCACGTCATGCACAGAGCATGTACTGTGGTCTGTGATCATCCACACCTAGTCTGTATACTTAGCATCGGGAGCGACGTTGCATTAGCGTGAGCGGGGGTGAGCGGTAGCTTGCAATGGATCGTCGCAAGCTCTCCTGATCCCAGTGCTAGTCCCGACTTCCCCCCGCAACCCTCTCGGCACAGCAACCGTGAATGTACAAACTGACACACCATGTAAACCCAATCGGGGCTCATTGCCCTTATCGTGGTTTGATTTAGTGCCAGGTCACTATGCCGTCTCGTCTCGCATTCGCTGCCCTTTTCCTTTTCTTAGCGCGAGTATCCGTACAGTTAAGTCGCCCACGGTCGGCAGGCCTTGCCTAGACCACGCCAAAACCCTCTCCTCGGAATTGACCCTGGCTTGCAAACAATCATGTACGACCTGTTCGCCAGAGTCTGTTGAGCGCTTTGTCTACTATGTCTGTCCATGCTTACTTGCATCCACTCTCCAAAATCTGCCACTTCTTTCAAATCCATTTTTCAACACACTCTCTCCCGTCCACGGCGCTTTTCTCTTCCAAGTTGCGACTCGGCTGCGTGTAGTGTCCCGTCATGCCCACCTGGCTTGTACATGGGTTCCGGTGGCCGCGTGCACAGATTCGCATACACATTATTCTTCAGAACCTCGACGATGCCGCCCCGGAGTGGCTCATGGCCCCTGCGACAGTTGCTTGTATGACCAAGAACTTTAAGGACCAATGGCCAGAGACAATGGCCCAGCTACCAGACCTGCAATTCATTGAGCAATACGATCCTGACGACTTTACTATCAAAGATCAGCCCCACGCATACGTCTGTGACATTGTGCACGAAGTTAAGCTTGGGGTAGACATAGAAGAAGTCCAGGGTTCTGAAATAACCGACGACCAACGCGCCGCCATCACTGAGTTGCGGGATAAGGTCGCGCCAGGAGAAAAGCTGGCCTGGTTCGTCGTAGTCAATGGTGATGTCGAAAGGTGGGCTCCGCCGCTTGAGGACGATGACGCAACACCAGAGGCTAGCCAGCTCAGCCCATACAGTCAGGCGAGTAGTGTATTGCAGTCAGATATATCCCCTGCCCCAGAGCCCGAACGACCGTCCACAAGTCGGAGTCTGAAGAAGTGGTTCGGAGGAAAGCTGAGGAAAACGAAAAGGCAAGATCAATGCACTTCTTGTCTACTTGCATACTGATGCGTCACAGTGGGCGGTCCTTGAGGGGCGATGCAGTAGCTGCGGCTGAGGAGCCAGCTCCACCACTACCACCCATCTCTCCACGCCATGCCCTCCACGCTGCGAACGGGAAAGCGCCGGAACCGAAAACCGCTGCGCCTTGAGCGAGGATGGTCATGAAAAGAAAAACCACGCTATTTGAATACATGTGAAGTATTACTGAGCGCAGGTTCGGTTAGACCATCATGGGGATGCATGTTGCGATGTTGTAGAAATCATGTCAAGGAATTCGGTATATGAAGCATGAGCGCTACGATCATGCACTACTTCTGAAATCAAAGATGTCCTCTTCTAGCCCATACAGCCTACTTCGGAAGTTAGATATTGTAATATATCTTGGGTTCTGATTTCAATGGTATCAATACAATGATCATGAATCCGACTCTCAATTGATCGCATGTGAAGAAACAGCCTGTCGCAAACATACCTTTTGGGCTAGCGTGGCTGGAGCTGTGCTGCACGCACGTGATGCGCGTCAACCTAGTCTCAAATTATTATCGACGTCGCGTCGGCTCAACGCCGCCTCCAACACCAAACTTAGCAATCACACACAACTCTGTCTTAAGACAGTAGGACTGGCACTGGTAATCTCAGCGACCACTTTTCCACATCTTCCAGGTGTTCCACGTCCAGATTGCCGTTGTCTTTGGCGCATCCTGCGCATCTATCTAGCCCAGGGCCCAATAACCATTTCTATCTGAGAACCGCACAAGTACCTCCAACATGAGTCGACGCGACTTCTTGTCGATGCCGGCGCCCGAGAATTATGTGGCTGGATTGGGTAGAGGAGCTACGGGTTTCACAACCCGAAGCGATCTCGGTCCAGCTCGTGAGGGTCCGTCCGAGGAGCAGATGAAGGAGATGCTAGCAAAGCGCGCCGCATCGCTAGGCCAAGCCGCCCCATCTGCGTACGGTGTTACCGAAAAGAAGGAGGAAGAGAGGGATGAAGATGAAGACCGGTTCCAGGACCCTGATAATGAAGTCGGCCTCTTCTCGAGTGGTATGAACTACGACAAAGAAGATGACGAGGCAGATCGCATATATCAAGAAGTCGATGAGAAGATGGACAAACGTCGCAGAGCCAGACGGTTAGTAACCCCTGTTTCTTTCCCACTGCCCCTCCCCTCTATCTTTATTGTCGAAGTATTCATCGTGTTTTTTCCACGAACAGATACCGATTGTGTCCGCCGTAGGGAAGCCCGAGAACAGAAAGAACGCGAAGAATATGAACGAAACAACCCCAAGATCCAACTCCAATTCGCCGATCTAAAACGTGCCCTTGGTGGCGTATCCGAAGAAGAATGGGCAGCCTTGCCTGAGGTCGGAGATATGACGGGTAAAGCCAAGCGTGCGCGTGAAGCCCGCATGGCCAATTCCAGATCCTATGCAGTCCCAGACAGCGTGCTGGCTGCCGCATCCAAGAGTGGCGAACTCGATACATCGATATCCACGGGAGACGCCGATGGCATGACGACCAATCTCGCAAGTATTGGTGCAGCCCAACTTTCCGCCCTAACAGTACGACTCGATTCAGCAGCTAGCACACCCGGTGCCCAGACCTCGACAACTTCTGGTACGGCAACATCAGTAGACCCCAAGGGATACATGACTGCCCTAAGCAAGAAGGAGTCCATGGGTGAAGAAGTACCGGTAGAGGATATTAATCGGGCTCGTGTGCTTTTAGAGTCTGCTGTCAAGACAAACATACACAATGGACCTGGATATGTTGCGCTAGCAAGATTGGAAGAGGTGGCGGGAAAGATTCACACTGCAAAGAAGGTTATTGCGCGAGGTTGTGAGCTTTGCCCTCGATCTGTCGTAGTCTGGGAGGAAGCGATTCGGTTGAACCGTGACAATCTACACAACGCAAAGGTCATTGCGGCAAATGGTATCAAGCAAAACACGAAGGCTGTTAAGCTGTGGCAAGCAGCGATCGACTTAGAGCAGACACCTGCGGCGCGAAAGAAGGTTACTCGACAGGCTTTGGATCACAACCCTCAGAGTGTAGAATTGTGGAAAACGCTGATCAACGATACTGAGGAGCTGGATGCTGTACGACTTTTGTTCGCCAAAGCAACCGAGACTGTTCCGCTATCTGAGGAATTGTGGATCTCGTATGCGCGTGTGTCAGAACCCGAGGCCGCACAACAGATTCTCAACAAAGCCCGCAAAGCCATTCCCACCAGTTGGGCCATTTGGATACACGCCTGTCGACTTCAAGAAGAGTTAGGAAAGGTAGAAATGCTAGACACGATCATGACTCGAGCTGTGAAGTCACTTATCAAGGAAAATGCCATGATCAAGCGAGAGGAGTGGATTACGCAAGCGGAAATCTGTGAAGAGCAAGGCGACAAGGGAACGGCAACTGCTATTATCAAGGCAACTGTTGGATGGGGCCTTGACGAAGACGACGAACGCCGAGATATCTGGCTGGAGGATGCAAGAAGCGTCTTGAACCGGAACAAGCCAGAGACGGCCAGGGCTATTTTAGGATTTGCCGTTGCCGTCTTCCCCTACAGTACGACCATTTGGCATGCATTTGCTGACCTCGAGAAGCATCACGGTACCATGGACACACTCCTTAGCGTACTTGAACGGGCAGTCAATGCCTGCCCGACATCAGAATCGCTTTGGCTGCTTTATGCTCGAGAGATGTGGCAGTCAGGCGACCCTGAAGGAGCTCGCAAGGTGCTGGGCCGAAGTTTCGAGGCGCTCCCCGGTAACGAGATGCTCTACACGCGTGCGGTCGACTTTGAGGTGGATGCCGGCAACTACGAACAGGCGCGTAGCTTCCTGCAAGTAGCACGTGAATCTGCAGCTACAGACCGAATTTACATGAAGTCTGCGGTCCTCGAACGACAACTAGGAAACTTCGAGATGGCCATTGATATCTGCAACCAGGGATTGCAAAACTGGCCAGGCAGCTGGAAGCTCCACGCAATCAAGGGCCAAGTCTACGAACAGCTCTCCAAACTCCCCGAAGCGCACGAAGCCTTCAACATCGGCACCCGAGCAGCCCCCAAAGCCCCCGTCCTCTTCATCCTCCTTTCCCGTCTCCAAGTCAAACAAGGCGCCATCGTCAAAGCCCGCTCAACCCTCGACCGCGGCCGCCAGCAAAACCCCAAATCTGAGCACATCCTCCTCGAACAAGTGCGCCTCGAGCGCCGCCAAAACAACATCAGCGCAGCCCAGCAACTTATGGCCAGCGCCCTCCAACAATGCCCCAAATCAGGGCTCCTCTGGGCCGAAAAAATCATGCACCTCGAATCCCGTACCCAGCGCAAACCCCGCGCCCTCGAAGCCATCAAGAAAGTCGAGAAAGACGCCTTGCTCTTCTGCGTCGTCGGCCGCATCTTTTGGGCTGAGCGTCGCCTCGATAAAGCGGCAACGTGGCTCGTCAAGGCAGTCACACATGATAGCGATTTCGGCGATGCGTGGGTGTGGTATTACAAGTTTTTGCTGCAACATGGTACCGAAGAGAAGTTGCAGGATACGCTCGCGAAAGCGGCGTTGGCGGAACCGAGACATGGAGAGATTTGGCAGAGTGTGGCGAAGGATCCGAAGAATGCGCGGAAGAGCGTTGAGGAGATTTTGAAGATTGCGGCGGAGGTGGCAGAGTAGGAGGGGGGGTGCTTGAGTTGGCTGTGTGTATGTGATAAGCTTTCTGAATGGCATGGGATTATATGGGATTAGGGCGCTCTTAGCAGAGGGATTCAGTACACTGTGTGTCGGTATGAATGTAATAAAATGATTTGCTCAAGTAAATGTCGACGTTCAGTCACCCTATCTACAAAGCCTGATCCAACAAACGTGAAAAAAGTAATCCATACATCCATTCCACTTCTCCCCCCCCCCCTTTATTTCTTCACCTCATCTTCTCCCTCCACACTCTCTCCCTCCACACTCTCCCCCTCCTCAACAAACATAGTCTCCTGCGCACTCCACAACTCGCTATACAACCCACTCCGATCAATAAGCTGCTGATGCGTCCCACTCTCCGCCACCCCACCCTCACTCAGCACGATAATAACATCCGAGTCGTAAATAGTGCGAAGGCGATGCGCGACAAAGACCGAAGTGCGTTTCTTTTCTCGAACGAGGGAGTTGATGTGGGAGAGGAGGGCTTGCTCTGTGTGGGTGTCTAGTGCAGAAGTCTAAAGTATCGGTTTGTTAGTTAAAAAAGGGGAAGGGAAAGGGGTGGGGGAGGTAGGAACGTACAGCTTCATCAAAGAACAAAAGCGGCGGATCCTTCAATACTAGCCGCGCAATGGCGAGCCTCTGTTTCTCACCCCCACTAATCATCATGCCTCGCTCGCCGACCATGGTGTTGTAGCCATCAGGGAACCGAGCGATGGTCTCGTCAATACGGGCGCGTCGCGCTGCTTCGCGGACTTGGTCTTGAGTGGCGCCTAGATCGCCGTAGTGGATGTTGTGCTGAATAGTATTGTTGAACAGAGGCGTGTCCTGAGGTACCACACCGATTGCGCGGCGCAGACTCTCTAGATTGACGTCGCGGATGTCCTGGCCGTCGATCAGAATACGACCTCCCTGTGGATCGTAGTAGCGAAAGAGCAGGCGGAGGATTGTGGATTTTCCGCAGCCGCTAGGACCGACGATGGCGACTTTTTTGCCGGCGGGGATGGTCAAGGTGAGGTTTTTGAGGATCGGGCGGTCGGGACGGTAGCCAAAGGATACATTTTCGAATTTGATTTCGCCTGTCTTGAGGACGAGTGGGGGAGCGTTGGGCTTGTCTTTGACGGTCACGTTTACCTTCTGCAGGTTGAAGAGAGTTTCCATGTCGAGCAGGCTCTGGCGGAGTTCGCGGTACATGGAGCCGAGGAAGTTGAGGGGCACGGAGAGTTGGAAGACGAGTTGGTTGACCATGACAAGGTCGCCGACAGTCAGTTGTCCAGTTGCGACACCGTTGGCAGCGAGATACATCATAGCAGTCAAAGCAGAGGAGAAGATGATGTTTTGGCCCGAGTTGAGGAATGCCAGGGAAGTGGCAACCTTAATCGAAGCTTTCTCGTAGTCCTGAAGGGCCTTATCATAACGCTTGACTTCATGCTTTTCATTGTTGAAGTACTGTACATATTAGTGGAGAATACTAGAAAATTTGTTTATGAGGAATACCTTGACAGCTTCATAGTTGATCATGGAGTCGACTGCAACAGTGGCTGCCTTGTTATCAGCAGCATTGGCCTGTTTCCTAAACTTTGTCCTCCACGAGGTGGTCATAATAGTAAAGACAGAGTAGGCAGTCATTGTAGTGCCGGTGATGAGGGCAAATTGCCAGCCATATTGGTATGTTAGAATTCCGCATACAAGTGAGATTTCGAGTGCCGTGGGGAATATATGAAAGACCATGGCAGTCAGCAAGAAACTGATGCCCTTTGTACCACGATCAATGGCCCTTGTGAGGCCTCCTGTTTGCCTTGATAGATGAAAACTCAGGTCCAGTCTTAGTAAATGTTCATAGACGCTGCAGGCCACCTTGCGAATAGCTTTTTGAGCAACACTGGCAAAGACGGCGTTTCGCAGTTCTTGGGACACAGTTGCACCGACACGGGTCAAGCCGTCTGGTCGTAGTCTCAGCTAAAATGGGACGAGTATGCATTGCTGGGTCTAGCTTACAAGCGATAATCATGGAGCCTGCCACGGTAGTCGCGGTACCGCCTACAGCAGCAAAATCTATGTTCATGGCGTCTACAATGCTCTTGAAGTAGAAGGGGACCTGCACGTTGAGCAGCTTTGCACCAACCAGCAATCCCACACTCAGCCCAACCCTGAATCTGGTGCCCATATTATCCTTTGGCCAAAGGTACTGCGACATCTCCTTGATAATGGCCCAGTCAGCCTTGCGCTGTTCCTTGTTGGTCAGGACCTGTTCTTGCAGCAATGGGTCTGCCTTTGCGACTTTTGCTTTCGCAATCGCAGCATTGGCTGCGGGCTTGGTAGCCTTGAGTGCAGGCTGGGAGCCCGGATTTGGCCGTTCGCCATGAGCATCTTTTCTATGGAGGGGAGACGAGGTGAAGACGCGAATGCCGTGGTGTACAGGGTGAAGGCGCAGCGTGGACGCATGAAGACCCGGCCGACAGGCGGCGCGGGCAAGAGGTGGAATTAACATGACGGCACTAACATGTTAGAGATGCCTAGAGCAAAGAAAAAGGACAAGAAACCCGCGTGTATGTTCAATTGCTTGAACAAAAAGTGGTGGGAGAGAGGAAGACGAGCACGTCATATGGAGAGAGTACCTGGAGAAGCCCACCAGACATGGATGCAGCCCATCCCACCTTGTCTAGCGCGTTTGCGGCGGGCGGGCGGGCGAGCTTGCATCATAACGACTAATTAATTCCGGCCGATAACTACTGCTAATAATAATAACTGCCATTGCGGTTACTAGTACTCCTCCAACAATTCATCTCGATACCCACACATATACGCCAATTGCCCGGCACAGCCATGTTACGAACGGCTGCCTCGCCCTGGGCGAACCTGGCCCGCACATGCGCACCCGCTGGCCGCCCATCAATTGCGGCGCGATGCATTAACATCTCGGCCACCAGCCCGTCGCCAGAACCAAGCCTGCAGCAGGCAGTCAGTGTTGAGGGCACCGCCACGCCCATGCACACACCCGGTATGCATTTCTCTGTGGCCTTAGCGAAGCGACCCTGCTAAAATACTCGGCCTGCGCAGACGCCCGCTTCGACGTCATCGGCACGCCCTTCTCCCTCCTCTCCGTCTCCCTCTCGGCCTCGCAGACGCTCTACACCCGTCGCGGCACCCTCGTCGGCCTCAGCGGCAAGTCGGAAAACACCCTGTCTACTCTTTCCGTCCTCGAGCCTTTTCAGCGCGCGCCCGTCGGCATTCCCTTCCTCTATCAAAAAGTGTCGTCGACCAGTCCCGTCACAGCCCTCATCTCCACCAAGACCCCGATATCGAGTATTGTGTCCGTAAATCTGGATGGAAGGGATGACTGGATCATCAGCCAAAGGCAGGCACTTCTTGCGTGGACTGGCCTCACTTTGAAGCTGAAGCCGCAATACAATGTCAAGCTCGGCCTGGCACATTGGGGAAACACATACATCACAGGTCGAGGTCTGCTCGCACTGACAGGAAACGGCCAGATTTACCAGGTCCACGTCAAGGCTGGCGAGAGCTACGTAGCCCACCCTAGGTACACCCCTCTGCCCTGAGCAACGACCATTTATCATCTTTGACTAACCCTACTACACAGCAATGTGGTAGCATACACAGCCTCCAACACCCCTCCCGTCCCCTTCCGCTTCAAGTCGTCCAATTTGCGATTCCAAGTTCCAGACCTAGGCTTCGGCTCGTTGGTCCAGAATACACAGTTTTTCCGAACAATGAGCAAGACGGCTACATGGCGCGCGCTAGCCACCACATACCACACCCTCAAGACATGGATGCGGAGGACAGTCTGGGGAGACAGGGTGCGTTGAACACATGGCCTACACTATTTACTGCACATACTGACTGACATTGCCCAGCTCTTCCTCCGCTTCGAGGGCCCAACCACCATGCTCGTCCAATCGCGTGCTTCACGCATCAGTGACGTTCTCACACTACGAGACGTCGATGAAATTGCCGACAGCCCGCCTGGCGCCGTTGAAGACGCCGTGACGAGGAAAATCAAGGAAGAAATCAAGTCGATTGGCGAACAAGGCACAAAGGCACCCGTACCAAACACAGATGCGTCTGGAACAGTGCGATATGCCACCATCAAGGATGGCAAGGCCGAGTTTGAAAAGCCATCTGTATAAAAACAGCAAGCAGAAATCTCCTCTTTACATACATACCCATTTTTGCAATTGAGCCTCATTCAAGCAAAACAAATACAATATACATGTCAAATATCCTGGTGTGAAAAAAAATACCCATTGCCATTGCAAGTCAGCTACCCTTCTACTTCGCCTTTCCAGCCGCCTTCTCCCTAATCCTCTCTTCCTTCTCAAACTTTTGCTCGAAAATCCTGAAAAACAAGTCCAACCACTCTTGCTCACGATGGCTCAGTTGCCGCGCAGGATGCTTCCAGGTACCCGCTAAGATCTCCTTGACCCTGCGCCTCAGCACTTTTAGGCCCACGGCTGCGCGCCATTCTCTTACCGAGAACCTGACTACGTTGCCCGGCAGACTAATGACACCCGCGTGCAGTTTGAAGTCGAGATCCGCAGCGACCATGAGGGCCATGGCGAAGGGATACGCAATCGACGTCGAGTGAGCGTTGTAGAACTTGTTGCTCGACTGCATGATGTGGTAGTAAGAGAGGAAATGTGCTGTTGACGAACCCTTATTCACAGATGTGGGTGCAAGGCTGACGGTCTGGTTGTTGGATATGTTGCGCCATCCTTTGCCCTCGCGCGTTAGCATCTTGGGATAAAACGCTGTTGCGATGACCGAGTTGACGAGTAGGTCGTTGTCGGAGTAGGTGTCGTATTGGGGTGGTACGTCGACGAATACGCGGTGGCGCTGTGTGCTTCTGTAGCGGTTCAGGGCCCGGCGTTCGTCTTGTGTCAGTTGCACAAAACCTGCTTCTACGAGTGATGAGAGAAGCTGTGCTTTGAGATCCTCGATATTGCCTAGGTTCTGGGCGCTGAGGAAGTTCTTGTGGCAGAATTGCATTTCTGATCGTCCGGCGGCTGTGCATACTGATTTCCAGGCTTTGTAAGCATTGTAGGTTGTCAGTAGATCTGAGTCACCTTTCTTGAATCCAAGACGTGCTATATCAGCGCGCTGCTTTGCGCCGAAAGGTGTTACGAAGGGAGACTTGGACGAGAGAATTGCAGCAACAGTGATGGCAACGTCGACACAGCCAAATGTACAAGCGAGCAACACGAGCTTGCCCAGGTGTGCGTCTAGTGGCAGCTTTGCAATTTGGTGACCAAGTGGCGTGAGCTCTTCACTTGGTGTGAGCGCGTCAACCTCCACAAGTGCATCAATGGCACGCCGGATGTTCTTGGACGAGGGTGGGTCGAGCGCCTGAGCAAGTGTTGCCTCAATATCTCCCAGCTTGCAAATCTTGACACGCATGACCAGATCTTGAAGTGACAGTCTCAGCATCTCTGGCGTTTGTTGTTCAGCCATCAGGTTATCGTGACGGTATTTCGTAAACAGGTGGAAGCATAATCCCTCCTGGACACGGCCTGCACGGCCACGGCGCTGCTTCGCGTTGGCTCTTGAGATAAAAGACTGTGTCAGACGTGAGAGCTGCCTCCGTTCGTCAAACCTCATCTCCTTGTGCTTGCCAACGTCAATAACACAGGTAATATCTGGAATCGTTACTCCAGTCTCTGCAATATTCGTTGCGAGCACAATCTTGCGTACGCCCGCCGGGGGAATCAAAAATGCAGCCTGCTGGTCCTCGCTTGAGATTGTAGAGTGTAATGGATACACATACCAATCGGCTTTGAACGAAGGGTGGCCAGCCAGAATATCGTTCAGTTGGCGGATTTCGGCAATACCTGGAAGGAAAACAAGAATGGCGCTGCTAAAGCGGCTCAGTTGCGGGTCGTAGGCAACGGTCTCAATAAGTCGGGTAATCAAATCGTAGTCGATGGCGTATTCGTCGTAGTTGGAGAGCACATTGCGCGTTGCAGCACTGTAACCAGGGAGTTTGCTAGGGATGCCAGATTTGTCACTTGTGATTTCATCATCCTCATCGTTGTCGCTGGTAGCAGTGTTGGTGTTCTGCTCGGATGCACCCGTATAGTGTGTCAGCTCAATGGCATCCTCAAGGTATCGTGTCTGCACTGGAAAGGTACGACCGGGCACTGTCAAAATCGGTGCGTCGTTGAGGTATCGCGAAAATTTGGCGGCATCAACGGTAGCACTCATCAATATCACCTTCAATTCAGGCCGACGTACCATCAGCGACCGCAGAATAACCAAGAGAAAGTCCGTATCAATGGACCTTTCGTGGACTTCATCAATGATCAAATGCGTAACTTCTTGTAAAGCACCCGAAGACTCCAACATACGCAGTACAACACCTACAGTTGCGTAGATTAGACGAGTCTGTGATGACATCTTGGATTCAAGTCGAATTGCGTAACCGACAAGTGAGCGCATAGTCCCAAGATCTTTCGGCCCCTCGCCCAGCTCCTCACTCACACGTTGCGCAAGCGAAATAGCGGAGATTCGTCGGGGCTCAGTGCAGTAGACTTTACATACCTTGCCTTGTGCAAGCTCATGCTCGAGAACAAAGGCTGGAATTTGCGTACTCTTTCCACACCCAGTCTCACCGCAAATTATGGTAACTTGGTTCTTATCCACCGTCGACAGAATGGACTCCTTGAAACCAAAGACCGGAAGATTTGATCGGCCGACAAGCATGTGTTGATATGAAGGAGTAGAGACTTTGGCAGCCCATAGCTCTCTTAGACTCTCGTGTTGGCGTATTGGCGTGTTGTACCCCGAGTTTGATTCACTAGAGCCTGTAGCAGCCTGGTTGCGCATCTTGAAGCGATTGGTAAAAACAACACCATCCGACTCCTCATTTTCAACTTGATCCTGGACAAATGAACGGTACCGCTTTATAGCGTCACGATCTGCAGCATCCAGACGCGTTTTTCTACTTTCGAGAAATTCTCTATAAAGTTCTCTCCAGTTTGGTGGCAGTCGTAGATGAACCTTGTCGTCCTTCTGCGAGGCAACAGAGATGGAGAAAAGCGCAACGACTGAGATGTAGCTCTCACTTTGCTCAGTGGATACGGTTGCAAGGTCGATTGCCGCAAATGTAATTTGTCTTCTATAAGGAGTCGTAGTCACTCCGGCAATTTCGGTATCGTATTCGACATCGACGTCCTTTGACCAAATAATAGTAAGTGAATGCCGGCAGGTGTACACGGTAGGTGAGATGACTGCATACGACAAACGCGCACCAGAGTCCCTAGCTATGTTTAGCTGATATATTCAAAACGGAGATCATTTGTCCCATACCTTGCGCGAACCGCCTCTTCGAGCACTTTGCGGGGAGATAACCCGCTTGCCTTGCCAAAGTCACGTAAAGTCACATCAGCAGAATCTGCGCCGTTGGGTGTAGTTTCTGATTTTGGTGGCGAATCAGGAACTGCAGAGAACATTTGACCGAGCAAATCCATATCCTCTTCGTCTTGACTGGCAGCTGGAGGTACTTCAGTTACGAGCACTTTAGCTCCAGTAGGTTTTGAAGGTCGGGTTTCATCATTTTCTTTCTGCTCATGTGGCACCTGGGACTGTGTGCCGTTTCGTTGCCGTTTCTCGGCTTGGCTCTGGGCGATTTGATTGCGCCTGGCTGGCCACCTTGCCTCTGCTTCGTCTTCATCGAATAGAGAATCTGACTTCAGCTGTTGCAACTGAGAGAGTAACTTTCGAACAGCTGGTGTCTGGGGAGGAACAGGCTCGGACTTTTTCGACTTTGCGCCCTTCTGTGACTTTCGTATGTTTGTTTCTACGAGCTGTGGGTCAATCTCGTAAAGTTTGCTCTTGATCTTGAGATATGTGGGGACAAGATCCTCGCTGTCAATATCGCTGTCGATATCGCTAACATGGATATCGCTTTGGTCATTTTCGACAGGCGTAGACCCATTGGCTTTTGCAGGCGTTGAGGCTGCTGGTGTGGCTGCGGTCTTTGCCAGTGGTTCACGGGGTGGTGTAACTAATTTTGGTTAGCGAGGCGCACTAAAGTTTACATGGAGGTGGACGACTTACCAGGTCGCGAAGGAGGAGGAGCGTCGAGAGCTGCACGTTTGGGGGGTGACTCTTCATAGGAAAAACTGAAATCTTCACACTGGTCGAGTGCAAGCCATTCCAAGGCTTCTTGGAAGCCCCATATACCAGAAGATGCATCGACACCAGCAGCGTTGGCGCAGAGCCATGTTAAGACAGGTTTGATGTGACTGTCTGCGAAGCCAAGTTCACGGAGGGTCAAATCAAGCGTCCATAATTTAGAAATGGCATCTTCTTCGCTCAAAGTTTTCAAAAATAACTGTTGGCCCTGCCTCCTGTTTGAATCATTGGACTCGGCCTGTGCTAAGAGTATGATGCTGTCCAGGATCTCTCTGGGCAGCCATTCATGAACAGCGACAGAGTACGACTGGCTGCGCAGAAGCCTGCGGTCGGTCTGGAAGCGTGTAACATGGCGACTGGATTCGCGGCGGACTTTGGCAGCATGCTTTTCAACTAACAACTGAAGCTCATCGCGCTCGAGTTGGGCCTCGAGCTCTTCGGGAGTTTGTGCAACTTCCTCTTTTGGTAATGTAGCCTGCTGGGGTACCTGAGATGCCGGCTCTGGTGCTGCTTGGCTTTCTTTGGACTGCACTTGAGAAACTTCTTTGGCTGGGGCGTCAGCGGCTGACCTATCGGGCTTAGGTTTGCTGGCCACAGACGTGGTTGCAAAGCCGCGTGCAGGATTGCCGGCTGGCTTCTTCTTTTTGGCCATGGGAAAGGCTGGGGCAAATGTCTTCTTTTCTCTTTTTGGCTAATTGATACGATTCGGGGGGTGCTAAGTGAGGTGAGGGACAGGGATGTAGTTCAAGCGGGCTGCCGTATAGAATACCTCGGAGCCTGATCCCGAGCGAGATCAAGATTGGGCAGGGCTGAGGTACAGACGGGACGCATGAGGACGCTCAGTTGGTGGAGAAGCAGCAGCAGCTAGGCGGCGGGCGGCAGAGACGAGGCCAGTCCAGTGGTGGGGGTTTGGTGATGGCAGGGCGATCCACACGGCGGCTGACTGAGCCCTGAGTGTGAGCAGTGCGCACTGAGCGCCGAGCAGCGATGTCATGCCGCTGGGTAGTCCGTCGCAGGTGGGCAAATACTTAGACGAGAAATCTTGGCATTATCATTTCGCGATTGTTGCTCCTCACCACCACCCCGCCGACCTCCCCGCATCCGCATCTGGCCTTTGCGTATGGACTGGACGACATGGCTGTGAATGGGGATGCTGAAGCCCAGGCCCTGGACCGCGACAGACTGTGGCAGAAGCTCATCACGAGCTCCACCAAGCGCCGCATCCACGAGCTGTCGGGCCTGCAGCAACAGGTCGCAGATGACTGTGAGTGCCTGGACGCCCCAATGCACCCACCCATATATGCATATATGTATATACATGTGTGTATGTGTTTATACGACCAGCCATAGACTGACGAGACCCCGTCCTGCGCAGCAGCGCTGGTGACTGCCGACCTGCAAGCG